AAGTCTCATTTATACATAAGAAAGCTGTTGAATATACTTGTTCCAAGAGTTTTGAGAATGCCAGTTTGTAAAACATGTCAGGACTCCTTAGAAGATGATCTTAAATGTGTTTTTTTAACGGGGCCCTACAACTTCAAATTTATCTCTGAACTTATTTTTGTTTGAAGGAAGTTGGCAGTAGCAGTCATATCCCATCGAGCCTAGGATTAATGTCAAACTAGTTTAGCCCATGGCAGATTTATAATTTGTTGCTTGGACCTGACTAAACTAGATTCTACATACTTGAATGATTTATTTATTTATTGTGCTCACGTCTAAACTTTTTTTTAAAAAAAAAACTGCCAGCCTCTCCTTTTGTGGTTAAATCTAAAGACATCAATTCATCAAATTGAAATAGAAAATTATTTTTTGCGGAAATAAGAGCCGTATTACAGCAAGTTGGCAATAGAATTGACAAACAGCGAGTCGCGAGTTGCTAATTAACTGTGTTGTGGTTTAGAGAGAGGTGACGTGAGGAATTCGGGTACTTTGTTGGAGAGGGAAATAGGACCGTTGGCCCAGCGTATCCTTGTGCAGCTGTCAGGTAGTCATGAAACACCATTGGTGAAAAGCTGTGAGCAGTTGGCCAGCTGGTTCCCTTCTTTGTGGTTGATACAAGGAGAAGTTTTGGGATAAGAAAAATAAGTATTAAAAAAAACTTTATCGAGCTCTAGTATTCTGTCAACTTTATTTCAAATTCTATTTTTTTGGTCAGCCAATATCCTTGCTCAGGAGTATTCAAACTAAGCGACTGGGACTTCCGTATACGATGGAAATTTTCACCTGCGTGTCCATTTGGGGAGGAATGCACTCTCTCGCCAGACGGACACACCGTTCTCGATTACTCTCCCGTAATCTTGGAAAGTATTAGGCGCAGGTTAGCAAGAGCTAAGGCTTGGGGACCCTAGAATGTGTGCTGTGTACTATTTAAATGCAGCCAGTTGAAACTTGCCATAGCTAACACTAACGGGCATGTTTCCGGCTGCTTATCCAAGTCGTACCACTCTACATGTTAGAACTTTGGTATACGAGTCAGTCAACAAATCAAAAGAAAATGAAACTTGTCCTTGACTACGTGATTGTCGGTCACGTTTTTTAAACAAAATTATGTTTAAAAACACAACACATTTGATTTATAGATGGATTGAAATTAACCCTGGAATCCCTTCTTCCCACAAAAGCAAGTCCATTTGTCCATGATGTAGAGGGCCCCCCTTTTTTCTCAACGCAAATGCATTGTGGACTTGCAGTATGCAGGAACGTGCAGTTAGCATAATGCTTCTGGGTTCTGGCCCTGAAAGGCTTGCTTCGTGCATATTGTGCAAGCGCAGAATGCCACTCTGCATTAGTGGAATCCCAACAACTTCTAGAACCTCTTGTGAGAGCATTTGCCACTGATTATCTGTCTGGCCTCCTGCGTGCATAAGTGAGCATAGTTTGGTAACGTCAGCAGCAACTTCGTCAATGATTTGGCAAGGCAAAGTGCTGACTTGGAAACCAGTTTTTTTTTTTAACATGTCCCATTGAATGCAGAACCTGTTTCTCTACGGACACATTACACCTGGGTTAGACTAGTTATGATTGTGATCTTTGATTGGCTTTGTAAAGCCCATTTGTTTTCCTGATTTAAAAAAAATCGAGCCTTATGAATAGTGGATGAACCTATTTTTATTTCAAGTGGGAGGACGTTTTTAAATATGTTTTACTAGGCTGTTCAGTGACTCATTTGGTAAAGGTATTGATGCCAAGAATAAAATAGCCAAACAAGCGCAAGGGTCCTAAATTTGATCTCCAATCTGCACTGGGTTAACTGAGCAGGATAGGACTAGGTTTTAAAAGTACTCTTTCACTATGAGGTCAAATGACCAGCTTCCTGCTTTAGCCTCTGAAACTCTCAAAAGGTTTGTGGGAGAGTGCCAGAGGAAATCTGTTCTCTTGTCCAATTTCCCTTCTCTGTCTAAAGGAAGGAGAGGTAGCATCTTGGCTTCTCTTGTCACTTGTGCAAATAGACGTGACTGTGATTGAAAACTTGCTGGGTGAGGATTGTGAAGTCTCAAACCTCTGGTTCACCGCAGGAACTGGCTTGGATGGAGTTGGGATTTATTTTTGTCTTCATCCAGAGAAAAGGATGTGAGTACTGAGGGATAAACATTCTTTGCACATTCCATACCCAATGCCAGCAGAATTCAACAGTGTTAACGTGAAGGGCATCAGAATTTAAATTTGCAATGAAGTTTCCCGACTGCCAAGAACTGGCAGTGTCTAATTACAACACATTTACAAAAGAAACAAATATTTGAACTAAACGTTATCAGAATGTTTGAATGACATCACAAGGATAGCAACCTCATGAATACAAGATTGCTGCAGCCTTGTAAATCATGTGAAGCAAGTTGACATGTTTTGCCAACGTAATATGTATGAAATGCAAGGATTATTGTTTACCAAATGCATTTGAGTCTTGACAATTCAGCCTGTTATTAATGGGGATTAAAATCAAATGCAAGTTAATCGTACAATTGAGGCAGTAGTAAAATATCACTTTGTAATGTGAATATCTGCCTAGTTATCTTTACCAGGTAGATTATGCAATGCCCTGTTGCCGCTGACCGACTCGCTCTGCACAGGCTACAACTCCAACCTGAGAGCTTCCTTTTTGTTTCGATTAGAGAACTGATGAGTCTTTGAGGATTGCTGTGTAAACGAGTCTGCATGCAAATACAAAGGCTGTATATTGAAACAGAAAACTCTAGTAGGGCCATGTAACAATGAGACATGTGGGCTGTGTAGCAGTGATTTGCATTGCAATTTTTTGTGCCAAGCCTTGTGGCATCTTGCCCAGTGCCCGGCAATATACCATTTGTGTGAATAATTCGAGCATTTTATTGCCCATTGTCTGTATTTAGTTACTAAAAATTAACATTAAAATACTGTTGTCACCTGGGTTATTTTTGTCCAATGAGAAAATTGCAGTAGTGTCTTAGTGTACTGTACAAAGCAGCACTTGTGTCCAGAATATAGCTTTTAAAAGCACCATCTATCTGCTAACATTACTGTGTGTGGGAGAGTGCAGTTTGGATAAAAACTAGTTGCCATTTAAGTAAGACTGTGCACTGTATGTTTAATCTATCCTCCTCCACCGCTTGTCCTCCCACCTCAACCTTCAAGGACCTGTCCTTGAGTGGTTTAGGTCCTACCTCTCCCAACGTCTTCATTTTGTCTCCGCTAACGACTTCTCCTCCAGCCCCCGCACTGTCTCGTGCGGTGTCCCTCAGGGCTCTGTCCTCGGTCCCCTCCTCTTCACCCTCTATATGCTCCCCCTGTGGTGACATCATCCGCAGACATGGGGTTAACTTCCACATGTATGCGGATGACACCCAACTCTACCTTTCCTCAACTCCACGACCCCCGATGTCCTAACAGTCTGCCTGTCTGACATTGAGTCCTGGACAACTTTCTTCAGCTCAACGTACGCAAAACTGAGGCCCTCCTGATTGGCTCACGTCAGCGCCTCCGCACCTCAGGCGCCGACACCATCAGCATCTAAGGCCGCACTCTCCACCTCTCAAAGCCATCAGGAACCTCGGGGCTCTGTTCGACCCTGAGCTGTCCTTTCTCCCTCATATCCGCGCCACAACCGGCACCGCCTTCCATCACCTCCGAAACATCGCCAGACTACGGCACTACCTCACTCCTCACGCGGCTGAAACTCTGGTCCACACCTTTGTCACCTCAAGGCTGGACTATGGGAACTCTCTCCTCGCCGGCCTTCCCGCCACCTCCCTCCACACTGCAGGTCATCCAGAACTCTGCAGCTCGTGTACTGTCCCCCACCAGACACCGCGACTACATCACTCCCACCCTCGCCCTCGCTCGCCTCCACTGGCTCCCCATCCCCCAGAGGATCGAATTCAAGATCCTCATCCTCACCTACAAGGCCATTCACGGCCTCGCTCCCTCCTACCTCTCTGACCTACTATCCCCCAACCTACCTGCCCGTACCCTCCGTTCCTCTGGCTCCGGTCTGCTCCACATCCACCGCCCCAACCGCCCTACCATCGGTGGCCTTCAGCCTCTCAGCCCCGAGGCTCTGGAACTCCATCCCCCAGTGCCTTCGCCGCTTCCTCCCTTTCCTCCTTCAAGGCCGGTCTCAAGACCTTTCTCTTTGACTGTGCCTTCAGCTCCCCTCTCGACTCTCTACCCCCTCCTCGCTCCCTCCCTTCCCTCACCTGACCATTTCCCCCCTCCTCGCTCCCTCCCTTTCCTCCCCTCACCTGACCATTTCCCCCCAATGCTCGGGTCCCGACCCAACTGTCCAGTGCCTTGGGACGTCCTTCCGACGTGAAAGGCGCTCTATAAATGAAATCTTGTTGTTGTTGATAATCATTGTGCAAAATAGTTTCTGAATGTTTTTAAACTATGCAGAGCCAGTACCAAGATAGTTTCCCAAATCCATCTGGCAATTTAATTGCCAAGTACAGTAACATATATCTTGGGAACTGAGGTTTATTGAGCGGTAACTTTTCATTCTGTATTACTCTGTTTTACTATACAATAAATATTTTTGGAGTGGTTCTAATTTTTGGTGAAGGCAGGATGGGGTGATATTTTTTATCGTACCTGCTTAGCTTCATCAACACAGCGATCTACAGAATTCCTCTCCTAACCTTTGAATTGATAATTGGCTGTTTGTGGTATCAGGTTATATGCAAAATAGCTGCCCATTTCCTTACCAAAATAGTTTATATAAAGTGCTTCAGGACATTTTAGTGAATAAAGAAAGCACTATAGAGACGAAAGATCCTTCTTCTTTGCAGAACTATTTATGTACAAATTACTTGTTACTGCTGGAGCAAGAATAGTCAGTATAAATCGATCCTTATTTTCCTTTCTAGTTTTTATAAACATTGCCCCAGTAGCCACATCTGAATGACTATTCTGTTTTCTATATTTCTTTCCAGCTTGAGCTATGGTGCATCACATCCAGAAACTGATCTTCTCCATCGACAGGCTTACGCAGCCTCTCACCAGTTGCCTGGCTATGCCACAACACATCATCCCACAGGTACAAAAAATATTATTGCTTTGGTCATTTCTCCCAAATGATTATATACATTACCACACATTTGATGTATTCAAAGCATATTATCTCCTCCTTCGACCGTGCCTTCGGCCACCCTTCTACCTTAATTGAGCCAATGGATCTCTGTGCCATTACTTCTAAGCCCTAACAGTACTCGAAAAAATAATTCATTTAGCATTCTTTCCACTCTGTTTTTATTCTCTCCACAGACTGGTCCTGTTTTCTAGTGCATGTGTCTATGCTCTCCATGGCTCAATCATATGATCAAAGAAAATGAACATAGGGAAAAGGAAGGAAGCGATAAAAAATCAAATCAAATGGAAACCAGGAGCAAGAAAGGCAGCAAGCAAGCAATAAAAGGACAAAAGGATTAAAGGAACAGATAAAATTAGGGCAGATTTTAAACTATTGACTGAACAAAAATAAATATAGGACAAAAGTTGAGGGGTAACAAAAAAGGTGGAAGAAAAAAAAATAGCTGTTTAATCTCCGTAACACTGCAAAATATAAAAAATTTGCTTTCTTTGTAAGTCTGGTTTTAATAAAGTGTAGTGTGTGTATTGAAGCTTTGGCTTTTATTGTATCTTTGAAATGCAACCTTGAACTTGCTTGCAACAGTTAAGTAATGAGCCGCCTTTAAAATTAGCAGATATGACCCACATGAGTCTAGTTGTTCGCTGGATGTTGTAATTTAGTCCAGATGTGGTGATGTCACCGCCAGAAAATATTCAGCATATTTTGGAGAGATGACCTTCTAATGGGGAACAGATGAGACAGCCGGGGGGGGTGGGGAGGGGGAGAGAAAAGAGAGCCATTTTGGACTAGTCACTAGAATTGCTTTGTAATCTGTGCATCAGTATTGTTCGTATTTAATTTTAATTTCGTATCTCAATTTTAAATTTTAAATACGTGTTGTTCAATATGTGATGCAAGAGGATTGTACAGTGCGGAGCTAAGGGATGATGCAATCTGCACCCAGTTGAAACTTGTTCATTAATTACTCAACCAGCCCACTCGAGGGATTTCAGATAGCTTGATGATAAATAATCTATGTCTAGGTTTGATTTCATCGGGGAAACTGATTAGTTGCAGGATCTGAGTTAATACTTAGTTGACCATTTGTTGAATGACATAATTCCTATGAAGTGATTTCACAGGGCAAGATTGTCTGCCTGAATTAATTATTTCCCTCCTCGTACAGGGCTATCTGGGTTGTTTGATGCAACAATGCAACACACTGGCAGTGGTACACCTGAGACCTCCGTTATGAACTTCCTTTCAGCTATTGAATCTCGTACTCCTCAGGCTGGACCCACAGCTGCCACCCTTCTCCCCCAGTTCAGAGCTCCTTCATGGCAGACAGGTAAGAATCTTTTTGATCGTGCTTACGGTCGCCTCACCCCTCCCTCTCCCACCCTGTAAAGTGCTCTGGGACACTACCCCGTGTGAAGGGCGCTATATAAATGTTGTTATTTTAAGTGATAATTATAAAGATGTGAGGCTTCCACTGCTGTTAAATACAAATAAATGGATGATTTCCCAAACTTGGGTCGCCTGCTTGGGGAATGGAGGTTTGGAAAGAATGATAAAATACTCTCACCTCCTCCGCTCAAAATATGTCTCAAAAACGATTCTCAAAGCCTTTTATTTTTTAAGAAATCTTGAGATTGACTCTTTTTTTCTGGTAGCATTTCCCCCCCTACATATATATTCATTCTCATCCATACATTTAGGATTGACCAACTTCTTTTGAGTCATTCCATTATTTTGTTTTGAAATTGTAGTAGAACAGACTTGTACTGTGACCAAGGACCAGCGCAAAAAATGTATATATGATTGTGTACATAAATACATTAGATCAAGAGTTTTACTGACTTGTGCTACTTTTTAAAGTGGGGGAGAATAAGCCAAAAAATAAATCCCTATCAGCTCATTAAGTATATCTCAGTTTAACTAATGTGGGAATTTGCTACATTGTCGGGGCCTGAGAGTGGATTAATGTATGTTAATAAATGTGTGGTGCATACAGAGAGAAAAGGTTATTGGGAAGAGATAGAAGGGGTTTTTACTTGTATTTAAAATAACTAGCTGGTGTGGTTGAAATCCAAATGTTGCATTCTTGTATTTTTTAATTGTCTAGGTATGCACTCTTCAACACCGGCCGAGCTGTTTGTCACTGGAGCGCTGCAAGCTTCCGGAACATTCCCACCATCGGCTCTCTCGGCTTATCAGCATCCTTCTTCCTTTAGCAGTCGTGGTTTTACTGGTACGCCATCTTTGACACTTCAAGATGCAGCTTTCAGTCCGACAACAAATGGACTTCTTTCACCACATGATCCTTTGCTTCAGATCAAATCTTCTCAAGCAGCCGTTCCTTCCCCGTTGACTTTCGACAGGATTGGTAGTACTGTTTTAAGTACAAGCATACCACAGTCTTCAACATATCGTTCTGCTCAAGAATCAGCTCCCCATCACCTCCAACCTCAATTTAGTTTGTTGCCTTCAGCACTTGGGTCAGCTCAGCAAGCCTCTCAACCGTATGGCACATCAGTCTTTTCTAGTTCAACTGCTTCCATTGAAAGGGCACTTCAAAGAGAATGTAGTGTTATTAAGCATCACCAGCGGCCTTCCAGCTCACACTCAGTGCAGGCTCAATTACCAAGTTCTCACCACGCTTTGCAAGGTTTTCTTACCAGTGGGAATGGAGTTAGTTTTCAGGAAACATCCAGACATGCCGGTTTGGCCTGTAGCCCACTTGGAGATCAGTCTCAGGTGAGCAACGGAGGACCACAGCAGAAAAACTCTGCGGTAACAATTGAGCAATCGCAGAGCTATTCATCCACGATTCCATCACCTGATTATTCATCAAAAGCAAAGAACTGTTCCTCCTCAAGACCAGCTCAACGGTCCTCAAAAACTGCCAAATCCCAAAGTGAAACATCTACTGTGCAAACACAGAGTTACTCCACACCTACACAAAAGCAAAGTTCTGTAATATCAAGCCAGTCGCCAGTATATTCTTCAGGACAAACCTCAAATCTAATTATTTCAATTAGCCAGTCCCACAATTACGTTTCAACAGAGTCTCAAAATATATCAGCGGTCAGTCACTCAGAGGTATTTTCTTCTAGTCACCCTGAGAAACTGACGTTGAGCAAATCACCAACGTCTTATTCTGGTCAGTCACAAAACCTAACCTCGGTGAGTCAAACACTCAGTTATTCATCTGATCAGTCACAGGTGTTGCCTTCAGTTAGTCACGCTGATTACTCTGGTCAACCACAGAATCTGTCTTCTATTAGCCAGGCACAAAGCTATTCTTCTGGCCATTCTCAGGGTTTGCCTGCTGTGAGCCAGTCACAAAACAATTATTCTGCACAGTCGCAAGGTTTGACTACTGTTAGTCTTTCACAAAGTTATGCTTCTGGACAAGCCCTCACATTGACATCACATACCCAGTCATTGCCATATTCATCAACTCGTGCCCAGAATTTGTCTGTGTCAAGCCCTACACAGAATTTTATCTCTATGCATTCTTCGCCAACTAGTCAGTCACAAAGTGTTCCTTCACCTCAGTCTCAGACGTTCTTGTCAGGAGTGCAATCACCTACTTTCACTGCATCTCATTCACAGAGCATGCAGAGTACTCAACCACCCACAGACCTAAAACAGTCTTACATTAAAAGGAAATCTGATTCAGATTTATTTGTTTCATCAAAAGAAGATGATTTTCCTATTCAAGATCTGCTACACCAGCAATCTTCTCTTGAAGCATCTACGCCAGGTTTACCAGAAAGTGGAATTGGAGAAGAAAACACAGTTTATGGTGTTTCAAAAGCAGATGAGCGATATCTTTCTCAGAGTGTCATCAGGAGTAATTCTCGGCTGGAAGACCATGTTGCCCTCCCTCTTCAGGGATCAAAAACTGATGATGAAAGAAAACATGATCATGTAAAACAGTTTGATGTGGCCAGGACTATAGAAGCAATGGTCAGTTCTGTGAATCAACATAATCAGCAGGTTGGGAATGCCAATCATATGAACACGCACGACCTAAAAAAGATAGCTAACCCAGGACAGTCATCACATATAATTATGGGTGCTGAAGACTTAAAGCAGCCTGTTTCTCTGTTACAAAAGGCACAAGAGTCGAGACCCCAGGCTCATCAATCCCAAGTCAGTAATGCGCCACAACAACTGCAGCCTCACACAGCGTGCCAGCCTCAACAGTTACAGCTGCCTAGTGCACAGGTACTCCTGGAAACCTCTCGTGAAATGCCCTTGTCTTTAATACAACAGTCAGTAGCACAGCAGCCCCAGTTACTACAGTCGGGGCTGGGTCAGTCACAGGCATCAACACAGTCTCAGCAAATGCCAAATCAGTCTCAGGCCTCGCATCGCCAGTCACAGTTTCTTCAACTTGAGAGGCACATTGCCCAAGCCAACGCAGCACAAACTCAACAGATGCTACAACAGAATTCTGAGACCATAAAGCTGGATGGTGCAGATCCTTCAAAACCACTACAGCAACAATTGACCCCAAAAGATCATTTTGATCAATCGAACCAACAGGATTCGAAGTCTCAGTTTGTCAGCCTGAGTTCTGTTTGTTTCCCAGAATCTATGTTGCTCGGTGATGAGAGAAACCTCTTTTCTGGTGTCGAAGATGTATTTTCTGCCACTGAGGAATGTGAGGTGACTCCACAAGAGTTTGCCAAATCTGCTTGCAACGAATCAAACATTCAATCTGCTGATGGTTCAAAGTCCACGTTTCAGACTATGAACGTAAGGCATGTTTCAGCCAGTTTTCACACCTCGCAGCCTGTGATAACAGAACAGCAGAATCTCCATAATCTGACATTGAGCAACAATCAGATGAATTTGAATCTAGAAGCAGTATCACTGGAGAGTTCAGCTCAGTCTAAAACGTCAAGCCTTGATCAGCAACGTCTCGGAGCATCAGACCAGCACATACAGCCAGGTCTGACCTCTCCAGTTTTGAGCTCCACCCAAAACATCAATGATCAGGTTGCCGGAGGTCTTAAACGGCAGGATGTTAATCCAGAATCTGAAGAAGAAAATGATGACATTCCTGATGATGGTGCCATAAACAATGCGAAGGATCCAGATTTTATTCCCAGTGGTAAAAGTAACACTGACGAGAGTGCTGTATCAGACATTGATTATAACCTGGGTGACGAGATGACAGCGGGGTCTGGTAACAAAAGGAAATTGAAACGACCGATAAAGCCTAAGTCAAAACTGGGCGCACTCCCAGAAGGCTGGCCTCACAGTCTGCCTGAGGAAGACGGGAGCCTGGACTTGTTGCAGGACGGCAATCAAAAGAAGCGAAAAGGAAAAGTACGACCTAAAGACGGTTTAGAGGATGACGGCAGTGGTCAGAAACCAGTCAAACGGAGTGGACCAGGTAAACGTCTGAATTCCAAAGATTCGAACTCGTCTCACGACAGTTACTACGATAGTTACCATCAGCAGGAGAGGATTAAACAGAAGATCAGGGAAGTTGAAGAAAAGCAACCCGAGGTTAAAAGTGGTTTCATCGCGTCCTTTCTAGACTTCCTGAAATCGGGACCTAAGCAGCAATTTCCTGCGCCTTCTGTACGTATGGCACATCGCAGTCGGAGACCATCTACCAATGCAATGTTCCCACCCCACCCTCCACCCAGTGTACCTCAGCAGTCAGCATCGCCTGCCTTAATACCTGCTGAAAGTGGATCTGCCAGCCCTTGCAAAAGGTTAGATGATGATCTGAAGAAAAACCTGGAAGCATTACCTTCATTTTCCTCTGATGAGGAAGATTCTGTCGGAAGGAACCATGATCTTCAGAAGAGCATTTCCTCGGCTCTTTCAGTTTTGGATGATCCTTCTGATAAAAAGGAAAAACGGATTAAAACAGGTAATACAGTAGTATTTATACTGTGGAAGCAATATATAATTGCCCCTATTTTTTTAAAAGAAAGATATTAGTAGAACTTGGGTGTTTTTTACTCATAAAATACGCACCACTACATCTCTTTACAGTGTATCCTGTAAAGCTCTTGAGTCTTGTCAACCAAGTGATATGGTGCTATATTAAATATGAAGATTATGAGGCAAGGATAATATTTATGTACAGTATTACAGGAATGTGTCTACGGAGGTTGATGCAAAAAAGAATCTGAATTGGGCATTATTGATTTATCTGTTAAAACTAATGGCAAACGTAACAAAGTGTGGTGAATTATGCAGCAGATGAAAAATCAACACTCTGCACCTATGCCTTCTAAATCTGATTTTATTTCCAACAAATATTGAAAGACTACACATGAAAATATTATTTTCCTAATAATGAATACTAAACGATTGACCAACACTAAAACATTCACTTGTTGTGGCACAGTATAGCCTTAGAGAATTGGATATCTAAACTCACATTTCCAAAGGCTTATAAACAATGTTCATTTCTGTCTAACAGGGAAAGTGAAGAAAAAACATTGTAAGTTTTGTCTTTAACTGCCAATTTATATCTGCAAATAGCTCAAAAGATTGCGCCTTTGTTACTATGAGTCTCTATAATTGTGTTCATTCCGCTGAAGTGGCTATTGGTAATAAACCTGAAATGCATGTTAAATCCGTGTACCAATTAATGTTTAACAGTACATTGTTTATTTTATTGTAGTTGCATCCAGATTAAATAGATAAAATGAAAAAATAATCTTTTTTGTGGCTGTAATTGGAAAAAAAAAGTTAATTAGGCAGGCAGATTATCAAAAGGTGTGTTTACAAAGTTTTGGCTTTTATTTGCATTCAGTATATCATAATTTTTCTTTCACTAGAGTCAACTGCTGAGGGTGCCACGTCTTCCGTTTCTGTTATCCAGCAGGGACTAGCTGGGACAAATCCTCCTCCGGCTTTAAAAGAGGAAATTCAGGAACGCGTCGATACTGCAGAATCCCTCGAGCAAAAGGAACAGGATGATCTGAATCCGGCAGAACGAGCCACTAAGCAAGAATCGGTTGCTATCGAAGGTTCGACAGATGAAGAGGATATTGAAAGTGGAGGGGAAGGCATGTACAGAGAGCGAGATGAATTTGTTGTGAAGATAGAAGACATTACGGCTCTTCAGGTAATGTAACATGGATTTGAAGATTTTTGCTTTCACCTCACAGTTCAAGGGCTCCGGGACTCTACCCCATATGAAGGGCGATATATAAATGCATGTTGTTGTTCTTTCTGTCAGATTTAAATTGAAAGAAAGGGGTTATCAATTTATACGGCTGAAAGACATATTTGGAAAAGTGAGGTTTCCCGAGGACAACTTTATCTGAGTGGTGACTAACGTCATTCTCTCAAGATTATGAGTTAAGCTTGAAGTCAAGTATGGGTTCTGGATTGAGACCAGCAGCCAGAAATGTATTTTACATTTTTATTCAAATAAGCATTCAAGTGCACGCCTTTAATCCCTGTGGTTACATTAAGGAGTTATTTTGAGGTATGGTTGTCATGTGTACGCTGGAAATGTCTTTAGATTTGGTTTTAAAAATATAAATTCTGCTGACATCAATGCTGCTCAGTGGTTGGCAACAGAAGGTGAATTTCCCCAGGCCCACCATAAAATACAATACAAAATGAAATTTGTATAGCGCCTTTCACATCGGGAGGACCTCACAAGGGACTAATCACTTCTCTTTTCTCCCTCCAAAAAAGCAAAGTGCACTGTACAGATCTGAATTTTATCTAATAGTCCACTGAGAGCTGGATACAATTTATGAGAAAGTAAAGGTGATGTTGAAGTGTAAATTATACTTGTGCCCCTCTGATTGGGGGAATCCAGGATTCCACCACCAAAGGCGTCAGGGGACTCTTTATTACAGCACTTTTGATTTTTTTTCACACTACATTATTGTACTTTGATCAGAATAGCTAAACTTGGTAAAGTACATCATGCTATTCATTTTAAAGGCTTTGAAATACTTATAAATGTTTTTCTGCAGATGTGGCTGCTGCTATGACAGCATGCTATATTTACATGTAGTTGGAAAACTAAACAGGATCAATATGGTTTTATTGTTTTGTATAATTCAATCCGTGGCTCCCTTCACTATTAATGAATGTATTGTTGTATTTCCCATCATGTTTTCTGGTGGCAATAACAAAAGATTTACAGCTTGCTTATTCCAATATATGTAGTCTATGTACAGAACGGTGCAGCACACCATTAAAATATTAAATATGCTCCACGGATTCAGCTTCAAATCTGCCAAGTGGCAGAGTGCCAATTTCCTGTTTATCTTTTGAGAAAGACTACTATGGATACCCGACGTTGTTGAATGCAGCTGCTTTTAAAGAAAATTATTTGTCTTCTAATGTTTGAGAATATAATGTTTCTAATATAAAAGCTCACATGTGGTTGATTGCACAACTAATGACGGTACACGTATTGGTCAAATCCATAACATATATTTAATTATCCAAGATTATTGACGTTTAGCTTCCAGACATAAATTCTGCCAATCCCTACCATTTCACTCCTTTCTCCCACAACATATAATCTCCCCCCTCCCCCCAAGAAAATGGCTGGATAGTAGACTTCTCCAGAACATGTGCCACATTCCAGTTGTAAATCTGTGGAGGCTTTTCCATGTCACTGGTTTCTTGGCTGGCAATCTTGTAAATATGTAATGCTGGTCATCATGATTTTATTTATCTGTACATATAAATGCACAGAAAATACTCCAGAACAAAGTTGAGAATGTGAAGTATAACTTGTAGCATCAGGGCCTTGGGACGTGCTCCTGATGTGAAAGGCGCTATACAAATGTAGTTTTGTAGTGTAAGTAACTTTCAAGTTGCAAGGGTTTTCCATTCAGTTGTTCAAAACAAGTTGAAGCTACACTGACTGCATGGAGAAAAGCAGCATCTAAACTGATTTACACACTTGACATTAGGTTAAATTGACCCAGTTTGAACCCTGAATCAATTCAACAATGTTTATATTAATATTATTATTGCATATAAGAAATTGAAGCATTTTATCCTTTTCTTTCCAATACTAACAACCGTTGTTTTGCAGATGGCCTTAAAGACCGGAAGAGAACCTCCTGCTATATGGAAAGTACAAAAAGCTTTGTTACAAAAATTTATGCCTGAAGTCAAAGATGGACGGAGACAATTTTCTGCTACCAACAGTGTAAGTGAAACCTTGACTTTTTAATACGAAAACCATGCTTCATAAAGCAGGGTGAATGTCAGTGGTTGTCTTACTTAGATTGTTTTTGCAGTATAGTATTTATAATTTAGCAGGAAAGGCTGAAGTGCTTGCAGCAAAAATTCCGCTTTCCTGCATGTTACAACCTGCTCTGATTTGGCTTATAAAGCTTTCTTTCTGCTGCTAAAGGATTACCCTAAAAATGCAGGTTGTTTTGTCATCTACGTTTGTGCTTATTGCAGTGGTGTTGTATGCAATCAAGATTATCACATATTTTAGGTACTTTTATTATCAGTTTACATTTCTGAATTTGAGCCTCAAGAGTCAATCCGTAACCTTATGGTGAAGTTCCGTACCGTATTGTGTTTTTTTTATTATTGCTGCTTTCTTCATGTGAACAACTTAAAATGTCATAAGTCCCACTTACTTTACAAGATGCAGTAGTATAATGTTACTTGGGGAGATCGGGTGTGTATCTTGTTCAGGCGTAAATTCCTACCTATCAGACAGCATGTCTAGAGCATGGAGTCATTTCCTGGTTTAAAAGATAAGCTGCACGTTTAAACCGTTCAGGTCCACAGAATTTCCCGCCACGAGCAGTACGTTATTGGGTTATTTGTCCTACGAGAAAACCATCAAATTCACTAACACTTGAGGTGCTTCAGAATTGTGAGTGTCGCTCATAATTATATCCAGTGCTGTATATTGTTTATTGACCTGTCAGGATTATGGTGCAAAGCTTTGAGGAAAGCAACAATAAAGCAATCTAATCAGACATTCTGTATACATGAAGAGGCAGTGAGAAATAATGGAATACTAATGAACACGGTTATTATGGAAAAATTATTTTCCAAAAGAACTTTGGTTTAAATTGCTCTTTTCTTGATTTACAGTACCTTGGATATTTTGGAGATGCAAAAAACAAGTACAAGCGGGTTTATGTAAAGTATATAGAAAATGTAAACAAGAAGGATTATGTTCGAGTGTGTTCCAAAAAGCCAAGAAACAGACCTTTGCAGACTTTGAGGTATGGAAAATTGATTTTTTTTTTGTCCATCAAGAACAACAATTGATGCATTTTAATGCTGATGAGATAAATGCCAGCTTTATGTTGATGCAGATAGTCATAAAGCTTGAGTGGGGTATTAATTAGCACTTGGAATTCTGACAAAGCACAGTGAGCTTTCTGTTCAAGTAATTGAGTATTAGCATTAACGTTGTCAGACCACCTACTGGCTGAATTCAGATTTCAATTTTGTATTCTTATGACAATACTCACTTTGTAAAGAGGCAGGCAACGGAAGCAGTTTAGCAAGTTACCAAGTGCAGAAGTATAAGCGAAAGTAACTGCGGAATTTCAATACTGACGCTTCTCAATTGGTCAACGGACATACAGTTACAGTTACACCCCCCATTGCAATGTTTCTTGGTCTATACAAGCTCAAATTCATTTTTCGTAATATAAGAGAATAAAAAATTATTTAACTATAAAACCGATGAATAATGCAGGCTCAACTTTGATTTTTAAGGAAGTAATGAGTCCAGCGTTAGTTAAATGAATAATAGCATTTAGTTCAATGTTTTTGCATAATGTGACGGAATTAATTTCAGCGCACGTACGGTTATATTATTCACTATTGTTACAATTTTATTTCCAGACACAGCCACTCGAGGTCCAGCTCCAGTCACAAAGCCTCTGTTGGTAACTCGGCATCGCATAAAGGTTCCTCAGCGAGATCCAAAGCTAAACAGGCTAAACCGGTTAAGCAAGCAAAAACAAAGGCTGAGCCACCACCCAAAAAAAGGAAAAAATGGCTCAAGGAGGAGCCTTCATCGCCCTCAGACTCTTCTCCTGAAACTCAAAGTGAGGAAGATGGTGAGGCCCTGTTCCACTTCATATTTTGGTTGTTTATAAGTTTTAGTGCAGTGAGTCCCCTGAATATTCTTTCAGCGCCTTGGGACGTCCTCCCGACGTGAAAGGCGCTCTATAAATATAATTTTGTTGTTGTTGTATTAGGATCATCCTTCAAAATATAGCTAATATATTGTCTCTTAGCCTTGTATTACAAAGGGTGGATTTTGCTGTAGAGATTATTATTTGGGGTTATTTGAACATGCATTTTGCGGTTTCTGAATGATCACCGAAAAATAGGTTTTTTTTTGTTTAAAGCAAGTAAATTTTGTTGCCTTGCCACAAATTCTTGTGTTGCCTTCTGAAGGGAAAACAACAATTAAGAACAATGAGAACTCAAAGATCACAACAGATATCTATCTATAGGGGCTCTTGAACTGGGAAAAAGCTAACCAAGCCATGGGCCACATACTCAAGCATCCTGTTTATATATCTGTACGAGGAGCATTAGGACACCTTACAAACTCTATTTGTGGGGGAGGGAGGGGAATTGCTAATTGGATTTTTTTTTGTCTTTAAAATAAAAACGTCTTTCTGCTCAGATACTGCGTTCGTTTCAAAAAGAAATACACATGGAAGGACACTTAGAAATGCTCAGCAGAAATCAGGTTTGTGAAATAATTAATATAAGCTTGCTCCAGGATTGCATTGCATTTTTACCGTCCATTATCTTTTGCAATTAACCATGGTATAATGTATTGTATAACTTATCAATCAGTTACATAAAGAAGCTGTCCCACAATTTCCGCTGCCTAACATGGGACGATTTTCTTCTAATTGTTGCCATAGAAACACTCTAAAACGGCTTGAGAAGACGAACAAACAGAAGATTCAGACTAGAATTTCATGCACAATCTCCACAGCTATGATTTGGGCTAATGAACTTGTATTCAATTTAGAATCTCTACTTTTACAGTAGATCATATCCAAGTGAAGTTATTAAATTGGAAATGATCTACCAGGAATCAGTGGTTGAACCTTTCACGGAATGACCTGGTATAAAATTAAAGAAAAGATGGATTTGAGCAGTTCAACTAAACTTTCCTCATTTTTTTTAAAAGAAAAGTTGGCCTTAAATGTGGTTATAGCTTTCCATGAATCATGAGTGTGCCTGGATACAGAGTGCATTTCTTTGTGCTTATCAGTATAAAACTATTAGAACTTATGTGGAAACTGTGCATTATTTCTTTTAGAAAGATATTTTCCTATTAAAAAATGTTTAATTTATTTCCTTACAAATTGGATAGGGGGGGAAAAAAATCACATTTGTGTCAAAACATCTATGTAAATGAATCGATAAACAGTAAAATGTTTTGCTTTTAGCTCTATGCTTTTGTTTGGCTTTTGCCAATTTTCTACCCTTTTTTGTCCCCCTCCAACTCTTGCTGGGTTGCGAGTTCTTTTGCGTATGCAGAGATGATGTACCTATTATTATTATTATTATTATGATGTACCTAAAGATACAACCAAGGTATTTTAAATGTCTGCCTAAGCAGCACATATAATACAATTATGATTTAATACAATTCAGAACGCTCCCCAGCAACACCGTATGTTGCCCGTTTCCTGAACACCAGAACGATGAAAGAGACGTTCAAGAACTATGTGGAGCTGCTCGTCAGTACTGCTCTGGATCCAGACATGATCGAAGCATCAGAAAAGAGTAATGGTAAGTTCGGATGCTGCTTCTCATTTTTGCTCGTTGCATTGTATTAAAAGTTGTCCTCCCGACATGAAGGGCGCTATACAAATGTAAGTTGTTTTTGTGGTTTCTTAAATTAACCAAATTCGTAGATCAATTTACACACATCATTTTTAATGGAGAGAACAGTTAAATCATTTGCAATTTTTCTAATTTCTCACAAAACTCACCCTGTGGAGGATATTGTGGGTAAATTAGTGCCTCCCAGTGCAGCGGAGCAGAGCATGGTTGTATATTACTGTATTGTGCTGTTAAACTGTGATTGGGGAATGGTGGCTATCCAAGAACTTGGAATGCCTGACATTTGTAAATCTCAGCATCATAGGTTCGGAGTAACCAGTGTGGCCTCAATTGTGCTGTAGGTTCAAGTTCATTGCATAAACCTATGTGCTTAACCTCATTCCGTAGAGCTGTGTATCACGCAGGGGAATCACAGCTGCTTTTAATCCTATTGATGTCATGAATTTGCTCTTTGCCATAAGTCCTGCTACAGTTGAAGTGAGGAGCAGGAACTCCAGCTGCTTTTCTTTAGGTCAGAATTGTTATGGTCACCTCACCTAAATCGGCACAGGTGGGGGAATAGATCCTGTTGAATGTGAGTTTGATCAATTCACTGTTATCGTGTCTCAACAATTCCTTGAATGTTTTGAGTGTAAATATAACCTGTTGCAGATGAGCTGTATTTGCCACACATGAGGAAGATTGATGGTATGCTGAACGAGACCAAGAAGAGACTGATCACCAAATTCCCACTAGAATCAGCGCTCAAGGTGAGTTTTTTTTCCCCCGAAAAGCACAAACCATTTGCCATTCTGTAGAAATTGTAGCTGCTGCTGTAGTCAAACTAAAGTATGCATAAACATTGTAAAAACAGAACAAAATTAGTAGTTATTTATTCCTGTGTATTTATTGTGTATATGATTTACCCACTTAATTATGCACTACTCTGTAGTCTATATGATAATAGTAAATCATTTAATTTGGCTCTTTTACAATGTTACACAACCTTGAGTTAGTACATAGATGAATTATGTTCGAGATATTGAGGATTCTAGTTATTGGGTTCCACTCCACCATTTCCCTACTTCCTTACCTGTGAAGACGTGCTAAGCATATATAGATATGACAATCTGTCATCTATTTATGCTTCTACATTTATGTTTGTGCTTGCCCTGGCTGCTGCTTCTCTCCTCTTTAAATGGAGCAGAAAAATATTTTTCTGTTTTTGGACACATCTGAAACATGTTTTGTTTGATTGATTTCTTAACAGAGTTACGATACGTGTGTCTGCGTTGTTGGAGTACTGCATAATCTGGAACGGTTCACAGTTCGATTAAAATAAAACCTTTCCAGTGGGTGCATTTGTTTTATTATTCTGTTTTGCAGACTGCGCTGGAAAATCTTCCTGACTTGACAACAGGTGGCACAACTGCAAAGAGCAGTAATCCGACATTGTCCAAAGTTAAAATGAGCGGTAAAAGTTACAACAAGAAAACTCTACAGCCAGTAAAACAGGGTGCTAAGGGCCCAAAGGTAAACGCTTTGATACATTTGCATATTTTGATAAACAATAATAAATTGGTCACTTCAAACCACAACTGTTTGTTTGGCTGCTGCATTTCGCCCACAAATATACTGTCAATTCACTTTACAGTCTATTCTGTGAAGCGCTTTGAGACGTCGAGAAGACGTGAAAAGCGCTATATCAAGTGCAAGGATTATTATTTTATTATTATACATACTGCTCTGTGTGCAATTGGCTGCTGAGTTTCGCCCACAAAACACACAGTCTCTCCACTTTACAGTGTATTCTGTGAAGCAGTTTGAGACGTCTCAACGACGTGATGAGGCGCTATATCAAATGCAAGGATTGTTATTGTTACTTTTTCTTCAAATAGGCTGCAATCCAAAATTGGATTATACTGGAAATTACATTTTGCAAATTTTTGTTTTGCTGTTTTAACTTCAGGAGTTTACTGTGGACCCGGAGAAATTACAGTGCTGTACTTTATATCACTCTCTTCATCACTATAAATATCATATCTACCTTATATGCAAGAAAGAGGTGAGTATTAATTTTCTATTGTGCAATGCATCATATTAAATTACAGTATAGTAAAATAGATCATGGTCATCTCATAAATCATTGTCATTTAGTGTTCAAGTTCCCTTCAAAACAAAAGCACAGCCAGATTTATATTTGAATGGAGCTCAATCTCTGTTTTGGAGTAGTAGATAGATTTAAGTTGAATGAATATTTTCAATAATCTCTTGGTATTGATAGATACTCCTTTATTTTGAAGGAAGTAAAATTGATCTATACAATGTCTGTTTAATGTTAGACCATAGGTATAGTATATGTGTGTGTATCTATGCATTCAACCTGTTGTTTGTAATCCTTGAATCCTATTTCTAACTTTTTTTAAAAATTAATTGTTTTGGACAGACGGTTTCCATTCTAAAACAGAATAAAGATCTCGGCCAAGTTGACACAATCCAGCAATGTATGGAAAATCAGACGTGGGTGGAGAACCTCTTCGAAAACTTTGGCGACCTTCTGACACAAGCACAGCAGAAGTGTTTATAATGTACATACAAGGTTTTTAAACAGTCACATGGCACTAATCTGATATCACAGGGACATACTGAAAGACTAAGCCTATACTAAGGGCACACATGGGCCCTGACAGACCTTATAACTTGGCTCTACCTAAGGAGTGTGGTGGCCAATAAACAGATTTTGGCGTTGGGAGTATATTAATTATGTCTGTAACCACATTTTTACTATGGCCAATGTTTTTGATTGATTTGTATTCTGTAAACTTGAGGTATCGAGTAACTTTTATTTCCCCAAATAAAAGGAAAATTACTAAAAAAAAAACAAAAAAACTTTTGTGACCGATCAAAATGGCAAGGCATGCAATAAGTATATTATGATTTTCTTTATTAATGTAGTTTAAAACACTTAGGAATGTTTTGTTCAATGAGAAATGCTTTATAATTTGTTTACCTGCCTCTTGCTGGCCTGCAAGTTGAGGAAGTGGGGGTAACAATATCTTTCTGATGTCTGCCTACCAAATTTCCATACATATTGTAAAGAAAGTTGGTGTCATGGCGTTCTTTACAGTAAATTTGTCATCACAAGATATATAATTTTCTTTGCTTTACAGACTCCTTCTACTTAATAAAAAAAAGTTCAGGAAACTGGACGTGGAGTTGGTGCAATCCTATGGCTATTTGTGTCAATTCTGCTAATGAAAATGTGATGAACACATCTATTTTCCCTCTTTAAAGAAAAATTATTTTGCCTTTATACCCATATTTCTTTAAAAATCTAAATTGTACATTTTATCTCATCAATAGTTGTATTTTTCACAGAGAAAATATTGTGGTTTGAAATATATTCATGTATCTCTAATACACTCTGCATTGTTTTCAGTAAATCCTTTCCATTTATATGTTGATCACACATTGTATACTATATATACTGAGGTAAACTCCTATCTCTGTTTTCTTGTTAATTCAAGTTTGCTTCAGTGTTTACCAGATATGCATATTGGACTAGTTTTGCCTTTTAAGTGTAGCTGTGTTACACATTGCAATTATTTTCTGATACATGAAAATAAATTTCCTACTAAACAAAGACCTAATGCCAAAAAAAACTTTTTATATTATACCAAGATAATTTTTTAACAAGTCAGCAATATGTACAGTACATTTGTAAAAGTAGTTTAATTTTCCTTCATTCCTTGTTTTCTACTGTTTTATATGGAGAATGGTTTCCAGAATGTTGTGTGAACTGCTTGGTTTATTTTTGGTCTAGACTACAGGTGTTTTACTCTACCAAAGTAATCTTTTAAACTGATTACCATTTTAAACTCCTCTTCCTACACTTTTCATTGCTTTATTTATGTCTTGCAAACTAAATCATTGCACTTTCACATTCTAAACGTTTTCAAAGAAATGACTCACATTTTCCTTAAAATTTTACATTTTCGGAACATCTTTTGCTCTGGACGGACAGATGGGAATTTAGGAAGACTGGGGAATGAAATGCTTCTGCACTTTGGGAGACTGGTGTAGAATAGCCAGACATAAAATAGGCCCAACAAGAAGCCTAGACCTCAACACAAAAGAATGCCCACAAAGTCTTCAATGAATTTTTTTTCCATTTTCTACACCAGCTATTACTCTTGAGTGAGAAAGCCAAATTTTTTGATGATTTTGGACTTGGACCCACTTGGAACTAAATTGAGATTGCTGAACTCATTTTGAACGGCATCCATAAAGCTTTAGAGAGACGAGACTTTTATCCCATCAGTTTGGGCTGGGTTCAAACATTGAGCCGGTTTCCTGATTTAGTTTTCATCTTACTAATATAAAACTTTTTCCTTCCCTTCCCTCGTAAAGGTTTGATCTAAAATTACTGGACATTTGATGCCAACTTTTCACGCAACATTTGGTGTTGTGGTCCATTTACTGTAGCACTCACTTTGTTATAATAAAACGTTGCTTGGCTGCTGAGTTTCTGATGTGTATGGGTGGAGGGAGAGAGAAAGGGTGTAATTTTGGTCAGTTTCTATTATGACTGCAGTGTTGATTTTCTACCGCTAAATGTTACTGCCACATTTTAAAAATATGCTGGTTAGAGATGGTAAAGAGGACATTTTTTGAAGTTGCGTCAAAACGTTGCCTGAGAGGAAACCTATGATCACGATCTGAGTGAAACTGAAAATGTCATATCGCCATGTTTCCTTTATTATTTTGATGTTTTGGTGAGTAAAGGTGTAAAGGAATATCAATCAACATAACTAATGTGTTGTGTAGTTTATTTTACACTTGGGGTGCATTGATCATGTGCATGGCACAGGCTTCTCCAAATCAAAAAAAACACTGCATACGTCTAGCATACGCCTGGATATTTCACTGCAAGTCTTGGGATGGACTTTATAAATGGAATCTTGTTGTTGTTGTTGTTGGACTTGACTTATTTTAACGTCCAGTTTATTCAATATTGCAATGTAGAGAATGTACCAAATCCCATGGTGACATCTAGTGTCAGAAAATCATACTACAGAAGAAAAATCAATGCAATTGGCACTTGGGGTAGTGTCAGATTATCGACCTTCTGCCTTTTTGAGATCCTTTAAAAAAAAATGATCATCTTTAATTGAATTGATGGACAGCTGGATTAAAGAGTTTTATGTTCAAAATAAACTTGGGGGAAGGTAACACGGAAGTGAAACACTTTGCAATTTTTAGCACCCACATTACACACACCAAAGTGAAGCGCATATTTGTGTATAGCTTAACTTATCCCACACTCACAAGACCATCCTTAGCATTAGTGACGCTTTTTTTTGTTCATTTGCCACAATAAGCCATTTTTATTGTGACTGAATGACTGCTCGTTTGTATGTGGTGGGGGTTCATGCATTGTATGGACTGCATTGAAAGTATTCAAACTTGTGTCACTTAGGGATATTTACAACAGGCAGAAAGTTGGCTAAATTTCATCCCAAAACTAGTTTGCAGCAGTGGAATGACTTTTTAATCCACTGTCATTCAGTGCATTGAAAGAAAATAAGTGATGTGCAGTGCATGAAATATATTGACTGATGCTGAAACGAACGCGAATCACGAAAAAGATTTGGCATTCTGTGTATGCAAATTAATTCCTAGTGGGGGATATTTCTAAAATGTGGGGAAAAACTTAACAGGATGATAGAGATTTTAATGTTGGTAAATTAAATTTTTAAAGATTTTTTTAATATCAACTACTCCTGCAGCACACGAAAGGCACATTAGATCCAGAGAATACATGTTCTCCCCTGAACTCAAACATTTCTCCCCTCACAGTGTTTTCGTTTGAAGCAACTATTACATTTCATAATTGGGTATTATTTGTATTCCCTGCTTATCAAAATGACTTGTCTGAACTGCTTGGGAAAATCCATTTTTTTTTAAATTAAAAAGAATTCCGAGTGCCTCTTCCTCTCAAATAAAACGGTGAGGGCACAGTTGGAGAAGAAAAACATTGCTACTAATTTACTCGCTATTTTTGTTCTTGATCCCAAGGAGGTGACTTCTCACTAAATGATGTATGTGTCATGAGTCTCTGGTAGTCATACGCAGAGGATTATGTAGGCAACTAATCCATCAGTTTACCCTGCAGTAAAATAGCAAATACATCATCTTGAGGCCAAACTGTCTAAAGCTACACTAAGTGAATCTGCTTACTGGCAATGCTCAGCATCTTCTGGCTCACATGGTTGAGTTAAGAAATGTTATCACAGTTGCAACTAGTGTTTTTTTCTCAATCTTCTTGCTGATCTTATTGCCAAATACAAAGGTCTTAAATAAACAGCAATGAAGTTACCCGGAGCTCTTGAGCAATGCAAATTACTCCCAACTCTGTTATGAATCTGAATTGCAAGAACAGAATGAATCCCAAGATTATTGCAGGCTTGATGAGGACCGTCTGCTTGTTCATCAGTTTAGCTCAAATATTACTAAATGTACCATACAAGCTTTTGGGATATATTTATTTATTCACTGAATTTAAATACATGCTTCAAATTTGCATGTGACAATGCCATTTACACCGTTGTTGCAGTACAACCCAGGCCGTCAAACTCTGGGCTAGAGAGGGACGTTTTGTTTTGACTCTCACTCTTGCTATTCCAGTGAGTCTTCCTCTGTCGGAAGTCATGTGTGCCAGAAGAATGAGGACAAAAATCTGAACTCAGTGGAACAACCTGCAAACACTCAAAATTTGTCTTTTTCCCTTGGAATTGAATTGTTGTTTGGGATGTTGGTTCACGCATCTCCCATCTTGTTCTTCAGTGGAAACCAACAGCTGCGAATGTGAAGTGCTCTCTTACACAAGTTTACAATTGGCAGCTGTGTTGGAATTAACAACTGCAGTAAAATGGGAACCATTTGGGGTGAGTCGCTGATGTTTTGTGAAGTCATATGTGATGCTCCATGATCTTATTTGCTGAAAAGTGGTGAGCACGATGCCGGTGGTGATGTAATAAGGAGGAGATGTATGCTGACGTAACCAAAAACTCATTTTATTTTTTTAAAAAAAGAATAAGATCTGGGAGATCTCTGAGGCAAATGCTCGGATTTGATATACTATAGAAATTACACAATTGCCTCCTGCAAGAAGATCAGATGGCACTGAGATAATATTCTTTAATCATTTCGCAACTCTCCCAATAATAGTAGCTCAATCCTCTTCCCCTTAATCGTCATAGCAATAACTTTTTTGCAGCTGCTGGATTTTTGAAATCCGCTTCCCGGATTGAAATATCTTTCAGTTCCTGGTTTCTCGCCGCTAACACGTGTTCTGGAAACCTGATCCCGGTCCCAGTTTTGCGAGAGAGTTATTTTTACACGGCTAACGATTCGCATCCTGCGCGATCCGGGGGGGTGTTTTTTTCTCTCTCTCTCTCTCTTCCAACTTCAGAGAAAAGCGGTGCACTTCTGCGATGTGATGTGGGGAAAAAGCCTCAGCGATTGATGTTAACGGCAGCTTCCCCGCACGTCACTGGTTTAACCACAATCTCTCCAGAGCCTCTTCCCTCTTTTGTTTTAAGAGGATAAAGGGAGATGCGCGCGTGTGTGTGTCTGTGTGCGTCCACCCCTTTCAGCGGGGCGGAGGGAGGGAGGGAGGGAGGGGGCGGGTGGGTGGGTTGTAATGAAGCTTGGAGAGACTCGCAATGTAGGGGAACCTGTGTTTTTACTCCTTTTGCACTCGCGAATAAACCGGCTGCGTTCAACCGGCATCTGCAGCCGTTTGCCTTTCGCTTTACGTTAAACCGGCCGTCTGTCTTCTCTCTCCCCCCCCCCCCCCGTCCCTCCTCCCCCCCCCCCACTCACCCCCCCCCTAGCAAAGTGGCTGTGCCAAAGGTGCTATTGAAATATAATCAGTTGTCGTGTGCAATTGGCTGTCGCCTTCTCGCCCACAAAACACGCAGTTAATCCACTTCAATAATCATAATAATAATAATAAATAATAATCTCCGCGTTTGATAATGGCTCCGGATCACATCTTCTGGATGTGAATTTAAGCGCTCGGGGACACGATAATGAGTGCAGGCGGTGGTCGTGGAATGTATTCACAGTCTATTCGGCGAAGCGCTTTGAGACGTCTCGAAGACGTTATACGGCGCTTATATCAAACGGGAGGATTATTATGATTATTGTTATTATTAAAGCTTTAATAATAATCATAATCATAACGTGTGTGGGGGGGCTGTGTGTGTGTGGGGCTGTGGGGGGAGGTGTAGGGGAAGGTGTGTGGGGGGGAGGTGTGGGGGCGGCTGTGTGGAGGGGGGGCTATGGGGGCTGTGTGGAGGGGGGCTGTGTGGGGGGGGGGCTGTGGGGGTGGGGGGCTGTGTGGAGGGGGGCTATGGGGGCTGTGTGGAGGGGGGGCTATGGGGCTGTGTGGAGGGGGGGCTATGGGGGCTGTGTGGAGGGGGGGCTATGGGGGCTGTGTGTGGGGGGGGCTGTGGGGGTGGGGGGCTGTGTGGAGGGGGGCTATGGGGGCTGTGTGGAGGGGGGGCTATGGGGGCTGTGTGTGGGGGGCTATGGGGCTGTGTGGGGTGGGGGGTGGGGCTGTGTGGGGGGAGGCTGTGGGGGCTGTGTGGGGGGGCTGTGGGGGGGGGCTATGGGGCTGTGTGTGTGGGGGGGCTATGTGTCTGGGGGCTGTGGGGGCTGTGTGGAGGGGGGGCTGTGTGTGGGGGGGGGCTGTGGGGGGGTTGTGTGTGTGGGGGGGGGCTGTGGTGGGGGTTGTGTGTGTGGGGGGGCTGTGTGTGGGGGGGCTGTGGGGGGGCTGTGTGTGGGGGGGGGGGTGGGGGTTGTGTGTGTGGGGCGGGGTGTGGGGGGGGGGCTGTGTGTGTGGGGGGGCTGTGGGGGGGCTATGTGTGTTTGGGGGGGCTGTGTGGGGGGGAGGCTGTGGGGGGGGGCTATGTGTGTGGGGTCTGTGTGTGGGGGGGGCTGTGTGTGGGGTCTGTGTGTGGGGGGGCTGTGGGGGCTATGGGGCTGTGTGGGGGGCTGTGTGTGTGGGGGGGGGCTGTGGGGGCTGTGTGGGGTGGGGGCTGTGTGTGTGGGGGGGCTGTGTGTGTGGGGGGGGGCTGTGGGGGCTGTGTGGGGGGGGTGGGGGGCTGTGTGGGGGGGGTGGGGGCTGTGTGTGTGGGGGGGGCTGTGGGGGCTGTGTGGGTGGGGGCTGTGTGTGTGTGGGGGCTATGGGGCTGTGTGGGGGGGGTGGGGGGCTGTGTGTGGGGGGGCTGTGTGTGTGTGTGGGGGCTGTGGGGGCTATAATAAAAAAAAATTATTATTTCTCTCCTACCCCACCCCTGTGACATGTCTACACATGTGGAGTCCTGTAGCTCAGTGGTTAGAGCACTCGCTTTGCAAGTGAGAGACCAGAGTTCAATTCCAGGCAGAGGGCCAAACCTTGGGCAAGTTTCCTTACTCCACACAGAGCCTAATAATAATCCCTCCAAAACACAACAATAATAAATTGGTCATTTTCAATCCACGACTGTTTGTGGGACATTGCTGTGCGCAATTGGCTGCCGCGTTCGCCCACAAATATACAGTCAATTCACTTTACAGTGTGTTCTGTGAAGCGCTTTGGGACGTCCTCCCGACGGGAAAAGCGCTATATCAAATGCAAGGATTATTATTATTATTATTATTATGGGGCTGTGTGGGGGGGTGGGGGCTGTGTGTGTGTGGGGACTATGGGGGGCTGTGTGGGGGTGGGGGGCTGTGTGGGGGGAGGCTGTGGGGGCTGTGTGGGGGGGAGGCTGTGGGGGCTGTGTGGGGGGGGAGGCTGTGGGGCTGTGTGGGGTGGGGGGCTGTGTGGGGGGGGGGTGTGGGGCTGTGTGGGAGCAGTTGACCTGAACCGTTCGGCTTCCAATAGCAACAGAGCCGAACTTCCGGTCTCGGAATGTGCCACCGGCCCCGCCGTGTGTGGGGGGGGAACAGCCGCGGGGACTGCGGGAGGTTTAGAAAAAAAAGAGATTCGAACCCCCCCCAAAATAATGCCAAGTTACCCTGAAAACAAATAGTTGTTGTGGAGGGAGTGAGAGAGAGAGAGGGGGTGTTTTATTTTATTTCGGGGTGTGGGGGTGTTAGGGTTCCCCCCCCCCCTCCCATTGAGACGGCGATGGCGCGCTCCGCTCGGTCACAGTCGCGGGGGGAGGGGCCCGGGGGGAGGGGGCGGGGCCATGGCGGTGACGCGACGCTGAGGAGGGAGGGAAGGAGGGAGGGAAGGAAGGAGGAAGAGACGGATAGACAGATAGAAACACACAGAGAGAGAGAGACAGAGAGAGGAGGAAAAAAAGGGGCCCCAAAAGGAGACGAAGAAAGAGAGGGGCGGAGGAGGAGGTCAGAGCGACGGAGAGAGAGAGAGAGAAGGGGAAAGGAACTAAAGGGAGAGAGAGAAAGAAAGAAAGAAAGAAAGGAAAGAGGGAGCGAAGGGGGAAAGGAAGTGAGTGAGAGGAGAGGAGAGGAAGAGGAAAGAGAGACAGAGAGAGAGAGAGAGAGTGAGTGAGTGAAGGCCAATTCGGAGGAAAGGAAAGACGGTGTGAAAGAGAACGAAGGAGAAAGGAGCAGAAAGAGAGAGAGAGAGAGAGAGGGGGAGAGGGAGGAGGGGAGGAGGAGGGGAGGGAGTGAGGGAGGGAGTGAGGGGAGGAAGGCGGTGCTGGAGGAGGGAGGAGGCGGATGGGCCCGGAGGCGCCGCTATGTCACAGCCGCCGCCGCCGCCGCCGCCGGGCTGTGTGAGGAGGGGCCGAGTGCCGGTGGATACGCTCCGCTCGTGGTGGGAGGTACCCGCCATCGCGCACTTCTGCTCTCTGTTCAGGGCCGCCTTCCTGCTGCCGGACTTCGAGATCGAGGTACAGAGGGGGAGGGGGGAGTGTGTGAGGGAGGGAGGGAGGGAGAGGGGGGAGAGAGAGGGAGGGGAGAGGGGGGGATGGTGTGAGGGAGAGGGGGGAAGGGGGGGATGGTGTGAGGGAGAGGGGGGGAGAGGGGGGGATGGTGTGAGGGAGGGAGGGAGAGAGAGGGATGGTGTGAGGGAGAGGGATGGTGTGAGGGAGAGGGGGGGATGGTGTGAGGGGAGGGGGGGATGGTGTGAGGGAGAGGGGGGGATGGTGTGAGGGGGAGGGGGGGAGAGGGGGGGATGGTGTGAGTGTGAGGGAGAGGGGGGGATGGTGTGAGGGAGAGGGAGAGGGGGGATGGTGTGAGGGAGGGAGAGGGAGGGGGGAGTGTGAGGGAGAGGGGGGAGAGGGGATGGTGTGAGTGTGAGAGTGAAAGAGAAAGAGAGAGAGAGAGGGAGAGATGGAGTGTGTGTGTGTGTGAGAGAGAGAGAGAGAGAGAGTAAAAGAAGAGAAGGGAAGGAGGGAAAGTGACATCTCCCGATAGGAAAGATGGCGGTGACCGGTCCGGGGCCGCACTCACTCACCCGCCCGCGCGACCGCTTTGTCTGTCCCGAGCGGCCGAGACTCCGCGACATTATTGTTTGTTTTGTTTGTTTGTTTGTTTGTTTCCGGGGCCCTCCCGACCCCATCCCACCAGCCCTTCACTGTCACTTCGCGGTGGTGATGGGGTGGGAGTGGGGGGGGGGGGTCAGGCGTGTTGTACCCCCCCCCACCCCTCACCCCCCCACCCCTCACCCCCCCACACCCCTCACCCCCCCCCACACCCCACACAGTCTGTTGTTTGACTCCCCCCCACAGACTGGGGCTTTTGTTTCATTTACACCCACCCCCCCCCCCCACCCCCATAGACAAGGGCTGTTTGATTCTCCCCCCACCCCCTCCCCCTCCCTCACACAGACTCGGGCTATTGCTTGATTTACCCCCTCCCCACGCCCAGTCTGTTGTACGGTTTGACCCCCCCACACCCCCACGACGACTGAGGCTGTTGTCTGATTTCCCCTTCTCCCCCCCCCTCCCCCACGACTGAGACTGTTGACTGATTTCCCTTCCTCTCTCTCTCTCTCTCCCCCCCCACCCCACCATCCTTTCCTTGGCTGTTATGTTTGACCCCCCCCCCGCCCCGGGCTGTTTAATTTTCTGGATCAGGATTTTTAAAAATAAGAAATAAGATCGCACATTTGCAGAGGGGATTTGTGGACACTTCCCTCTCCTGTCGTGCCTTCACCCTCCCCCCCTTCCTCCCCCTCTCTCGACACTCTACCCCCTCCTCGCTCCCTCCCTTTTCCCTCCGGCCATTCCCCCCCCAATGCTCGGGTCCCGACCCAACTGTCCAGCGCCTTGGGACGTCCGTCCTCCCGACGTGAAAGGCGCTCTTTAAATGCAATCTTGTTGTTGTTGTTGTTGGTGGTGGTGGTATTTTGCTCAAGTGGCAATTATTCTTGAAAATGAATGGGTCATCGGGCAATTTGACTGGTGGGTGGGGGTGTGGGTGCGGTGAGTAACCGGTGCAGGTTCAGCAAATGCTCTCGAATAGTATTTCGGAGTGAGAATCCTGGGTGGATTCCCCCCCCCCCCCCGCCCGCCCCCCCACCTCCCTAACCTGAGGCATCAAGACAAATTCCAACCTTTGGTGCCTCCCCAGCTCTGCAGCAAAAAAAAATGGCATCATCCTGATCTGCGCACCTTAGGCACTCGCCGAGTGAACTTGTTCTTGGCTGATTTCTGTCGGGCGAATACGACGCGATCGGAACCGGCGAATACCTTTGCAGACGCGTCTTTAAAAATGACTGTGGGGCTTATTTAGTTTGGTCGGTTTCTGAGACTCATGTAGCCCTTCAATGGTCGCGTCTTACGTTACATAAAATGAGTCTTGGTTGGATCGTTTAACTTTGGTTTGCATGACGAGGTTTGAAATGACTCATTCTCCCTTTATTGTAACGCGTTGTGAATGTGTCTGTACAGGTAGGCCTGAATCTATGACCGTCGAGAAAACAAATCCTAAATAACACTTCGGGACTTCACCACCAGTTAATTCTGTTGGCACTCACCCTCTGGAACTCCATCCCGCAGTTCCTCCCACCTTGGTCCCTCCCTTGCCTCCTTCAAGACCCTCTTCTTCGACGGTGCCTTCGGTCACCCCCCCCCCCCCCCTTCCCCACCATGTCCTGCACCCTACCCTCCCTGATCCTAACCCCCAGATTGGGTCTGAAACACCGATTGTCCAGCACCTTGGGACGTCCTCCCGACATGAAAGGCGCTGTACAAATGTCATTTGGTTTTTGTTGTTGAGAAAAAATGTATGCAGTATTTCCTCTCCCTCACATCGGTGACATTGTCCACGTAATGTGTATGTGTTGCATAATTGTAAATTTTCTGTAAATCCAAATAATTTAAATCTGACCTGGGTAAATAAAATAGTTTGATTGGGGTGGATCCATCTTGGCTCAGGTAGTCTCTCACAGTTGAATGGCTGCTGGCTATGCTCATGCATGAAAATAGGCAGATTTAGTGTCATTAAAAAAAGTTTAAACCATGTAGTATTTCTTCCCACTCAAAGGTGCAGAACAACATTTTACTTGTTCCAGGTGCTGTCTACCTTCCCAATTTGCCCACAAAATACAGTCAATCCACTGTACAGTATATTCTGTGAAGCGCTTTGTGACGTCTCTACGACATAATAAGGAGCTACATCAAATGCAAGGATTATTATTCTCACAATGTCCGAACATTAATGTGCAATTTGAATGCAGGAACGTATAGTTCTTGCCCAACATTGACACCCACACGTTTTCCATCAGGGTTTACTGGATAATGATCAGGATTAAGAAACTCTGGCTGACTTCCTTCTCTGAATCTACTCAATGTATTTGAAACCCGGAGAACCATTCCAGAGTAATTGGCTGGATGATTCCTGATGTGTGGAATAGTTGACGGTGAAGGCTATTGAAAGAAGATATCTGCTATTTTACCTGTCCCTGAACATTAATTGTATTTACAATCACCCCCCACCCCCACCCCATCTGTGAAGAAGCCTGTTATTTTGTAAGCAGGTGTCATGGTGGCATTTGAGATTCACTATTTTGTCCCCCAAGGAGTATAAGGCTGTCGATGTCTCCTACCTTGTCATGGGGAAAAACAATTAGCGGAGCTCTTCTTTATTTGGGGATTATGGCCTCAAGCAAAAAATATCTCAAAGCGCTCGCAATTATTACATTGCTGACTGGTTTAACCAAAGCGTTTTGAACAACAGTGGTGGGTTACATTAAATGATGGAAATACATTTTTTTTGTTAGTTGGCTTCCTTTTCACCATCGCACATTACTTCTGTTACACTAGGAATTTGAAGATGCGCTGCTAGTCGATAACTGGGATTTCTTAGAGGAATTGATATCTAAACTGCTTCGAGGATGTTATCAACGAAAAGATATTTGGTGAGTCCAGCTATACATTAGTGTATGCACATGTTAATTTAATGTAGCACTTGAAAGTCTGCTGGAATAATTCAGTAACTGTTATTTCAGTAAATAGATTTTAGTTGGTGGGCCTGCACGCTATCCCCACTGGTGTAGCTTTAGGGAAGTAGCTGACTGTCTCTTCTTTGATGGCTTTTGCATCTCAGTCATTCTTTAGGCCAGGATTAAAACTTGAGCTTGATTCATTGAACATTTAGCAAATACATACTTCAGTTAAGATGTGTGTTAAGGCTGTCTTGCATTTGCAAAATCATTAATATTCAATTTGAAGTCTCAACTCGGATGTTGAATCTGCTTTTATTTTTGATCATTAGATATGTATTCGTGTCGCAATAAATTGTTCTACAGTGTTCCGCCCAAATTGGTTGTAATCTTAATTATTGCTTTTAGGAATTATGATTAAAATATCTTGTTTTGGACTTGTGTCGAGTTCGGTCATCCATCAAGTAACTCCCTTCTTTTGTCACTGACTACTCTGCGTGGTAGATGTTTACTAGTTGAGTAATGCGTTTGAAATTAATATAATATTATTGAGTGGCAAACGGGACTGTGTCCTGGGAAGGGTGAAATAGGTAGCACTTGTTATCGGTGCTGCAATTGGTTTAGCTAACTCGCCACAAACCACCTGGTCCATATGGCTTAATGTTATACCAACAGCTCAAATCCTTGACCCACTGATCTTGACAATCTGTTCAACATATTGTTAGTACTCTGAAGAGAGAGTTCTTATGAGCACACGTTTGTTTTCGCCAGCATTGAGAATTTCCACGTGTACCTCGAGGACATAATCCGGCATCGCTGGGAGCTTGAGGAGGGGAAGGAAAACCCACTGCAGGGAATACATTTTCGGGCTCTTTCGTCGCGTGTAATCGTAGAAATGCTGCACACACTCTGCGATTATCGTCTGGATGCTACTGATGTATTTGACCTTCTAAAGGTGAGCTTTTTGCTGAAGTGAAAACTTTGGTGGCACAATAAAATACGTAGGGAGGCGTTTCAAGCTGCACAAGAACACACAAGAAGACTTTTGCTAAAAGACCAGTCAGGAGCCCTTTACCTACACTGCACTTTGAATTCCATGAACTGCTCAGTCGCCTCACCTTGCTCAGTGAGCTAACCACCAATTTGAATTGAACTTCAGCAAGAACAATTAATTCTTAATGCACTACAAGACTGGATTTGAAGTTAGATTGGTTTTCCCCAGTGTGGATGAGTATCAAAAGGAAGTGTTGCATTACAGTTCCAATACTGTTGAGTAAAATTTCATCAGTTCTTCACTGCACACACATAAATGAAACCATCTGACTCATCCTGTCAGCAGAGTATCTCTTACCAAAGTAGATCTGGAGCGGTGTATAGAATAGTCATGGAGAAGTGGTCTAGACTCTCCTAGCCAGAAAAGGGACAATGTATACAAAGGGGAGAAAGAGAAGGAGTGTCTTGGATAGAATATCTACATCAGCATTATTTGATTATAGTGAAGGAACTACTACATGTTATCTTCTGAAGGCCTCTGTTTATCAATGTCCTTGTGCTTCATTTTCCACTGAATTGGAAGTCACCCAAGGTCAAGTTCTAATACGAGTAGCTGAAAACTTTCTGGTCTTACACACATTGTGCTTGTCTCTTGAGGGCTGAACTATAATTTCACATTTTTCCTAGTTGGTGGGGAGACTGGTTGGAATGAAGCCCTGTTGTTTTTTTTCCCCCTCTTATCCTCGTTTCCCATTTAACACACAGGTTCACATTTACAGTGTGAATTTTACATCTGTACATCACATTTTAACTAATTGAGTGATTTGAAATCCCAACCGATCTATTTAATGTGGCAAACATTTCATTGACTAACTGACGAGTTAGGAACATTGCTTTGTCCTTATGTGCACGGTTATGAAGCAGGATTTCAGGCCAAAGGTCCAAACAAATTATGCTGATACATGATTGGGGTCATTTGTTTCAGGGGCTGGAAGCAGACAGTTTACGAGTGGAGGCTCTTGGAGAGGACAGCAGTGGCAACTTATACTGGTATTTCTATGGCACCCGACTCTACAGAGAGGAGCTTCCACCACCAAAAGAGAAGGCTGTGAAGAATGACAAAAAGTAATAATTATGTACTTTAATAAGTGGAATATTTATCAAGCTGTTTCTTGTCTTGTGAAACAATGACCAATAGGGTAGATTGCAACAATTCCCAGCCGGAGCTGAATGTTTCCTACGCTGGGCAGCTCCTTACCCTCCAGGCACAAAGCAACCATCTCTGCTGAATTTAATGGAGCCACTCGGCTCGTACCAGTAACGTGTCCCATTGCTGCCCAGTACAGAGAGGTAAGCCATCAGGCATGGTGTGAAAACATGGATACTACACTAGATAGAGGAAGATCTCTGTTAAAGCAACACCCTTTGTTCGTTGTATTATTTTGCCTTAAAAATATCAAATTATTGGTAGTCCGTTGCTGTTTTTGGCATTATTAACTGCATGTGGCAAAGAAAAATGTACCGTCCCTCATCTTCATTTTATTATTCTCAGCATGTAGTTTATCTTCGTACAGGCTTTGTCTCATTCCTTTCCCTTTCTTAAATGCTTTGCACATTGCACAGTGTAAGTATTGCCTTACTACACCAGTCGAAAATATGTCTGACTGTGTGTGTGGGCTTTTATAATACACTATGGAGAGAGACTTGTCACAATGACTATCTTGGTGGATGAAAAGCTCTACCCAAAATATGTGGGATGTTACAGCTCAAATAACATTTGATCGTATTGATGCAAGAGGGGAAAGCGTGGGTAGAAAATTTAACACTATTTGTGTTAGTATTTCAAGAGAATTTAGCAATCTTACATACAGCCTTAATTGTGAAGCTTTTTTGGTAAGTTATTGCAGAAAAACTATTTTCACTGAATTCGACAACTTGCCAAATTCTGGAAGCCATAAATGGAGTAAATGTTGACGCAGGTAATTTTTCGTCAATAATTGGCTAGACCACTAACAAAATCAAAGTCGTGTGCCATTAAACACTGTCCCGTTTCTCCATAAATTATTGAAAATAAAACAGTTGAACAACAAAGGACAATGGTGTGTTCACCAAATAATTGTTGAAATATTTACCTATGTGTATAAGCCCTGAAGCTTGAATGCTGCTTATTTTTCTGATGCTGGTTTTCTACAGTTGAAATCTTTCAAGTCTTGACGACGTGACATTTGCTTTCTAGGAAAGGAATGAAACTTAAGGAAGCAGGAAAAACGAAAAAGTCCAGAGTCTTGCATAAAAATATTAGAGCAAAGAGAAAAGCCAAGAACCAAAAGAAACGGAAACCTCTTTGTAGTTTATCTAAAACAAGGTAGAGTAGAACATGGGAACGCTGATACCGATTCACTTCAAATTCCTTTCAGGCAAAGTGACTTTTTTTTTTCCCCCTCCCAAGTTGCTCCCCATCTCTTGTGGAGTCACTGCTTTTGCTGGGCTATTGCCCCTCAAGTGCCTGCTGCTTCTCAGTACCTCGGCAGTCTGCAGTGAGTTTAGACAGCTAATCGTCACACATACGCACAAAGTTCAGCCAACCCACCACAGACCGGGGATTGAACCTCGGACCTTCCTGATCTATATGGCTTAGTTCTGCATTATGCGACATCTTTACCAATTGACCTAATGGGGGGGTTCCCTGAGCTGTTAATAGCATCAAAAAAAAGTCACTCAATCCAAGACTGTTTGTGCAATTGGCTGCTGCGTTTCGCCCACAAAATATACAGTCAATTCACTTTACAGTGTATCCTGTGAAGCGCGTTGAGGCGTCTTGAAGACGTGATAAGGCGCTGTATCAAATGCAAAGATTATTGTTATTGAAATGTGAACGTGGAAATACGTTTTAAAGATTATTTTAAAAAATTCATAAGCTTTTATAATTTCAGTAGCACAGTTTTGTGGTTCCTCTTGTAGTTTTCATGCATTTCTCCTCGCTCTCTGTTCTTGCCTCACCCCTCCCCCGTCCCCGCTGGAAACTAAGGGTAAATCAGTGCGGGTTCTTAAATTGTTACTGAGGAGCATTATCAGAGGTCTGGAAGCAGCCGTTTTGATCAGTGATTGTTGTCTGGCACAAAAACAAGATTTAGAGAAGCTTGAAAATAAAATGGCTAAAAGCATTAAGTATAATATGCACCAAAATGTGTTCGACAAGTGATTTCAAATGGCAGTGATTTACCGTTGATTCTGTTTTTAACAGTGGTAGAGCTGTGCGAGTCGAAAAAGTAGAAGCCTTTTCTAAAGCAAGGAGCCTACAGAGGGGAAGTGGTGCTGCAGGGAACAATGGTACGGACACACATGGGTGGAACATGTTGACTGTAATTGAATTGGACTTGTATTTATTGGACTAATTTGCTTTATTTGATGGTAAATTAAGAATAAAGTCCGGGTTATAACTGAAGCTGAAAATTGAATGACCAGTTACTAATCAAAATATGCTGAATAATTTGATATTCTGCATATTAACAAATTTCATTCATTCAGAACATCATGACCAGTATTAAGGAAATGTAACCTTTGTCTATCTCCAATGGCATTCCAAATTACTAAGATATCACAGAACTAAAAAGAAAAGATACATTTTATAAAACCTTACATTTGAAAGTGTATTCATTGTGTTGTTGGTGTATGAATCCATCTTATTATTGCTGCCGTATTGTTTTTTGGACGGGGTGGGGGGAGGGTTATAATCTAATGCTAAAGAATTTGCCTGAATTTGTTTGTGCATTGTTCAGTCATACAGGAAATGAGTTCAATTGTCACCATCTGCAGTAATGGCCACAACTGCAGACGTTTAACGTTTTCCCTCTTTTGTGTTTCCTTTCGGTTAATAGTTTCTCCAATGAAAGTATGCCCGGAAGAAAGGGGTTCTTGGTCTCTTGTCTGTCATACTATTGAAGAGTGGCAGAGCCTAGCGGATGGGTTTAGTAACAGCCAGTGCTGCAAAGAACGAAAGCTATACAAAATTCTGTGTGACAACTTCATCCCAGAGATCAGCAATTTGATTGCACAGAAGGTCAGTCGTTATTAGTCTGGTTACACTCTCAAACAGTGCACTATTTTGAATTAAGCCCAGGAGAAAGTGTTTGGAACTAGTTTAATAAAAGAATCTATTCTCTCATTTTTAAAAAAAAGAAAATGGGTGTTAGAGAACGTGAATATTAGATCAGTCAGAGAGGTCGTTTTGCTGTATGGGTTGTGCGAGGACTCTTAAAATGAGTTAACACTGCTCTTATTTTACAATTCTTTCTCTCTTGTCTTCAGGACAGACAACTGCACAAGAGGCTGGTAGACATTGCTCCAAGGAGAGCCTCTGATCGGCTGTTCGTGAAGCGGGTTCATCAGGCAGAAATGGTAACAATTGTGTTCAACATTATGTGGGTTTTTTTTTAAAAGTTGTCCCATTCTTGGCATAACTATGAAAATTCGGTTTGCAACCTGCTCTTAAATGTCTGGTGACACCACAAGCCTAGGAAGACGTGTGAGACTGACCTGCCATTTCCGGCTCCCTTCCTGTGGGGAACTGTAGGCAAACACCTGTGTCCTGTGTTTCTGAAACACTGAAGCTGGAGCTGAAGTCCGTTCATTACCAATGTTTAAGACTCGTGGCACATTGTGATGGGCTGTGGCAGTTTTTGTAGCGGATTCTGCCATTCTAAAACGCATATATACTTTTAGAAGGTTTGAATTGTTTTCAATGTTGTGTTGCACTAATTTACATGTCAAATATTTTACCTTACCTAATAGAAGTTGGTCCAGTCTGCAGTATTGTGTCTGTGTGTGTGTCCTGGCTGTTTGTGTCTAAATGTTTTTGCCTCGAGGGTGCCTGATTCTCATTGATCCATTCTGTTTAAAAGGAAAGGCAGACTATTCTTTCCAGACTGGGGGGAAGCAAAATGGCCAGCAGGTACTACTTTCAAGCACAGCAGATGTTTACCGTACAGGAAATCAAACAACTGGAGGAAGAAGGAAGAATTCTTGCTAGAGAAGGTCAGCGATTGCCTCTTGTGATTTGGGGGGGGCTTGTTTTCAATTTTTTTTTGAAAGAGGAAAGCAGATTTGAAGACTTTTCTGTAGACTCGAGAAATGCCCATTTCGTGTAACCAGAATGTTAGTTTACGTTTAAGTACCGTTGCGTTTTGTGTTGGAAAACACCTGCAGCCATTTCCTTTTCCCTTTTACCAACTGAATGCCACCCAGACTGAAATTTCTATCTTGTGTTCTGCTCGGGTCCAAATCCCTGACTGTCCAGAGCCTTGGGATGTCCTCCCGACATGAAGGGCGGTATACCAGTGTAATTTGTTGTTGTTGGTGGTGATGAGAAATGTTATTGAAAATCTGTTTGCCTTCTTGGCCAAGTCCCAGCTAATGTATGAGAGGACTCGATCGTGTATTTCCATTCCATTCAAAGTCCTGAGTTGCATATTAACGCACTTTGTAGCCAAGTGATGCACGATAAAAGCATTCCTATAATTCACTGGTTTGACTTCATTTCTTCTCTCGCTCTCCCCAAAACAGAACGGGCAAGGCGTCGTCAACTACGAGAGGAAAGAGCAACCGTGATGCCCAGTCTGAGAGATCACCCAAAGAGGAAGCATATTCCAAAGGCCCATTCTCCAGTTACTCTAGAGGAAGCTGATGATGAGAAGCCTCAAGTGTAAGCTGTCTTCATCTTGGCTGTTTGCTCCGACCAATCTTTCGCAACAACTGTCATTGATGATCCTCTGTCATCAGTGATCTTTTCTTACTCATTTTATCATTTTCCTGTTTTCTAATTTTTTTTAAAATAAAGTAGGATTCAGTCTCTCCCCAAAGAATTGCCAATCTCAGCCTTCCGTGGGAGCGAGATGTTGGATAAGCTCAAGATATTCTAGTCGCAGCAATTAACCTGCTGTTCCCTCACTTAAGCATAGTGGGTAAATAGGGGGGAAATTATTTTTATGATGAATAATGAACTTCCATGCAAAATTCTATACTTGATGCACCTTTTTTTAAAAAAAGGTCAATGAGTCCCACGGTATATCTGGAGATTAAATTATAAGTATTTAACATTCTTCTAGTGTTAACTTATAGAGGCTTGTGTTTAACACTTTTTAACATTTATTTTTAGGCATTACACAGATGATGAAGAATACGTTTCCATGTATAAAGGTTGGTAATAGTTGGAATATGGGTCTAAAATCTTACCAAGTTTATGTGAAGTATAACTTGTTTGGTTACTTGGTGTTTATGCTTTATATACAAAATGGACGTCTGTGCAAATCTGAATTGTTTTGAATCTAGTGCTGGGTAACTGTAATGCATGCATCATTAGCTTTTGAAATTTGCTTTTATCAGTCAGCTTGTTTCAACTAGGTGCCATTTGTCATTATTTGCAGTGTTGGATACTGTGAAAGCTCACAAGGATGCTTGGCCCTTTCTTGAACCAGTGGCCGAATCCTACGCCCCGGATTATCATAAGATCATTAAGGTATGGTCAATGAATTGATTAAAGGCAATTCATTAGCAAAAGTGTAAAAATTATCATGTGTCCTGAACACTACCAGAGGGTTGCGAAGGTGGTGCCTGTATCATGTAGATTATAGCCACAAGGAAAGGTACAGCAAGCATTGACATTATTGTGCTCAGTAACCGCAATGACCGATTCAGTTATACCAACGGGTGGAATATAACTAAGTTTAAAAATTCGATTGCAACAGCGTCTGATTATGTTTGGGTACCATAACCTTTAAGGTAACAAAACAATATGCTTTTCAGCATTTACAGTTCTCTTGTGTTTTGAATTTGTCATCCAGTCTGAACACTTTCAATTCGATTATTTTCTGAATGTACAATATTCCTGTTTGAGCCTTAAAGGCTGCAGAATGTAATGAAATATCAAGCTTGCTACTATAGTAATTGTGCCATGAAATTTGAATTGTGTTCCCACTGAATCCCCAGCAATGCCCTTTAATATGTAACCACAAAGTCATGGTAATGTCCCTCAGAGCAGTTATCCTACCCATGTATTTTTATAATTCAGTTTCAGACTGTCTTACATGAAAAACGTTGGAACAGGGCTTTTTGTCTTTCAAATAAAACTCTTATCTTCAGAAAATTCCACCGTATTTCTAAAGTTTTAAAAACTCCCTAAATTTAACCTGATGTACTCATTCATTGCAGAAGGTAGGAACTGTATAAGCAGGGATGTTCTTCATGTTGTGGTCAGTGGTTTTGGCAGGATATGTCTTCTCTGGTATCTCCCTATGTCGGCCATGATATTATGAAAAGAAACTACAATGCCAAATGAATATGCGTTTTTGCATTGAACTGTCTGCAGTTTAGCAGAATTTCCCCTTATTTGAATGGAAGTTGGCTAAAACCCAGCAATTGTGGAGTCCTGCAGCTTAGTGGTCAAAGCACTTGCCTTGCAAGTGAGAGTACCTGGTTTCAATTCCCGAGCAGGCCGAACATTAGGCAAGTTTCCTTACACCACACGCCCCTGTTTGCTTAGCAATAAGTAGGAATCCGGGTGTTAGTCGATTGGCAGATCGCTTTCTGCTCTTTAGAAAAATAAAAAAAATAACAATTTGGTCACTCAATCCACAACTGTTTGTGGGACGCTGTCGTGCACAATTGGCTGTTGCACTATATCAAATTCAAGGATTATTATGAGGGAACCTTTGCTTATTAAAAGCTCACTGTACTCTGTACATCTCCCACAAATCTCCAGCACCATTATCCCCTTTGATGATTTTTCCAACTATTTGTTCTGCTGGTTGCAGGAACCGATGGATCTGTCAACTATTGAGAGAATGCTAAATGCGAAGCAGTACAACAGCAAATGGACCTTTATATCAGATTTTAAGCTGATGTTTGAGAACTGTGAAAAGTACAATGGAAGAGGAAATGGTTAGTATGGCAGTTCAATTGTCTAAAATAGTGACTAAGTCAGTTTGAGAAAGTTGCTTTGTAAAATAATGACTAATGGGTGCTTACCACTCTGGGTTTTTTGGGGGCCTTTTGAGCAAAGGCAGTTTATTGGAGCACCAATGTGCGTTGAGCCCTTCACTCCACATTGTGTCCAATCTGAGCGTGCAGGGAGGGGAAAGGGGATGAGCTCACTGGGGCTGCTGTCTCGTAGTGCGCAGTAAGATGGGAACTGCTTAACCATCTTGTCTCAGTGCTTTGATACGTCCTCCAGACGTGAAAGGCAATATACAAATGCAGTGTTGTTGTTGTTTGGTTACAATCTATGAGGAAGAAGTCTCCTCGAGGTGTGTTAAGGTATCAGAAGCGTTCAGATGTCTTCCCAAGTGTTTAACTGCATTTACTGCGTGGACAGGGAGTCAGTGGATCAATGGATTTAATATTTTATATGAGAGTTGTGTGCGGGAAAAAGTGCCACCGCAGTGATTAAAAACGGACTGCTGAAAAATCATTTTATATCGGATTAATGAAAAGAATAGTTAAAATATTTAAAATTTGCTATTTTTGTTGATGAAATATAGAATTGGGAGACTGTTGATTCAAGAGACAGCAGTCTTCCCAATCTGCACTGTTTGATAAAATGTTCGATTCCCAGCAGGGCCAAACCTTGAGCAAGTTTCCTTACTCCACACGTCTGATAATCCCTCAAGAAAAAAAACAATAATAAATTGGTTACTTTAATCCGTGGCTGGTCGTGGCACACTGCTGTGCGCAATTGGTTGCCATATTTCGCCCACAAATATACAGTCAATTCACTTTACAGTATATTCTGTGAATCGCTTTGAGACGTCTGGAAGATGTGATAAGGTGCGATATCAAATACAAGGTTTATTATTATTTGATAAAATGTTTCTTAAACTCCATGAAGTGTAAATAGGGAGAAAATGAGGTCACAACAAATTCTTACTCATTTAACGGAGTAAAATAATTTGCAGCTTTCTGGTTTTCTAATGACTTTGCTGTTGTGCCTTGTTTAGAATACACCCTGATGGCCAGAACTGTAGAAAGATGTTTTAACAAAGCAGTAGTGAAGTATTTCCCCCCAGACGAAGCGGAGAGTGATGGGGACTACCAAAGTGAAACCATTTGGAACAAGAAAGAGAAGCACAAGAGTAAAGCCAGTTACGTGGCTAATGAGGAAGTGGAAACTCCGCTGAAAGCACCAGATCAGCCCCTAGAAACGCCGCAAATCAATGGTTTTGTTGACAGTCATTCAGCCAGTGATTTTCCTCAAACGGTTGCTGAGCCAGTCAAAGAGGAAGAGGCTTCTGAACCGCAGCCTTGTGAAAAGCTATTGTCACCTCCTCAAAAACAAACTGTGAACGAGAAGGCAAGGACGATTTCTGTCTAAAGGCATTTCTTGGATAGAATAGTTTCTCTGCTTTGTTTCCTTCTCTTTCATCTTCTTAGCCCCACTCTCTCTTTCCCCCTCCTCCACCCCACACATCATCTTTACTTGGTTTGCATGTGTTCTAACTCAAATTATTATCTTCGCATGCGGCCAGGCATTTAACAATTAAATGAGTCCGTGATATCAGTCCACTGATTATTTCGCTCAGTTTTTCCTGCCTTTAATAGGACTGACCCTACCTTTTATCTGTTTTTTCTCTTTATCCCCAATACCTTCCAGGTAGTTGGAATGTCATGTCTGTGGAGTTGGATAGCAATGGTCCTTTTAAGGTGTAATTAAACATGGCCTTATTACTTCAGCCTCGAGAGTGACTAAACTACATATTGTGGCACTATTAGACACTTGTCACACATGTGCCAACACCCCCCCCCCCCCCCCCCCCACATCATTGCCTCTTGGCAATGAAAAAGGAGGGTTTTTAACTAGATTATTATTTCTTGGATTCTGTTGCTTTAATGGATTTTTTTTTATCATACAGCAACCTTCAGCCAATGGGTTCGGTGAGTCCCATCGAAGTTCTGAAGTGATCCATCAATCTCGGACTTATACTCCTGGACGAGCTGTAATGGAGCCAATACGGAAGCGATTTCAGCAGCAATACAGAATGCAGGTACTATAACCTGTTGAATTTTTAAACCTCATTCCTGTTGGAATTTGTTGAAATGCCCAGCTGGGAGCAGTGGTGAGAATCCACATTACCTTTCAGGAGAGAACTAGACAGAGTGGACAAAAGGCAGGTATATGGGATTGAAAATGGGACTGTGGATTGCTCTTTCAAAGAACTAAGACACACCCACCGATAGGCTGCATGGCCTTTTGTGCGGTAAAGTTTCTATGACTCACTGTCTTGAATGTGAACTTGAAAACTAATCGTTTAGTCAGAAGCATCATCAGAATTCATAGTATATGAGCGAGAGAAATGTTAAAGCCTTTCCCAGAACCCAGAAGTCGGTTCTTTATTGCAATCAGGCCTGCTCTAAGACCTGTGTCAGCAGTCAGCTGCATGAGCTGCGTTATGTAAATGCAAGTTGCTGTTGATGCTCTTCCACTTCTACAAACACCAGTAGGGGATTTCTGCAGATTTCTTGTAAAAGTGGTAGCACTGAGATGGAAAGAAACTGTTTAAAAAAATTTAATTTTTTTTTAAATATATAGTTATTTTATTTTGTGTAACTTTCTTTCTATAGCAACAAATGTTACTGAATGGACCTCCATCACCTGGATCAGTAGGAGTGAATTCCTCAAGCAGACAAGCAGCCAGTGTCCCCGACAACTCTCTCAGCCATGAACCAGACTCGCCTAACACTGCTACGTCTGTTTCTATTGATTCTCAAGGACCAGTACATTCCCCAATCTGTTGGTCAAATCGACCCTCGGACTCTGGTCTCCCACAGACCAGGGAAGGCACGACCAGTTCTCAGTCGGGTCCAAATCCAAGCCAACAAGGTACGACTCAAACAGCTCCACCGAGTGGTGATTCTCAGGCCACAGATTTAAGTCAAACTCAAGGACCCAAATGGCCGGGATATTTGTGCCATTCCATTCATCCTCCTCAGCGACAACCACCGCTGGGAAAGCCCAATCCTGTGTTAACTCAGGGAGTGTTAATGGAACATACAGGACCTGCTTTCCACAATGAACTGTCGGCAAAACCGGTGGCCGGCAACTCTGTAACTCCGTCTCCAAGCCCCGACACAACCCAGACTCACCCCTACACTTGTGGACCTTCCCTGGGATACAGAGGACAATATCCGAGTCAGGATCATGTGCAAAATGTACCTGACCCATTTCAAGTTTCCCACAGACCTGTTGGGCAGATGTCTAAGAGACCACACGTTGAAGGTAACCAATTTATTGCAAATTTGATTAACTTTTGTTTTTCTGGGAATCTGATCTTATTTTAGCTTTGAGATGTTAGCCAATCTGTTGACTTTGCTTCCAGATCTGTATGCTATGTTGGGTTTGCAATGAAACCTAAAACATCTGATTCATTTTGAAACTGGTGGTTGGAAGTCACGTGCAAAATATGAGTTCAGGCAAAGGTTTAGGTGCAGATTTTAGTCAGATGAAATTATGTAATTGATTCATTTTTAGCAATAATTAATGTGTTTTATCACTCTTGCAGTAACTAGGATTGGAGGAGACTTTCTTATTCAAAATGTGACTAGCGACATTCAGAATGTGTAAAGTAATATGTTGACTCCCTTTCCTTCTTAAATTAGGTGTATACAAGATTCACTTGAACTTAATTAGTTGCCATTGTTAAAGTCTCTGCTTTGGGAGTTGATGGGAGTCACATAAGTGCACTCACTTTACCTACAAAATACAGACACCACTCCACAGTGATTCATGCGAAATTCTGTGAGGCATTTTGATGATGTGATAAGGCACTGTATCAAATGCAAGGATTATTAAAGAAAAGTTATGGTGCAAATTCTAGTTAGATGAAATGTTGTTAAGATTATATATTCTATTCTAAAAGTCCCGATTCTTCTAAAATCCAGACAGTTTGTGAAGGAGAAGCAGATATTTCAGAACATTTACTTTTTGTAAAATGTTGGTGTTAGAAATATCATTGCAGCTTGAAGGGTTAAATGTACAAAACAGAGTTTTTAACAATTTGTCCCACCTACACAATTTGGATAGAGGTAGTTTCGATATCTCCCAGATTTGTAAGTCAAATGTTGTAAATTTATGTTGTGCGGGCAATTTACGTTAATTGATTAATTTAATTTACGTTTATATTAACTTACAGTGCTATAAATGTAATGAGCCATAAACATCTTCATACCTCCCAAGTTTGCCGCCTTTTGACAAACTGACTTCTAGTTGACTTTTTTCTACTTTAAACAACTCCGTGTCCTGACATCTGCATTTTAAACCTCTGCAGGGAAAGCTCTCGAGGATTCATACAGCACTGCACTTTCCACTGTTCAACAGCAACGTCATTTGGTGAAGGAGGAGGAGGAGAAGCCTGCTCCTAATAAAATCCCACAGATGGGCTCGTCAGCAACGAGTTCACATCCACGAGGCACTATGGGCAAACGTGTAGAAGCTGAAAGACTGGATGAAACTGTAGCACTTAGAAAGGATCCAGAATTCTTAAACCATGACACAAAGGAATTTAAAGATTGCACATCAAGGAACAGAACTGATTCATTGCTATTTAGTAAAAAAGTCGAAGATCTTATGAAAAAATACCCTTCCTCTGGCAAACAATCTGAGCCCAACCGAGCAGAAATTGAGCTAAAGAAGAAAACTCTTCATCAGGTAACGGAGAGACCCAAGTCAGTGTCCAAGAAATATGAATCTGTACACGTGCAAAAAACTGAACTGGACTTGAGTACTACTAGAAAGCGTAACGTAAAAGATCGTAAAGCAGATGACAATATGGTATTAAAATTACCCAGCACAAGCAATGCAGAAACTCTTAGTCAAAATCTGCTGAATGGTGGTTGTCAAATTGCCAGCAGTGTTCAGCACCGAGCCCCAGCTGTGCTTCTACGACACCCTCAAGAAAGACCTCAGTTTGGGCCACTGTCAGCGTACTCGCACTATCTTGGCTGTAATCCAGATACCATGCAGTCAGCTCATCCATTTGTTCAACACGCTCCCCATCTTATGATCGTCCATCCAATGCAGGAACAGGCCTCTCGTTTTTATCAGCATCCACAACAGCAGCAGATGCCTGCTCAAATGAACAATCTTAGCTATTGTCCACAAGAGACGATTCAGTCGTCTGTATTGCCTGATCGTGCGTATCTTGCGGGGCAGCCCCATATTTACAGCCACTCCCCACTGATGTTCTTGAGAGAATGCAGTGGACAATTGCAGAGAAGTGTCCAAGACCGTATCGAAGCCGCCTCCGAACAGCTAATGCCAGAGAGAGATCAATGCAAATCTGTCCAAGAAGCTCTAGCCAGAAAACGTAAACACGAGGCAGAGGAGAGGAACCTTGTTTCAAAGTTGGAGAGCAACGGCGAAATAGCTCATAAACAAAGCAGGCCCGACCACTTTGATCTCGACAGCCACAACGCAGCGCAGAGACAAAGGGTTATTCGCGTAGCTTCTCCTGCTTACGACGTGAGTCAAATCACAGGTGGAATTTATTCACAGCCTCAAATTCCTCATCCTGCACTTTATGCTAATGCTCCAACCCACACTGCACAGAGGCTGCCTTACAGTCAGCCTTACAATCCACAATTGCTTCGTGTGCATTCGGTGATCACTTCAACCTCCAACCACATGGGACCCCATCAAGTGATGAATCCTGTCCAAATGCAATTACTCAATCAATCAGATACAAAGCCCAGCCCTTATCCCGGTGCTGTGATAATACAGAGACCACAGTTCAGCTCAAGTGGGGATCTGTACATGGTGAGAAGGTGCGTCATGTTTATCATTACTTTTAGGATTGAATTTGATTTGAAATGCCGTCAGATTTTTTGAACAGGTTCAGAAATTTGATGATGATGTCCTTAAGAATGATTTGGAAATGTGTTGTCACTCTTGTTTTGGAACCCTACTCTTTGGTGTTATCTTTGCTACAAAGCAGGTAACAAAAGCCAATGCAGATATTTTCCTTCCTTTTGATGTGCTTTTGGTCGCATTGCCTATTGTTGTGTTTGCTCTCAGTTCTGCGCATCCTGTGGGTACTTTCCAGAAACTGAAAGTTATCAGAAGTACCTGATGGTTATCTTTGCCTTAAATTGAGGCCTTGTGAATCTCCCTTCAATGAGTGACAGAAAATTGGTCTCGATTGGTACCCTAGAGCCAGCCTGAATATGTTCCATGTTAGGAGCAGCAGCAATTAGCATCTTAGAGTTTTAAACTTGTATTGATGGCAGAATGACCAGTAATGCAAGCAATCCCACTGCCTTTAGCGCTTGAGTTTCTGAACAGGTAAAAATTATGTGAATCGAGGGCACTGACATGTGGCTGTTGTGTTTTTTTTATTCTAGTCTGCTGCCCGATTATCCAGTGCTCAAACACACAGGTAGAATGGACAGAGACACCATTCCACAGCCACAAGAGAAAGCAGCATCCTCTCTCTGTATGAACCAGGTGGGTTTCAGGTTTGTTACAAGCCCTTTACGATGTGAAAGTAGCTTCTCATCCGAGTGGGGAGAGGTAGGGAGGGGGGTGACGAAAAACAGGGTCGAAGAGGAGGATCTTGATGGAATCAAAGGGAGGGGGTGCGAGGCAGAGGGACTGTGGGTTGGGTTGAAGTTCCAAAAAAACACATGGGATCTGAGCTTTCTCTCTCTTCTTCTCCTCTGCCAGCCTTGAATCGATTCAATCTACATCCGGGCACCACCAATGGACACGGCTCAGGAAATAGTTTTGAAGCACTGCAAAGACTGGTTGTATTCCAGCTGGTCATCTGTGAATTATAGCTGAGGCCCATTTCTATAGAGGAAGTTTAAACTCAGGTTTAGAAAGTGTGAATAGAAAATTTTCAATAATAATAATAAGACTTTGAAATAAAGTTTAACAGTTTGTTATACATTTATTTTGACCAGAATTTTTTTTTAATTCTGCCTTAAAAGAGAGGATGTAAATTGTGAATATGAATATATATATATATATATAATGGTTCCATCACCTTGCTGCAAATGTGGAAAAATCATAACGGAAGAAAAATGAGAACTCGTAATTTATTAAGTTTCGTGCTTTCTGTTCCGACTATTAAAGGAATGGCAGCCACAACACAAATGGGAGTGGGTGGGGGGGGAGTTTTAACCGCACGGTTACTTTGGCAAACAGCTGCTAAACTGTGACATTTTACACTTTACTCGTGTTTACTTAGCATATAGATTCAGGAAAGGTTTACAGTTAGAGTTCTAGTTATTGTATATTACCTTATCTGCTTTTTTTGTGGGAAAAAAAGCTTTTGGAATGCTTTTGCAGAGCAAACCTTTTGAAAAGGTGGCCTTTCTCGATTTACCTAGATAGATAGGATTATTAATGGATTGTAGAGGTATATGAATTATATTTTGTTATTTATGTATTAAATGTTTTTAAAATTTAAAAAAAGAGTTTATCTGAGGAGTACACACAGAGCTAATGTCAAAAAAGGATGTTTTGTAAGTATTTGTGTTGGAGCACTGCTGTCTGTCTCTGTACCAGCTGCACTGTGTTAAACTGGCTCTTCTCAGGAATAAATAAAACTATTTGTCTATCTCATTTGTTATGCAACGTGGATTTTAACAACTTTTTTTATTTAGAGAACAAACACTTTGGTCTTCAGTGTACAACTGAAGAATGAAGGGAACCATTTAGGTCCATTCCAACGAGTACATGTTATCTGGAAAAATAGAGATTATAAAAATGCAATATCTGTTTGTTAGATCAGGGCATTAAAGATACGAGACAAGGTCGGGTAATTGGACTTGAGGTACAGATCAGCCATGATCTTATAGAATGGCGGAACAGGCTCGAGGGACTCAATGACCTGCTCCTGCTTCTATGTGTCTATTGTCACTGTCACAATCTTGAGTGTATTTCTTGCCCACTCTTACATAGATTACCTCTTTTTGACATTTATTGTATATTTCCTTCAATTCTCAGTATAAATGCAGCAAAATAAACGTGTGTGGGCCAGTGTTACTGCGGCTTTTTTCAGCCCTGCGCATTTGTCTCTTTCCTGGTTTGTATGGAACACTATCTACCCGCATGGATGTTTGCACTTCTGACGTTTTGTGTGGAATTTTCCATTTGCGTGGTACATCACGAGGCCGCAAATGAAACTATTGCCATTCAATAATGCGATTCAAAGAGTTAGAACTTTGTGCCACTGTAATAAAAGCTGTTGAAGTAATAGCTCAAGTTTGAAATGTTTTGTATAAAACAGGCTTGTATATGCAAAAGAAAATGTAAACGGATTTTTAATTGCATCAGTCATTTTTTTCAGCATGAATTGAATATTGCTACCCCACTTTGTGTTAACCTGAGTGTGTTTTTTTTAAAAAAAAGCAATTCAGGTAATTCGACTTGTACTGTCATTTGGATTCAAATGGCTTTGTGCTGCACATTAGTCCAGGAGAAGTTGGAAGTGACTCTTCTCACTCAGACGAGAGAGTGCTACAAACTGAGCCAGGCCGACCTCTGAAACATTACAGTTCAAATTAGATTCAATTACAAAGCGCTTGTGCTCTAAGACATCCTACAACGTGATCAGGTGCTACACCAATGTAATAACTATTGTAATTTGGATGGCTGTCCAATAGAAAAAAATGATCGCTTAATGATTGAAAATAAATGGAAATATCCCTGTATCTCCTGCCACCTGGTGGTAAAGGTGTTTAAATCAAAACCACTGTAAATGTAAGAAATTTCAGAAAAGATAACAGTGACATGTTGTAAGACAATTAACTGTTATGCACATGGATTAATAACTTAATTTCTAACCTCACCAATATTTCTCGGCTTGACTATTATTCATGCGAGAGCACACCGACAGCAAGTCTTAAAGGTTTTTTGCATCCGCTTCTCAAAAGTGCTTCACGGGTCATTACTGGCAGGTGGGCAGGTCGCACGGGGCTGTAACCTGTTCAGCAGTGTGTCTGCGTTCCAACCTTAGAAGAGCGCCCCTCAAAAGGGGTGTTTGCACTGTCTCCAGGATGTTTGTACAAGATTTTATAGTTGGTATTGCGGGAGATGAGCTTACATTCCAATGGCTTTGCTATTAACATTAGAAAAAGCTACCGTAAAGGGAGAAAATGACCTCTTTCATCTCTTCAAAAGCCAATCAGCACAGGGCACGCTACGTTTTGATCGCAGTCTTACATATAATGGCTTCAGCATTCAGAGGTAAATGTGTTTGAAGCAGATCCTCCTAAATTCTTTTCCCCCCAGAATTGGTCATGTTACTCACATAATTCGACTTCCCACTGGACTCGTTCACATTAGAACAGTATTTGGTCACGTTCCTCTCCCTGCCAGAGAAACCGATACCCTTAATTAATGATGTATCCTTATTCACCCGCCCTCTACTCAAACAACACGTTATTGTTCCATTGTAGTTTTCTTATAAGCTGGAGGTGATATTTACCTCCAGTTTATAAGAACATAACCGTACTTCTGGCAAAAGGAAAATGGAACAAAGAAAAGGTTTTAATCAGCAGTCCATGTCAACGTCCTCTTTTCAGAAGTGATGTCAATTGAAGACTGGAATTTCCATTCCAAGCATTTCCTACTTCTGTCCTACAGCAATTTTTTTCTACATTGTTTTGTTTCATAATTTGTTCATTTATGCATTTCTGTACAGTCGAGAGCCCAGAGACAGACTTTTGACACGTTACAATATTTTTTTACGACAATTATGAATTGATGTCCTTCCATTTCATGCAGTTTGTAACACTTTTGTGAAAGCCAAGTGATAAGTCAATTTTGTGTCGACAATATTTTTTATTTTGTGTTTGAAGATGTCTACGTCATGAAACATATTGTTCGCACAGTACTTTTGAGTGACGTACATTGAAATTTGCCCATATCCTTTCAATAAGGCTTTAAGGTGGAGTCCTGTAGCTCAGTGGTTAGAGCACTCGCTTTGCCAGTGAGAGACCTGAGTTCAATTCCAGGCAGAGGGCCAAACCTTGGGCAAGTTTCCTTACTCCACACAGAGCCTAATAATAATCCCTCCAAAACCAAAAACAATAATAAATTGGTCATTTTCAATCTACGACAATTTGTGGGACATTGCTGTGTGCAATTGGCTGCCGCGTTCGCCCACAAAGATGCAGTCAATTCACTTTACAGTGTGTTCTGTGAAGCGCTTTGGGACGTCCTCCCGACGTGAAAAGCGCAATATCAAATGCCAGGATTATTATTATTATAAGGTTTTCCGATAGTAAGAAACCTTTAATTGGAGGATTTGAGTGAGGGAAAGAGATACAGAACACAAACAAGTCCATCTGTGATCTGCAGTGTGGGGCGTTGCTGTATCTGAGGTTCAGGACAGAGTGCTGGATGCCCTATGTCAAGTCATCTTTAGATGGGTCTGTGAAGTCTCCCCTTGTTTGGGAGGAGGTGCGAGCTTCTACACTGAGGCATAGGCAGATGCTGCCCACATCAGAAGATATCTAATGGTCAATAATAAGGGGGAGGACCCACATTGCCTGGTATTTCCCTAGTTCCAGGAAGCAAAACATTAAACTCTTTGACTGATCTGTTACGCAAGAGACTTCACCCACTCATAAAGATCAGAGACAAATTCTGTCTAGACCATGTGACCCGCAGGACTTGCTTCAGAATATAGTTCTCCTGACATGATAAATTTTAAAGAGTTGTGTTCACAAATGTAAATTTAAATTCAATTCTGAACATTTTATTTTCCACAAACAAGTGGCTATAGCCCTGGCACTTTGGGGCAGCAGTTTATTTTATGAGTTGTACAAATTTCAGCAGCCGAATTATGGAGTTCTGCAACTTTGATTGTGATCTAAATACAAGCAAGCGGAGAACAAAGTCCAGAAAAGCTATTTCCTCTCCAGATCAGTTTGTTTATATGTCCTGTTGTAAGAATGCAATTTGTCCCTAATGAGATCCTTTTCCTCAGGGTTAGTTTTTCATGTGGTAAAGTTCAGTTCATTAAATTGTAATTTCACCACATCTGGTGGAGGGGAATTGCAAATTTTGCAAAGCTTTCCCCTTGGAAGTTTAAATAAATTGCCGAACTACATAGGCTACATAGAATTTCTCTCGTCTCACTCACATCCCCAGTCTCATTCCAAACCCTTAATTATTCCTCAGAAAGGGAGTTCACTCCAATCCCCAAAATGGTTGAATTTAGTGTAAGTAAAACGATAGGTATCTTCAAATTCAAACTTTTTCATAGTTGTTCAAAAGCTGTAGCCATTTTTTTGACTCGCTTTGCACGCGACAGAATCATTAAAGTAATAAAGTCAAAAGCTGATGATCCTGGAATGTGACGTTGACGAACACTGAACAATGAGAGACCTTTTGATCATTAAATCAATTTTGAATAATCTAACCTTGCTTTCAGAGGGTATTGGGCCCAGGTTGGCAAGATCCAAGGCTTGGGGACTCCAGAGGTGTGAGGGGATTTAACCAGCTAAAGCTGCACACCTTGCCATTGAAAGCAAAGGCTGGCGAGGTCCTGATGCGTGTCCTGGCTATACGGGAATTCAGGACATATCCCAAGGGCCCCAGTGTTGGCTCCCAAGCGCTCCCCATGAATTGGCATCTTTACTTAACATCAGGATCCTGAACCTTTTCGGAAGCCATTTCACAGCCGGGTCTCCCCACCCATTGTGGCTTTGACCTGCAGGGTTAACAGGAGCTGAGTGGGAAGAATCCCTACCCCCAGTGACTGGCCTCCCCCTCCACATCCTGCTGCTGAGCCATGTTGGCTGCTCTGTCATCAGCAGTGCCCTGACGTACTGTGGACCTACCTGCCTCAGGATGTGGACGATCAAGACAACCACAGAGGATTGACGATTTTCTGACATTTCGTTGCCAAGCATGAGTCACTTCAAGGTAAACGACTTACCCCTCCTTCCCCCCCAGATAGTGACTTCTAATGAACTGAGTACTAATGGGGCAATAAACTCGCTGCACAAGTCTACCAGGAGATGTGCGATGAGAGGCTAAAAAAGAACAGGAGGAATTGAAGGGGAACCTCAACACTACAAAAAAATTGAAGCACGCCAGACTGTTAGATCCTGGTCCTCACCTTCAAAGTTTCCATGGCCTTGCTCCCCCCCCACCCCACCTCTGCACCCTCCTAGCCCCTACCATCCTGCTTGGTCCCCTCACTCAGCGGGCTCTGGCCTGCTTCACAATCGCTCCGCTTCATCACCTCCCTTGCCTCCTTCAAGACCCAATCTCAAGACCCTCTTCGACCCTGATTTCCCCCTTCCCCCCCCCTTGACCTCCACCCTCCCCAAACCCGACCCCCAGCTCGAAACACTGACTGTCCAGCACCTTGGTTGGCCTCCCGCGTGAAAGGTGCTATACAAATGTAATGTTGTTGTTAGATGGTTAATCCTTGATTTGGTATAGCACTACAACATTGAGAACGTCTTAGAAAAACTTCACCAAAAGTTTCTGTAAAGAGTAGTGACTGTGTACTTGTCAGCAAACACACCAGCCAATTTGGTCACTTTGGCCAATTTGGTCGCACAAACAGCCATTAATAATCAAAGGCCGATTTTACTTGGAGGATGGTTAGCAGAAACTCCCTTCTCTTTTCAAATAGTGCCTGGGACCTTTAACTGAGGTGCTGTCTGCCTGTTCAGATGAATAATAATAATAATAATCCTTGCATTTGATATAGCACATTATCATGTCGTCAAGACATCTCAAAGCGCTTCACAGCATATACTGTAAAGTCTTGTGACTGTGTATTTTGTGGGCGAAACGTGGCAGCCACTTGCGCACAGCAGTTTCCCACACGCAGTCCCATCTAAATACATATTCCGTGTAATATAGTGCTCCCCCCAGTCCTGTTTTGGAGTGTTAACAGACTATGAGCTCACAGTCCGAAGGTGGGGCTTGAATCTACACAGCTTTCTGACCTCTGGATCCACTGAATTACCAGCTCCTGTTTCCATGATTCTATCGGATTAACAGCGCAGTGTATCCGAACACTTTGCCAAACTAAATCGTCTCTTTGTGCTCACGATTTTACAAACAGATGCAACGCTTCGCCCACAAAATACTCAGCCCCTGCACTTTACAGCGCATCCTGCGAAGCACTTTTGAGACGTCTCGACGATGCGATGCGGTGCTAAATCGAATGCAAGGATTATTATTATTATTATTATTATTATTATAATAGTAATATTGCCACTAATTCCATAGATTCCGTCGTGAATCACTGTGTGGTTTTGCTGAAGCGGTCAACGTAGCATTGAAGACCCAATTGCGATGCGTTGCACCTGTTCAACTTTGCACATCTCTTGGCAGTTTAGGGACAATTAACCCGACTCCAATCAGAGGGCAGTGACCCCCCAACACACACACACACACAGTCACACACACACACACAGACACACATTATAAGGGGGAAAGCCAGACGCATTCTCTCGTCCATTTCAGTGGGGGATACCTGTCGTAGGATGACCACAGTACGTGAGAAAGCCCGAGCCATGATGGGGAGACTCCCTGTGGGAGCCTTCAGCCCATCGCAGTGCAGACCAGGTACCCACTGCCCTCTCCATCACTCGCGCTCAGGGCTCCTCTGTCGCTGTGGAAAGCGATTGCAACTGCATTTCAAAATCATTTGCCCATTACCCCTCCACCCGTCTCCTCTCCTCTCCCTCTGCCCCTCCACTCCACTCCCAGTGAACCCTCTCCACGTCGACGCATTCTCCCCCCAAAAAAATTCCTGATTGATAAAAGTGTTCCCGAGGCACTTCGCTGCCCTGAGCCCTCCGGTGTGTGTGTGTGTGTGTGTGAGTGACGCTCTCTCTGCGCTCAGTGACTTTTGTACGAGATGGACTTTTGCAATTGATCAATTTGTGGTTAATACTTAAACACAGAGGACACGCGAGTGGGTTGAATTGTGCGGCGGTCGGTTCGCTGTCGGTGGAACGGTACGGAGAGCACTGACTTTTTTTTTGGGGTGTGGGTGTGTGTGTGTGGGGTGTGTGTGTGTGGGGTGTGTGTGTGTGGGTGTGTGTGTGTGTGTGTGTGTGGGGGGTGTGTGTGTGGGGGGGGTGTGTGGGGGGTGTGTGTGTGGGGGGTGTGTGTGTGGGGGGTGTGTGTGTGGGGGGGGTGTGGGGGTGTGTGTGTGGGGGGTGTGTGTGTGGGGGGGTGTGTGTGTGGGGGGGGGGTGTGTGTGTGGTGGGGGGGGGTGTGTGGGGGGTGTGTGTGTGTGGGGTGTGTGTGTGTGGGGGGTGTGTGTGTGTGGGGGGTGTGTGTGGGGGGGTGTGGGGTGTGTGTGTGTGTGGGGGTGTGTGTGTGTGTGGGGGTGTGTGTGGGGGTGTGGTGGGGTTGTGTGGGGGGGTGTGGTGGGGGTGTGTGTGGGGGGTGTGTGTGTGTGGGGGTGTGTGTGTGGGGGGTGTGTGTGTGTGGGGGGGTGTGTGTGGGGGGGGTGTGTGTGGGGTGGGGGTGTGGTGGGGGGGGGGTGTGTGTGGGGGGGTGTGGTGTGTGGGGGGGGTGTGTGGTGGGGGGTGTGTGTGTGGTGTGGTGGGGGGGGTGGTGGGTGTGTGTGTGTGGGGTGTGTGTGGGTGTGTGTGTGTGGGGGGGGGAAGGAAATCTTTACACTCCTTCCCTGGATTTGGGTGTAAACACACACCCCAACCCCTGAGTGTGAGTGTGTGAGTGTGAGTGTGTGAGTGTGAGTGTGTGAGTGTGAGTGTGTGTGTGTGAGTGAGTGTGAGAGTCGCGTTACGCACTCACCCACTGCACCACTCCGAGGCGCAGATGTAAGTGGGAGCCTCTGTGGGGTTGGGATCCCACTCTCGTAGTGGGGATTTCCATTCAGAAAAAACAACCCCCACTCCGCAGGAAATATCCAAACATTCACTGTCCTCTACAATGCCGAGTCCACACTATGGCTCAGTCAGGTAAGAAGGCACTGCTGTGGGGGGGGGAGAGGCTCAGCAGTGGTTGGGTTTGGGAGGTCTTCTTGGTTTGCTTTGCTTTGTGGTGGTTGGGTGTTTGCAGTGTAGTTTTGGGGTCGAGTCTGTGTGTGTGTGTGTGTGTGTGTCTGTGTGTTCTGTACAGACTCTTAATTGACTCGGTGGATGGCCTTAAACTTCACTTTTTCAGAGGAAAGTTTGCACAGGTTTTGAGGTCACATCACCTGCAAATGCCAGAGAGAGAGAGAGAGTGAGGGTGGGGGTGGGGGGGGAGTGTGTGTGTCTTGTTGCAAACTCACTGAGAGCAAACTGTGCTGCTCTGGTTTGTAATAGGGAGAAACTTTAAACTCAGTCAAGTCTCTGGCGTTTCGCCCACAAAATATTCAATTCACTTTTACAGTGTATTCTGCGAAGCGCTTTGAGAGTTCTCGACGAGGCGCTGTATCACACGCAAGGATTGTTATTTGTTTCTGCAGTTGAGCAGAGCCGTCGCCCCCCCGGACTGTAAGCGGTCTGTATCACGGTCGCGCTCAAATCGCAAATAATGGTCATGAATTGTTTAATAACTGAGCAGACGTTCTTGGAGCGATGACGGAAAGACTTGGGGGGGTGGGGAAGGAAAAAAAATAAATAAATGGCATCCTAACTCAGGACTCAAACTCAAATATCCTGTGAACTAGTTGCGTCCAGATTACAAAATCAAGTTTGATTTTGAAGCCAGTGTTCCTCATCCAAGCGTGTCTGAAACATGATGACTTTCTGAGCTTATTGCTTAAATTGTGGTGCCAACGAGTTATTTCTGAGAGGGGTAATAATAGAGGTGTTCGGCACTTTTGGCTACATCTGGAGCAAATTTGTGCCAAAAATCCTTGCATTCAATCCTTGCATTTGATATAGTGCCTTATCGTGTCTTCTAGAAGTTTCAAAGTGCTTCACAGGATGTACTGTAAAGTGAATTGACTGTATGTTTTGTGGGCAACGAAGCGCACACCCTTAGCCAGGGATAGTCAAGTCACCTTAAAGCCAGTTCCGCTCTAAGGAGACCCCGCTTTATTCTTACCCCAAGGAGGAAGTGAGTCTCGGAGCTTACTCTGTTGTCAATGGAGGATATAAATCAGTCTTGTAGTGCAATGTGGTACCAAGCGCCGCACTGGGAATGTATCGTTAACTCAGTTCCTCTTTCTCAATCTCCCAGATTTAGCAGCAGTTAAAAAGCCTTTTCGAGCAACTGAGATCTGGTGCAGTCTCATCGCTGCCCTGCAGTCCCATGTGGAGGTGAAACGCCGCAGACACAACCTGAAGTATCATAATGACTGCTTCCTGGGCTCGGACGCTGTGGACGTTATTCTGGGTCACCTCCTGCAGAACAGTTACTTTGGTGACGTTGAAATCCCTCGATCAAAAGTCGTGCGACTCTGTCAGGCTCTGATGGACAACAAAGTGTTTGAAGGAGTCGGAACCAGGCTTTTCGGGAAAGATAAGAAGGGGCTGAGTTTTGAGGACAGTAGCTGCAGTTTATACCGATTCACAGTCGAGCACAAGCTCAGCGATGCTGTGAAAGAGAAACCACCATATATAAGGAATTCTCCCATACCATCCAGAACCCTGTTCGGTGGATTATATCGGAGGTAACTTCATTTAAAGACTTGAATGTGATGGGAATTCTTAAGATCGCATTTCGGTGACTGCTCATGTTTTTAATGTGAAGTGACCATAGAGATGGAACTTAAAGGCAGTACTTTTACTTATCTGCAGTGCTGATCATTGGGTTGGGACTAAAGATTATAAACTTGAGATTTCAATGTTACATTTGATTCTTGGATGTATATTCCAAATTGTTCCTACTTGCCCCCTTTTAAATGTTGCACAGTAGTAATTAAAAATGTGGCAATGGTTAAATGGTGCACATTTTAAGTGGAATCTTCCCATTGGTCTGCACAGAATATTTTCCAAATGTTTATGCCACACGGTTTTGTTTAAGGATGGGGTCACATTTGATAGTGTTCAAGAAGCATTTGTGTTTCCTTAAGTTGCAGCTGATAACAATTTCCCAATTCAGTTCTAAACCAATCTGTCAAAGGTTACAAGTGAACACTGAGGCCAACAAAGTATATGGAGGGAGGAAGGGTAGGTTTATCCCCCTCATCACTCGTATACATACTTATGGGGAAAAATGCCACGGGCTGTTTCCTTTTTAACAACTGCAGAAAATTGCTTTTAAAACTGAGATCGAATGTGACAATGCTCCAAGTTCTTCACACTCGGAAAAGCTATGAAAATAGAGTAAATCTAAAACCATGTGGAATTTCTCCCCCATTGCTTTCTGGTACGGTATGTCACACTTTACTGCCTTGAAACAAACTGATGATTCGATCCCTGGAGATGAGTGGTAATAATTGCCTGGAAATGTGTTGGCATAGTGCGGGAGCTTTCCTTCCCACCATACAAAAAAAAAAGTCTGAATTCATATTCAGTGGGGAGCTAACCTACCGCCTGCCTTCGACACAGGTCGTTATAGCTGCACGTGTCTTGTGCAGTTAATCGAAGCACTCCCTAGGAGAACAGAATGTACTCCTTTCCCCCAAACTTCAGATGTAAACACAAGGTGACCTGCAGTTGCAAGATCTTAACCGTGATAGACTAACAGTTTTAACCAGAGCATTACAAGTGCTTTCATATTGTGCCTGGTCTGCCAAAAGTTGAATGGTCGAGTACAAAACCCTCCCTTAATATATTACTGCATATAGATTAGGAAAGTGGCACCCGATTTATTTTGATAGCGAGCTTCCAGCAGGAGCTGGTGGAACAGTGAAGCAGATTCAGGTGAGAGCAGGAGAGGAGATTCTTATTTTCAAACTGCTTTCAAATGGAAAATAATGGCCGATATAATGTCGAAATGTTCATCCACCAGAATGTGTTGTTCAGCACTTACTTGAACATCAAGCAACGTTCGATTTATTTTTTCGAATGGGGATGTTTTGTCTTCTACCAATCTATTTTAACGGTTTCAAAGAATAATCAGTAATGCATGAATGCAAAAACTGACCATATAAAAATTCAAGATTGGTTGATGCAGGATTTAACCATTTACAGCAACAGAATCAACAATCTAATGGCCAATCCTATATAAAATGTACAGTTGAATATTTTTAGTCTTTTTTTTTCTTGATAGGCGAGAACAAATGTATTTTCCCCATTCGGTGGATACCAGTTCCACTGATAGATCGTTGGAAGAGCTGCTCGATAACTTGAGTTTAAAGCCTGTTCATTCCTCTCGTATCAAAGTGTCTCACGTGTCACAGCAAGGTAAGCATTTGTTATTTAACCTCTGGAAGCAACGGAAATTTTTCCTGGAGTCTGTCCTGATATCAGGTTTTGCAACTCTAAAATCTATGTCCTTTTGTCCCACTGGCTTGGGACATCAAACATACTGTTCTGTTAGGTTATCTGGCTGTTGAACAGGTTGCGTCAATGTTGCCTTCAGTCCTGTTGCATAACTATCATATGACCAGAAGAGCCAACAGCTTGTCGTTCATAGTAATCAGGTTATAGAATTAGAAGAAATAAACCTGGCCTTTGACGAGTGCATTTTGATCACGCTGCAGTAAGTCATGTTTCCCCACCTCCAGTTAATATGCGGACTAGATGTAAGGATTATGTAGGAATTCAAGGCATTCATTTTGATTTGTAGCTTCACTGCACCCATTAAGTCTTAAAGGGTGTAATATTCTCAGAAATTAGGTAAGCAGCGAGTATCAAAAGGCAAAATACTACAGAAGCTTAAAATCTATACTAATAAAGATGAAATGTCTGACTGTCTGTCTGCTAATAACGCAATAACTGATTGACGTAGAGACACGATTTATGCCTCATCCGACAGGTCTTGCATGGGGGAGTGTCATGGGCATATTATTTGGGTGTGGGGGGCTTAGAATCTCCTATTGTTGATGAACTAGACCTAAGCAAGCTTATCGCACATGTATGGCAGTTTTGCTTCAGGTATGCACACAGTGCTTATGGCATGTTAAATGCTTTGTGAGTAGTATCAGTGAAATCTACATTCCATATTGGATCCTTTGATTGCGAGAGCAGCTGCAACAGGTACAGCTAATCTGACATAAAAACAGAAGTCGCTGAGAACACTCAGCAGGTCAGGCAGCATCTATGGAGAAAGGAAAGCGAGTTAACTTTTCAGGTCGATGAGCTTTCGTCCAAACTGAGTGCGCCTACCTCTGGTGAGAGAATGCTCATTCCATTCCAAACACAAGGAGGTGTGGGTGATTCTTACGCTAAACTTTCAATCTGGTTTGCGTACTCTTTAGCATGGTGGCTAGTTACTGTGTATGTCAGTTGCTCAGCTGACCAAAACAGAAATCTTAAACTCTTGGCGTTTCTAAGTTTAGTAAATGGGTCCACCTTTAAATCTAACTCTAAAGATTTAATGGCTAAACTGTGTGCATAATCGATTGAATGCCCAGCGATTTGTTGCGAAGTTCACTCAGGTGAAATTTGGGTTATTTTATTGGTGCCGCATTACAAAATGATGACTAATAAATCGCTTACTTTGCACTCTAGTTGTTAATGAAATTTGGCTAGAGCAAGCCACACTACGTCTGCTGCAGCTCATAGAGCTCCCGATCCTAGATTCTCTACTGGAGAGAAAGGAGAACAGACAGAAAACACTGAATGCAGCCAGCAGTGCAGAGGATCTGATTAACAGCAACATCTTGGACAGAGAAATACTGAAAGCTTTTAGTGACTCACAGTATGTATATCATGTTACTATTTTAACATGACGGAGAGTAAATCTCAAATAAGGCCAATTTGCCACAGTTCCTGATTGTTGCATTCGACTGTACGGTGGCAAATGTCAACCAGGTCTTCAGACCCCTTACATATATCTTCTGGACTTCTTAAAACTACTGTCACCTTCTAAAACTGACCCTGTTTAAGCAAATTTGATTTGGGAGCAGCAGTGGCAAGATGGTCTGAGATGATTTGCCCGGCTGACTGTTTTCAAACCAGTAAGTTACAGTAGCAGAAAAGTTATTAGCCGTCTAGCTATTGCAAGACCTTTGGACAAATGACTGACCTGTTCACAGTCTGAGATTGATAGATTTCTTGTGGATAAAGGGATTAAGGGATATGGGGATAAGGCGAGTAGGTGGAGTTAGAATAGATCAGCCATGATCTTATTGAATGGCGGGGCACGCCAGAGGGGCTGAATGGCATACTCCTGCTCCTAATTCTTATGTTCTCATGTATGTTCTCTGCCAATACTGCTCGGAGTTGACTAAGTGTGAGGCCTACAGCTTTTTCTCGCTCCCGGCTGCCAATGTTCTAATTGCCTGACACGTCAGTGTGCCTGAGAACCAGTTCGTGTGTGAGAATTCAACTCTGCCCTCCAACTGGGTGGTGCAGTAACTTGGGTGAGGCAGTGCTTATTTCTTCACAAAGATCAAGGCTCAGTTTACTTTTTCATGCCTGGAAAATGTTTCTGCCTTAGAATTTATAATAATAATCATTTGATTGCATTTGATATAGCGCCTTATCATGTCTTTGCAAGGCCTCAAAGCACTTCACAAATTATACTGTAAAGTGAATTGACTGTATTTTGTGGGCAAAACACGGCAGCCCAATTGCACACACAGTATCCCACAAACAGTGGTGGATTTAGCGACCAAATTATTTATTATTCTATTTACTTTTGGAGGAATTGTTAACCCTAGAAAAGTGATCCGTCAATCAACTAACAACCAGATTCCTACTTTGCTAGGTGAACAGAGGTGTATTGCATTAATCCTTTGTACACAATAGTATGGAACAAGCTGAGTACTTTTCCAACATTGTCTCATGACCATACAGGAGTGAGAAGGGAGTAAAGGTGTGTGTGTGGCGGTGAAAAGAGTAGACTAAATGGGGATGGAGACTCATTTGGACTATAAACACAGGAGTAATTGAATCAAATGGGCTGTTTCGCTGCTGGACGGTCCATTTAATTCTGTGTAATTGGGATGTTTTGTTTAGCTTTCTCTTTTTTTTTACCTCCCCACCACCCCCCCCCCCCCCCCTCCTCACTAGGGCAGATGAATGGCTGTCGGCTGCAGTTGATTTACTCGAGTATCTCCCAGACCTCATGGTGGTGGACATCAGCAGGAATCTGCCCGAACCTGCCTCTGACATACGCAAATGCAAAATGCTGCTTTATGATACAATTGTCAAATATTACAGTCAACCAAAGGAACCTCTGCTTACTAACTGCTTCTTTGATATTCATACTGGGATTACAGAGCTCCTGGGTATGTACAATCCCCCATTTAATAATAATCCTTGCATTTAATATGGCGCCTTATCATGCCGTTGAGATGTCTCAAAGCGCTTCACAAAATATATTGTAAAGTGGATTGACTGTATTTTATGGGTGAAACGTGGCAGCCAATTGCACACAGCAGTGTCCCACAAACAGTCGTGGATTGAGTGACTGCATTTTTTAAGAACATTTTTTTGTAAGGATTATTACCCCAGTAAAGCCAATCGACTAACAACTGGGTTCCTACTTACTGCTCGGTTAACAGAGGCCTGTGGAGTAAGGAAACTTGCCTAAGATTTTGCTCTGCCTGGGAATCGAACCCAGGTCCTCCTGCTTGCGAGGGGAGCATGCTAACCACTATGCTGTGGGACGCCACAATATTTCATTTAACTGCAGTTTCAGTAATATGAATAACCTGCAATGACTGATGTTTTTGTGGTTTTATAAACGTACAGAGATTCTATGAATATCCTGTTCACTGACTTTCTCCCCCTCCTACGTGATATGTTAGAGAATAATTTCATTTGAAGGTTGAAACTGTACACCACGTATGACTAACCTATTTTAAGACGCTGCTGAGCAGCCCAGCAAGAAATTCTGGTTTTCGTACAATGGTACTTTTTCAAATGCTACTTTTTTTTTTGCCGCACCCTTGTCCAACCCAGCTTATTAAAGCAGCACAATTCTATCTGCCGAAAACGCACAAAACGCCCTCGGTCAGAGCAAATCGAGTCAATCCGCATTTTAGAGCAATTTTGGATTTGTACAGTACAGGAAGAAATCAATCTCTTAAGAATTGACCTGTATTTTGTGGGTGAAACGCGGCAGCCAATTGCACATAGCAGCGTCCCACAAACAATCATGGATTGAAGTGCCCAAATTATTATTGTATTGTGCAGCAGGGGTTAAGTATATTTTAATGTAAGTTGCTTTGAATGAAAGTCTACAATCCTTTAACCAAATGCCGGTTGGTTTAAAAGGATGAAATGATGCCTTTGGCCAGGAGAGGGTGGTCTAATCAAACACAGCACAGTACGCAAATAGTCTTTTAGAAAAGATTTTATTAGCATTCAGCTCAATTTAAAGTTTCTACTCTCGAATTGTGATTTATACACACAGTGTTTTTGGCATCCAAAAAATACCTCGCTCCTGCATAATGTAGCATAATTCTATTCTATGCCAAAACAGCAATGTTTTCAACTTAAGTAGCAACCCACTCCATATTATTGTGGAAGTTAATTATACTGTGTTTAAAGATACCTAATGGCAGCTACATTTTGAATCGCTGTAGTTTTATTCCAGATTTAGCATTTTAATGAGGTTGTGATATTTACTGGTCTCTCTGTTCTGCAGTGAATGGTAAATCCGAACCAGCATTAGAAGCGACACAACTATGTCTAAAGCTTCTGGATTCCAGGAACCGTGAGGAGCTCAGGAGGCTGTTGTACTTCATGGCGACCGCTGCAGATTCTGCAGCAATTGTCTTACAAAAAGGGGTAAGTACAGTAGACATCTGTTCCAAATAATTATAATGAGCCTTTGGGTCTTCCCTATTCTGAAGGCACTGATTTGCCCATGCACTCCATGTTAGCTTTGGGGGTGGAAAAGAACAGGCTCCTTGTCTTTGAGAGCATCAAAGTTGAGTTCTGTTCTGCTTTGCCCAAGATAATTGAACATGTGAGCCTTCCAGCCAGTGGTTTCCTTGCCGTTGCCCAATAGTGCTCGCGAACCCGACTGAGATTAACTCATTCAACACAACCTGTAGATGGAATCTGGGACTACTTATGTCTGGTTGGAACAATTTATTAAAATTAACACTTTATAATATTCTGTGAAGCGCTTCGAGACTCTCAATGACATCAAAAGGCGCTATATCAAATGCAACTTATAACAATAATAATAAATGTGCTTGCATTTATGAGTAGAGGAGTGAGGAAGATATTAGGAAGATCTACGAGCCCTTCAGTTTTTTTTTAAATATATAGACTGTCTGGGGTTGAATTGTTGCTTTGTTGTCGCCCTCAATGAATAATAATCTCTCTAGTCATTCCTTAGCTTTGAGTGATCTTTGCTTGCTCGCATCCACACAATATATTGCGCTGAGAGAATAAGTCAGTGAAGTTGAAAGCAAGTTGTGAAACTGTACAACTTGTCAAAATAATAAGTGGACCTAACAAACTAAATTAGGAAGAACTATTTATTTACTAACTTGCAGCTCTCCCCCCTCCCCAGGTTGAAAATAGAATTGTGATGAAGAGAACCTTTGGCCCCTCAATTGTGCACAGTAAGAATCTGCAGAAAGGAAAAGCAAATCTTCTGGTTTTATTTCTACTGGACAATCAGAAAGATGTGTTCAAGGTACAAACAGTGTGAGCTTCCTGTGACGGTCATAAATGCAACATGTTGAATAAACTTCAGTTTGTCAGTTGAATAACATGCGACCACCTTTAACAGATCCCTGGCACACTGCACAAAATGGTGAGTGAAAAGCTGATGGTGATCCAGCGAGGTGGTGATCCAGAATACGATGCAGGTAACTATGAAATAACAAATTAATTAGCCTTCTGTCCGTTTAGAGAACTGCTTTGAATGTCCCACAGCTGTGGCCTCCTCCCGTCTCTGGTGTTCAACAGTGCACTTGGCCAAATTGAAAATGATCTCAATGACCTCTTGTCCGGTGCTTCCACTGACGGATTAAACACTGCTGCTAAAGAATGCAATGTATGTGTAATGTAGGGGCTTTGACTTTATACAGTACAACTTGCTCTGTCAATCTGACTCCAAATTTCTTGGTGCCTGATATCACTGCTGTTTAAGTATATATATATATATATAAAAAATCAATGGACGAGGAAAGTGATTAATACGTTGGCTTGTTTGAATTTTTTTTAAGATTGTTTTCTGATATGCAGTGAAATAAATGGATTTAGCACATTGTTGGTGCTAAATTTGTACAGTGGGCTTGTCGTGAGAGCCTGTTTTTATTCGCTCGCTTTCTAATATTGGACCCTGCAACGATAATAATAATAATTATTATTATTATAATGCAGTGCTGCAAATGGGGTTGGGTTGTTTTTGTGGCATCATAGATTGCAGCTGATTCAAATGGGAACTGAGTGGGAGATTTTTTTTTGTGTGTGCGTCGATTGGATTAAAAAGACGCTTTCGTGTTTTTGATGCTGGACCGGGTCAAAGTGAACGCGCGCGACTTTTCTTGTCACTCGCTCCGAGACGCCGCCCGGCGTGGAGGGCGCTATATAAATCCAAGCGGTTGTTGTTGTTGTTGTTTAACTCTTTTGACGGGTCCTTTTTTTTTTAAACATTTTTACATAAAAAAAAGGGTACACTTTCTGCGAAAGACTCGATGGCGAGGCGTACGAGAGCAACATGCGGAGCACGACCAGAGCGGAACTTTTGTTGCTGATCAAATCCATTGATGAAAACGCTCGGCTCTCTACCAAAGAGAAGAAAAAGATCCTGAATCAGTTCAACAAAAGTCACCCGGCCATATTTATTCAATATTTCTTCGATCCGTCGAGGAAAAGTTAACTCTTTCGTCAAGCCGAATGATCGCAGTGGCTGGCGCGCGCGGGTGGGGGGGAGTGACTGTTGAACGTTAACGCCGTTGCTGTCCGAGGGAAATCGTGAAAAGTTTTAATGTGTTTAAGCGAAAATTTTATATTTAATAAACTTTAAATACCGATTTTTTTTTTGATTTTTTTTTTGTCTTTGTGGCGATGAAGGCAATTTGTGGAAGATTCCTACTTGGTGTTCACGCCCCAGGAAGCAGTGTGGAGACCCACATATCAGATATGTGTGTGGGGGTCAGTGTGTGTGTGGGGGGGTCAGTGTGGGGGGGGTCAGTGTGTGGGGGGGGTCAGTGTGTGGGGGGGGAGGTCAGTGTGGGGGGGGTTCTGTGGGGGGTGGTGTGTGGGTGGGGGGGGTCAGTGTGGGGGGGTCAGTGTGTGGGGGGGGGCAGTGTGGGTGGGGGTCAGTGGGGGGGGTCAGTGTGTGTGTGTGTGTGTGGGTGGGGGGGGGGTCAGTGTGTGTGGGGATCAGTGTGTGTGGGGGGGGGTCAGTGTGGGGTCAGAAGACTACAATTCCCAGTATCCTCCGCGTGAGCGGCGCGGCCCAGACCGGAAGTGACGTAATCAGACGCTGGGAGCCGGTGGCTGTACGAAACGGTAAAGTCGGTTTATAACAGATTGTGCGGATACCCGGACCCCGGGGCGGGGGGGGGGGAGAGGGGAGAGCTGAGGGTCGTTTGTTGAGAGGCGGATTTGTATAGTCTAACTGTCAGGGGGTCAGACACACAGAGAGACAGAGAGAGACACAGAGACACACAGAGACACACAGACAGACAGAGACACAGAGAGACACAGACACAGAGAGACATAGACAGAGAGAGACAGAGAGACACACACACAGAGAGACACAGACAGAGAGAGAGACACACAGACAGACAGAGACACACAGACAGACAGAGACACAGACAGACAGAGAGACACAGACAGAGAGAGAGACAGAGACACACACAGAGAGAGACACACAGACAGACAGAGAGACACACAGACAGAGAGAGAGACACACAGACAGAGAGAGAGACACACAGACAGAGAGAGACACACAGACAGAGAGACACACAGACAGAGAGAGAGACACACAGACAGAGAGAGACACACACAGAGAGAGACACACAGACAGACAGAGAGACACACAGACAGACAGAGAGACACACAGAGAGAGACACACAGACAGAGAGAGAGACACACAGACAGAGAGAGAGACACACAGACAGAGAGAGACACACAGACAGAGAGAGAGACACAGACAGAGAGAGACACACACACAGAGAGAGACACACACACACACAGAGAGACACACACAGGCACAGAGACACACAGACAGAGAGAGAGACACAGACAGACACACAGACAGAGAGAGACACACACACAGAGAGAGAGACACACAGACAGAGAGAGAGACACACAGACAGAGAGAGAGACACACAGGGAGACAGAGAGGGAGACACAGACACCCACACACCCACACACAGACAGACCCGGATTTCCAGTCTCTTTTTGCTCCTTTTTATCTCAGTTTATTTTGTGGTTTCTTCAAAGGAGCAGCAAAATAAATCCGGTTCTGCCCCAGTAGTGACCCCCAGACCGGTCCAGGCTCCGGGAGATGTGAGTCTTGTTTTCAAAAACAAACAGAACGCTGTGTTTATTGTTGTCATGTTCGGTATTGTGTATATATTAATAATCATCATCCTTGCCTTATCACGTCTTCGAGACGTCTCAAAGCGCTTCGCCGAATACACTTGTCAAATGAATTGACCGTGTATTTTGTGGGCGAAACTCAGCCACCGACTGGGCACCGCAGCGTCCCACAAACAGCTGTGGATTGAACAACCAATTTATTATTATATATATATATATATACACACGTCCCACTGGACTGAGATATTTACCATTTCAATGCATGGAAATGAACATTGGCCCTTAAATGAATGAAGTGCAAATTGTTTTTGCTGTTAAGAACAACGAATTAAATGAGCAAAGTGCTGTCGATTCTGTTCGGAGGCAGTTTCCTGACGTGTTGGTGTTGATGAACGAAATAACCTCTTTGACGGGTGGCCCTGTGTATGTGTCCTGTGCCACGACGGTCAGCCGTACAGACGAGTGGAGGCCATCCTGACCTCGGTCTGCACCGTGAGCAGGTGGGATGGCACACTTGGCCTCAGTGCCCATTGCAACAACGACGACAACTTGCATTTATACAGCACCCTTCACGCGGGGCAGCACGTCCGAGCACTTAGCTGGGGAAGGAAGAATTATCTCCTTTCCCTCCATAGTAGACCTGTGATATAAGGCGAAAAGCTCCTTGAGCTTCCAGCGCCTCTTTGTTGTGTGTTGCCGTTGCCAGGGGAAGAGTAATTTGGCTTTGATTTAGACGTGTAAGGTGACGTGATGGGGTGGAGCTAAACGCTGTGCTGTGCAGGAAGAAACGCGTTGGGGTTTAAATTGTCCCCGGCACTGCTCGTAGTTAGCTCCTAGTGGGCCAATTGAAGAAACAAGGTTTCGTAGAAGGTTGGCGAAAGGTCAAAGGCCTGCAATTCATTGAATGAAAGCTGCAGATTGTATACATACAGATGCAAGTACTACTTGCACGTTAGATTCAGCCTTCAGTTAGGTTTAAGCTTCCCCGATAAACTCGATGATTTGCTTCAGAGCTGTTTCTGAGTTATTTGGATTTGTGATGGTTTTCTTGGCATTTTGCTTTTCTCCCTCCCCTTTAGGCAACCATCTGGCTTCCTGTTTCCGCCTCCCAACAGCAACCTGACTGGGATTGACCCTGGCTTTAACCATACTGGTGAAGTGCATTGGAGAATTACCACCGACCAGTAATTCTTCTTGAGTAATGAGTAGAGTCGCTAACTGGTGTGATGAATGACATATTTCACATGTCTCACTGTACATGCCTCAGTAATTGACCTGAAATGATTACATGTTTCCTGAAAAAGTTTAGTCGGAGATTGTTATGCGAAGTTTTATAATGCTGAAGGACCCAAATGTTCAAGAAAAACTAAACTACATTTTGTAGGGGATTTCATAGAGGATACAGAGAAGAACTTTGCAATCCCCACCCCCCCCCCCCCCAACCACCATACAGGTCAGTGTATTACATTATATTCCTTTGTGTGTATGTCTTTTGCAGATAACAGAGCGGGAATCCATTCCAGAGCGGAAAATAAAATGATTGTAGTCCCCACTCTACCATAAAAGTAACAGTCAGTGGAGCACCTACAGTTGTTGTGTCTTATAGATTCTTGGGCAGAAGCTATACAGACTGAGTTTAAGCAAAGCAAGTATGGCTGAGGATCCAGGTAAAGCGGGTTCAGGTGAAGGGGAAAGAACCGCAGAAAATGCCTGTCACAATAGGCTGGACGATTCCGAAACTGGGAATCTACGTAAACGACTGAGACAGGGAACTGAAACCCCCAGCACTGGAAGCACTCCTTCATGTAAGTTTGCACTCGTGTACATCTTGGTGTGGTAGAGTATTTGTAAGTTAAAGGAGAAAGGATGCAAGTACATAAGAAAGTATTTCCCTTCTCTTTCACAAATAATTAAATGTTCCCTACCTTCCAAGACTTACAACAACAACTTGCATTTATACAGCGTCCTTCACACTGGGTAGCGTCGTGGAGTACTTAACAGTGGCAGAGTCTGACAATGAGTAAGCACGATTAAAAAGGAAGGTCTTTAGGCGGGATTTGAAAGTGGTAGCAGTCTTATTTCCTACTCATCTTGTCTCCTATAACATAATCTCTGCTCAAGCTGGGAACTTGTTTAATTTTTATAATAATAATATATGTTCAATTTATATGTATTTCAGATCATGTTCTGGATGAGTAAAGATCAATTCATGATTTTATTGTCGTCTTAGCTAGGGACTCGATAATAAAATGATGCAGTATAATTATGAGACAGATGATTAGAATTTTAGACTAAAAAATGGTAAAGCCAATTATTCAGCAAAAACGCCACAACATGTTAGGGCTTTTAACTCGGGATTTGACTCGCTAAATGGCCTCCAGCATTTTTCCCTTTGGGATCATGAACAATGAACCCAATAGTTAGTGTTTCATAATTGATTTGAAGAAGAAGATGAGAATAGTCAGGTAGCTACATTATGTAATGCTGCATTTGTTTTTGAATTCCAGCTACGCCTCCCAAACTGGTCTCAGCAGAGGAGCTAATTGAAGCAGAAAAAGGGGTCTGTAAGTTGGCTCTTGCTCATGAGATAGTAGTCGACGAAAGTTTTAGAATCAAACAGCGAGACCCAGCAGAGGGCAGGTAGGTGCAGAAGCATGGCCACACGAAGGCTGTAATTTGCCCATTGGTATTTATATGCCGAGTTGACAATCTGCACTGGACACATAATATGTGACACCCAACTCTATCTCTCTGCCTCCACCCTGGACTATAGGACCACTGCTGTCAGACATCAAGTCCTGTATGAGTGCTAACTTTCTACAGTTGAATGTCAACGAGATCGAGGATAGAGTTCAAAATCCTCGTCCTTGCCTTCAAGCCCCTCCACAACTTTGTTCCTTCCTACCTCTGCGACTGCTGACCCCATATTAAACTGTCCTCTCCCTCCACTCGGCAGGTCGCCCGCCCGCTGCACGTCGCCTGCTGCACGTCGCCCGCCCGACCCCACCAGTGGCGGTCGGGCCTCCAGCCTTTCTGCCCCCACCATGCCACGTGGAGTTCCCACTCCATCCGTTGGGGGATGTCCTTTCGATGTGAAAGGTGCTATACAAATGTAATTTTGTATTGTATGGCATAATCAGAAACGCAGTTCAAGGAGGGCTGTGTCTGAACTCTGCGCTTGAGATAGAACCATTACTTATCCCCCCCAAAATATTCTATTACTAGGATCTAATATGCAGTGATTTTTAATGGGGATTCTTAAGTGTCTTATATTAATGGCAGATACTAATTCACAGAATTCAAACAGTATCAAATATTCATAATACAAACACACACACTTCCTGTGTCTGGGTAATAAAATTAAATGTTTTTACAGTTTTGAGAAGACAGTTGGGGATATTGTGAAAAAAGCTTTCTGGGATTGTTTACAAGCACAATTAAGTGAGGAACCGCCAGTTTATGACCATGCAATCCATCTTCTAAGTGAGATTAAAGAGGTAAGCCATTCTTACTTAATGTCCAGAACCTAACAAATACGAACCCCCTGTATCCCCTTACGTCCCAAGCCCAAAAAACATGAAAACCCCCTCCCCGCCTTACATCCCGAATCCAAAAATCTGCAACGCCCCCCCCCACCACCCCTTATGCCCGAAACTTAAAAAACAAAATATTATTGTTTTCTGCCTCCACCAATATTGTTTCAGAGTCTCTTGTCATTCTTGCTGCCTGGTCACACCCGGCTGAGGAACCAAATCAATGAGGTTCTGGATCTGGATCTTATAAAACAAGAGGCTGAGAATGGTGCTCTGGAGATCCCGAGACTAGTTGACTTCATCATTGGGATGATGGGAACTCTGTGCGCACCTGTCAGGGATGAGGAGATCAAGAAGATCAGGGACATCTGTGATGTGGTGGTATTGTTTAGGTAAGATGGAGATGAAAGTTATGTTAAATATTTCAGCCTGGGTGTGAGGCCCAGTGGTGCTTCTATGAGTGGAACTCACTGGAAAAGTAGATTAGAAAACAAACCTGGAAAGAGATGTGATGCTTCAATGCAAATTCATTGATTGGGTTGAAGACTCAAAGATAGTATACTTTACACAAAAATAAATCAAATGGACATTTTCTTTTTCACCAAGTCTAAACGTTTGAAGATTTTTTTATTTTTTTAATTAAGCAACAACAACAAAATTACATTTGTATAGGGCCCTTCATGTCGGAAGGCATTGAACAGTTAGTGTTTTAGGTTTACTGTACCAAATGTTGTATCAGATGCTCTTTATTAATAGAGGAGGCACAAAGTTTTGCTCATCAGTACCTCACTGCTCGTGAAATTCCTGACTATTGAAAGCGCTAACTATCCAATTAGCTCCTCTTTGCAGGTCTAGGTGAAGGACTCAAATTTGGAGCAAGAACTCTTATTATCCTGACGCACAGTAGTTAGGTAGGTAGGTAGGTAGGTAGGTATGATGGTTATAAATCTGTGTTGCTTCTTTTCAGGGAGATTTTTGGTGTGCTTGATCTGATGAAGCTGGACATGGTGAATTTCACTATCAGCAGTATTCGACCACACTTAATGCAGCAATCGGTTGAATATGAGCGAAAGAGATTTCAGCAATTATTTGACAAGCAGCTGAGTAAGTCTCAAGTTCCACAAACCTGATTTCTTACTGAAACCGGAGACTGAGAGACTTTTCTATTAACTGTGGGTTACTGATACCCTTGCAGAAACTATCTGTTTGTTGCCAGCCTAGCAGCGTGGCGCAGTAGTAATATTTACACACCAGGTTCCAGCCCTCCTCCTTTTTCTTTCCCCCTTCCCTCCATTATATTTTGCAAATAAATCTCTTTGCTTTACCACAGATGGGCTGGAAATCACTACCAAATGGTTGCAAGAAGCAGCCAGTGATGTGCTGAGCGCTGACTCCGAGTCTGCAGTGGGTGCTGGAGCTCCTGCTGCAGAGATTCCTGCGACTTCAGTGTTAAACCATGCTTATCTTACACTGCTGAGGTGGGATCACGCCGGCAGGCTTTTCCCAGAGGTTGGTGTCATTCTCTGTTAATTGGATATCACTAGCATCATGTTGATTTTGCTGTGAGTGCAGATTCTTAATAGAAGATCAATCGTCTGGGGTAAATCCACTTCATTGATGCAACTCCATTAAACTGGCATAAAGATTAAACTTTCCAGCTATAGGTTTTACCATCAGATCCCAAGAGATGTACAAATGAAGACTTTTTAATACAGGTCGATGGCCCTACTTCCTGCCGTTGTCCTAAAATTGCCCGTCACATTCTTAAACCTGTGAACACTCGTCCTATTGCCTTATGGTATCGTTCTGCGTCTATTTTCTCTATCTCATGTGGTAATAATAAAATAAATAGGAAATTACTAAGCAGGATTGGGGTGCATGGATGATTTATGGTCTCATTGTTCTCTCTGCTTGTTGTAGACCGTGCTGATGGACCAAACCCGTTTCCAGGAAATGCAGATGGAATTAAATCAATTGACCATAATAGCGGCAGTTCTTCTGGTGACATACAACATGACTGGTGTAGCCATATCAGGGCTCTCAGGATTTCTGGACAAGCTAAAGAAGATTATTAAAGTCTTATTGACAGGCATGCATACCCCGTAAGTGATTCACTGCTATGTACTTTGATTGCTATGATGTTAAGGCTAGGTTGAATGGTAGTGAGGAAGAAGAGAAGTCATTCAGAATGTATGTGCTGCAGTTGCTTTAATAGATCCAATGGAATTGTATTAACATTTTACAAAATTGTCCATGGAATCTTAAATTCACCCTGGTTAGTGGAAACCCAACTTAGTCACAAGCATTGTACTTTGTCTATTGTGAAAATCTGTGTTCACTGAGCAAACTAAGACCAGTGTTTGATCTGGATGTGAAAGTATGGAATGCTAATTTGCTGTTTTTACTGAATTTACAGTTCCTTTCAACTGAGTGAGGCTCTGGTCAGTGTGAGTGAGCAGATCTGTGTGGAAGTAACTAACTGCTTATCTCAACATGGGTTTACACCCCTGACTGTTGAGAGAAAAGGAGTGTTAAAAGGTCAAATCCAGGCAATATCTAATTTGGACAACTCAGTTCGCAAATTAATAGGTAAGATCGGAATATCCTTCAGACATGTATTGATGAGAATTTTACAGTTGTAGACAATCTTGCAAATTTACTCGTCAGAACTGAACAGGTTTTAATAGCATGGATTGCTAGTGATTTGACTGTTGAGAAAAACCTACAATTTGAGAGATTAACTGTCGTTGGCAGCCTCTAAGTCTCCATAAGTAAGCCAGAGAGGGCTGGTCAGCCATTCATCATGTCTTGGCTTGCTGCAGTTCTGACTAGAGCATGGACTTTAATCAGTATATAAACTATATGAAGGGTTGCACAAAAAATGTAATTTTGATTTGTCCTATAGGCTCTCCCCTCACTGTTCAATTAAATGTCTTCTTATTGGCAACAAAATTCCACTGTTTTATTTAGCAATTCTTATCAGCGCATCCAGTTTGCCAAGTTAACCGTGTGACAATCAATAATCAAGTTCTATTGATTGTTGTATTTGTAAACAATTGATGAATGATTTTCTTTTGGCAGATTCGCGCATCCAGACTTTCCTGAAGACGTATCTTGTGTCGATCAACCCAAAGACCATCACAGCCCCTGGTGGTCTTGGTCCCATTGGTACTGAGCTGGAAGAATTGACTGTCAAATTTACTCGCCTGATAAACTACAACAGGCTAGTCTTTAGCCCTTACTATGATACTGTCTTGACTAAAATACTCAAAGGGACTGACTCTGAAGTTCCAGGAATAAGTGAAAAGGAACAACTGTCCTCTCAGGGATAATTTATTGAATACAGTAAACATTTAAGAGACGGTATTCCTTGCTTCTTCCTCGGAACACTCCGCAGATCATAAGAGTTAGGCTGAGAAGGTTCTGTTTGGGTTTGGGGAAAAAATCATAACAAGATGATTTCCCTTTATTTTGTTGACATTGGGATTTCATTAGAATGAATAACTCTGGTTCAGTGGGCTTTGGTCAAACCTTAGTAAAGCACCTCCTGCAGACAGCTGCTGTCCAAGCAGTTCAAGATCATCTCCTTTGATCGAGCCTCTCTCCAGAGCTCGATGATTGCACATTGAGGTCTCAACTCCTGTGGTGTATGGAAGATGAAAGATTATCTATTTGAGTACGACTCTCAATTTTGAGTTAAAGCATCTTCTGCACTCTATCCTCCATCTTCTAGTCACTTGTCTGGAAGGGGCATACATAGCACAGTGTTGCTATCTTCTTTATTATACCAGTCAAAATAGGCAGAGATCTCAAAATTAGACCACATACTCTAATAGTGCAGGGAACCAGTAAGGGTCATGTAGATGCCAGAATATTTTAAAAAGGGATATCACAACTCCTCCAATGACTCTGTTTATCCAGTCATGGAACCAGTTGGAGAAAGAATAACACTTGGATTGTCTGTGTAGGCCAGATGGTTTTGTAAGATTTCAGTTTATGCATTTGTGACATTGAAACAAACACTGATTATAGTAATAAATCTGCACAAGACACTAGATTTATCACTGTAATAACCCAAACTACAACACCATCTGTAGCACAATTTTATAACTGGATAATAAAAGCAAAGTAAATATTTTAATTCTACTAGCCCCAATGCCCATCTTTTTTCTCTCTATTCTATTTATTTATGGACTTCTCTTTTCTATGCCCTATTTCTACAGCAACCTCACTTGGAAGCCCTTACATTAACTTGTTTGTTCCTCCTGTTTTCCATGAAGCATTTTGAAGGAGGAAGTAACTTTCAAACAAATGTTCACATTGGTTAAGAATAGCTCCAAAGCATTTAGCAACTCAAAAAACTGCGACTGTGATGATTGACATTGTTGTGTGATAAGATTCAACCAGGTTGATGTGCGTGTCTCTATTTATATGTAAAAACTGGAAGAGGTTGCTGGATGAGGATACTAGCCATTGGCCACAGAGTGCTGACAGTAAAACTCTTCTGTAGTCGCTAAAAGTTAAGGGTTACTATATTCTGCGGATTTAGATTTTCAATAAATCTTAGTGTGTGCAAAAGTAAGGAGTACTGTCATCTTAAATGGAAGCATTTACTTCTGCACATAGCAGCCAAACCAATTCTTAGTACTTCTATTATCCTCTTCTGGCTGTGTCTTACAGTATTTTATCCACATAATTCCAGGCTTAGTATGTTGCATGTCTCTTGTATATGTGCATGAGGCTTCTTTGGAATTGATGTGCATTATATTAACTACACCCGGCAGTTGAATAATTTAAATACCTCTAAGCATTTTTATGGAACAGGTTTGTTTGGAGAAGAGAAAATACTTTTTTTTCAAATTTCTAAGAAATTTGCAATACAACACAGTAAACCGTGATGATGTACAATATTTAAACAAAACAAGTATAACCTGATGTGTAATAAAGTTTATCTGTGTCATTTTGGCCTTATTAAAGTGAATTACTATATAGTCTGGGCAATTAAATGGGTCGTGTATAAAAGATTAAGGGGGAAATCCTAACTGTTGGAAAATTGACAGTTTTTAAACATTACAAAATATACTCTTCTACAGGGATATGTGTTAGTGGTCTAGGTCATATACAATGAGGGTAGAGTAAGTGTACAAATAAAGAATCTAACATTAAATGTATTTTCTACCTTTATTACAAAGATTGGTGTTCAGGCTGTCAATTACAAAAGAAAACAGGTTGCCATAAATAATGGTAAAATGAGACTTGGCAAGAATAACCACATGACAAAATCGGACTTGAGTCTCTTCATAATGTGGTCTTATTAAAATACAATTCTCTCTAGAATTGAGAATTTTTACCATCCAGTTTTTTAAAATGAAACTGACAATTAAAACAAATCGCAAATAATTCATTAGTTGCATTTTACAGCGCACTTGCTAGGAACGAGATTGCAGTTGAAATGTTTGCACTGTGTGTGTTTGTGCTGCCCTGGTTTTCAATACCAAACTTATTTTTAAATCTACTCAAAACATGAGCATTTTGAAAAAAAATGAAATTTTCATTCAAGTAACAAGATTTTATCCATCTTTTTCATTCCAAGTGGGTTTAAACGTATTTGAATGAGGCACCAACAGTGAAAGCACAGTCTTATTTCCACAGGCAAGTGAAGACATAGCTCGTGTCTTGACATTTTTAAGAAATGACAATTCAGTTCTTTGAATGTGTAACAGTCCATAACGAACTAGTTTACCGGACTCGCTTCTGCTGACGTGCTCTGTAGATATCATGTACAGGGGGGGCTACAGTTCCTTTTTCCTCGTCATCATCAGAATCTTCGTTTGCTGCCCTTTTTAATGACTTTTTCATCACTGCATCGTTTTCTAAAGGCCCGTTTCCTTCAACTATGCTTTCTGGCTGACTACCGGTGATCAGCTCCACAGCTTGCTCAACAGCTGAAATAGAAACACATCGCACCTTAATACATATATACCAAGTGACTGGGTAAAGGTGCTAAAGCCACAACAAGCCAGCGTCAAAGTACGGGCTTGTAACCCAGTCTGTGTTGAGTTGCTGATCTCAGCTGGGTGGTGGTTTGGGTGTTACAATTGGCTTCAGTGTCTTCTGGGCCAAGGACTCTCCCCGCTGATGATGATCCAGTGACCCCAGCTGGAAAGTGCTCATGTGGACATTTGGTGAGGACAGGACAAGACCAGCTGTGGTTGAATAGCTTACAGACACCCAGTGTATCAGCTCACTGAATATCCTGTAAAGTGAATCGTGGATTAAGTGACCAAATTATTATTGATTTTTTGAAGGGATTATTATCCTTTAGTTTATTAATTTATTTAACTTACTTGAGAATTATTAATTTTAACAAATTAAACGTTTTTATTGAAAATACAAGAATTTGATAGCTGGCTCAGCAGCTAAAGAAGACCATACAGAGGCACAGAGCTGTCCTTAGTCTGAAATTTTGATTTCAGCTCTATCCTGGAAGAAGGGGGAATAGCAACATGCGTCACAGAAATACTTACTTTCTGGTAACTGGCAACGTCTCAAAACCTCAATGAGTTCATCAACTTGGACAAATGGCCCCTGTAAATAGAATGTTTTACAGTATTCTGATCAATAATGTGACATTTCTAAATCTAATCATTGTGTACATACAGAGTCACACATGCAATTGTTTGCATTATTCTACAGGTGACTGAACACTCCCACTTGTGGAGTGGCCACTATTAGTATTGTATTTTCTGCGCAGTATTACATTGTTATGTCACACAGGCCATTCAGCCCCTCAAGCCTGTTCTGCCATTCAATACGATTATGGCTGACCTGTACCTCAAGTCCAATTACCCGCCCTTGCCCCATATCCCTTGATGTTCCTCCTGTACTTTAGGATAAGTCAGTCTCTTCACCGCATGAAAGGGGTTAAAGCAAAATCGTTCAAGAATTGTGATATAAAAATACCAAAAGTCTCACATTAACCAAACCAGGAGCAGGATAGATATTTGCACAGGATGGACACTTAAACTCTTGTAGTTTTAGTTTGGCTGCCTATGTACATATTAAGCTTGTAAAGAAGGCTCCATGACGAGAGAATTACTCTTGTGACAGCCCTCAGTTCCTCATTCTACTTGCAGTTTCTGGTGAAAAAGAATAACTTTCTCGTAATAACTGAACAGCTCTCTGAAATGAGAACAAACAATCAGTTTGCCAGAACAGTCCCTCAACAGAACATAACCTGCCTCAGATCCTTACTCACCTGGAAACATGTTGGCGGTGGTAACAGCTTCATAAGTAGTACTGAGGTCGGGGGTACAGGAAACACTCCACCAGGGACAGGATGGAGACCCGGAGCTGTGAAGGGAAGCAGATATGCTGAGTTTTGTTTTTAAGACCAAACAATATTAGCACAGTATAAAACACATCTTCAACATGCTTCGCAAAGACCTATTTATCATGGCAGCTATATTATACAGCGCAGAAGGAGGCCATTTGGCCCATCGTGTCTGCCGGTTCTTTGAAAAGAGCTTTTCCAAATCAATCCCACTCCCCCGCGCTCTCCCCAGAGCCCTGCAAACTCGTCCTCCCCAAATACATTGTCTGAAAGGCTGGTGGAAGCCGATTCGATAACAACTTTTAAGAGAGAAGTAGATAATTATTTGGGGAAGACAAGTTTGCAGGAGGAGAGAGAGTGGGGAGTGGGATTGATTTGGAAAAGCACTTTTCAAAGAACCGGCACAGACACGATGGGCTGAATGGCCTCCTTCTGTGCTGTATGATTCTAATCAAGTCTTCGAGATGTCTCAAAGCCCTTCACAGAATATACTCAACTCTTTAAGCTCATCATCGATTTAAAAACAACACAAAATCAAACATATCCTTAAACAAAATGCTTACGAGCTAAATGTCTAGGCTGAAATGGTATCATCTGATTAGTGTCGGGTTTAGGATATTCCGGTTTTCGATCCACTTCATCCTTCATCACTGGCACAATAGAAGGAGCCACGACAGGATCTGGAATCATGGCGGTTACTTTGGCACGGGAAACGTCCTGTAAGCGTTTAAACATGACTCGGTTACAATACAAATCGTGCCAAATTCACCCCAAATCACATCATCATTTTACGCAGAGTTTACGTGAACTGGGCAACACAGTAACTGCAATAAAAGTGTCAAGGCACAAGTTGCTTTGTAGAAAAATTCTCAAGACCACTCGGTAACAACAACAATTTGCATTTATACAGCGCCCTTTATGCAGGGTTAGTGTCCTGGAGCTTTGTCAAAACAGATGCATGTCACTATCCTTACATTTGATAAAACGCCTTTCACGTTGGAAGGATGACTCAAAGTGCTTCCAAGATTCACTATAAAATGAAATCATGTAGTGACTGTAGTTTTTTTATACAGGTGAATGTGATGCAGATTGGATAACAACACCCTCACAGAAACAGTTTGACGGTGTCCCAACGTTAATGACTAGAGAATAATTGAAGCTGGTGATTTGTGGGCACACTACATAGTCACAAAAGAACATCAAATCACAAAGGCGGTGGCTTTATTTTTGAAATATTTCTTAAAATAAAGACACATTACAATAGAACATTCAAGAAATGGGATTTGGGGGGACATTCATACCTTATATCCAAGGGCTTTCAGTTCACTGTTTGAACATGGAAACAGGTCCATGAACTTGTACCTGTCCACCAGCAAAGCCGTTTCTTTCCCTTCATATTCCTCCTTAAAAGCAGCAAACCTCCTCTTTTCCACTTTCAGGATACTGGCGAGATCGCCAATATTACTCTCGAAGGCTAGAAATCGTGCCCAGATTTCTCTATGTTTGGCAGAAGTAATAAAGTAAAATGAGCAAGGTACGATCAGACATAGGGAATCATCGTGTTCATGTGTAATGGCCTGTTTCCACCAAGTACTGAACACACAGGACTATAAAGATGCTACTCTAATGACTTCGATGATATGAATCTTTGCTGCTAAACTCAGATGGTATGAGGACAAAATACTTTCTATACAAAAGGAATATTAAATCACACAACAGTGATGGGACACTGCAGTTTTTAATGTAGTTGTGTTTCTCTTGAAATAAAAATAGTAATGTTTGCATTTAGTATAGTGCTTTTCATGTGGGGGAGGGGGGCAGATATCTCAAAGGGCTTTCCAGGATTTACTGTAAAATGTAGTGACTGTGTCTTGGAGACAAGATTTCACTTCTCTTTATGACATCTAATCTTTTTAACAAAAAATAGCATTCACTTACCGAGTTAATACTTATGGAATAAACATACTTTAATTTTTAGGGATTAAAAGAAAATTACCCAGATTTCTCAGGTGGTAGAGATCCTGACGTCAACACACGTTCAAACAAAACTCTGGTATTATTATCCTCTGAAAAATAAACCAAACTGAGGTTAAGTTGATTCTTGATATATGGAAACTGGCTTCATTTCTTTATTTATTCTTCCAAAAGTTTAAAAACTCCGTATTTTTATCATTTTCATTTGTATTATTACATGGGTACTGTTTGTACAATATAGTGTCAGCGTGCATAAAAGTGGACACACGTCATCATTTCATCAATCTTAATTTGACAGTAGAGGAAACTGAACAATAAGCTTTCTGCTATCAAGTCTAACAGGAATACACATTGTGGATAATCTGAATTGTTCCTCACAAACTCTGTTACACCTCTATGTACCCCTCAACCTATGTATTTTTCACTTACTGTTTTTCCGTGCGTCTGATGACCTGGTAAGAAGTACCGATCAATTGTATTCTTACCGTTAAGATGAGAAAGATAGTCAATATAAGCCAATATGTACTCTGGAATGTCCCCATACTTCTTCAACCCCAGCTCGAAAATCTTGAAGGCGACTGCCTTGTCCTACAGTAAAACATTACAAGCAGTTACAACAGGGACATCTTGTAATGTACTTGTGATATTTGGTACAGGGCAGGAAAACTTACTTTACTGCAGTAGTACTCCATGAGCGCAGCAGATACGTAGACATGGTGGCGTGTTCTAGCATCTTCTCTGGCTTTCTTAAAAATGGATCGACCAGACTTGATGCCTTCTGCTCTCCGTGCAAATTTCATGTACTGGATGTACACCTTTAATACAAATAAAAACATGTACATGTCTTTCTCATGTCCGTTCCAAATACTCCAAACTTGGCTCGTGTATGTAAACAATATACGTGGGCCATCATTTTGAATCATTTATGGATTTGAAACAAAACTAAACCTTACCAACGTGGGATCGATATCTTCAATAGTTAAGAGCCTATTGTATATGCTGTGCACCTTTTCATACTTCATTCGACTCTGTGAAAAAGAAAATATGAATAATAATCCTTGCATTTCATATAGCGCTTTTCACGTCTTCTCGACGTCTCAAATCGCTTCACAGAATATACTGTTAAAAAGGGAAATTAACTGTATATTTGTGGGCGAACGCGGCAGCCAGTTGTGCACAGCAGTGTCCCACAAACAGTCGTGGATTGAAAATGACCAATTTTTTTTGTTTTGGAGGGATTATTATTAGGCGTGTGGAGTAAGGAAACTTGCCCAAAGTTTCGCCCTGCCGGGAATCGAACCCAGGTCTCTCGCTTGCGAGGCGAGCGCTCTAACCACTGAGCTACAGGACTCCACTAAAGAGTGGAGAAAAGAAACTTCCTCATTTGCCTACTGGGTAGTAAAATTATATTGTTTTCGGGTTAGATAAATACTAGTCCTAACATAATCTCAACTCACCTCTTCATAGTCTGCATAGGCAAAGTAAAGCAGCATGTTCTTCCTTAACAAAGTGCTGATAGCCCTCTCGTATATGTTAGCAGCCTCGTCACTGAACAGCTTTGCGTTGTTCATATCCTGCCACACAAGACGGTTAGTAAGAAAATGTTACTGAGAAATCTTATCGAATTATTACAATGTCATTCCTTGCAAGTCACTCTGTGGTTAAAAGGTAAATCTCGCCTAACAGAAACTGAGCAGATACTAAATGACCCAAATCTAATTTACCTTGTAGCAAACGTGTTTAAACAAACAAACTGCTTTAATTCGCTTGTTGAGATTGGATAGGATAGGATACTGGAGGCAATTCAGTACAAGAGATCTTTAATAAACATGTGGAAGACCATTAAGTCATTCATGGCCACGTGAAGCTGAGCTATGTCACTTGTTGTTCATGTACAAGACCAAAAAAAACCCCAGTATTGCACACTCAACAACAACTCACATTTATAGCACCTTTCATGCGCTTGATACAATTAGTGATGGTCGGACAACCCCTTTGTTGACAAAGGATGACTGACAGACACAGATTTCAGTAAACAACTGCTTCTATTTTATTATAACTAGGTTTGTAAAACAATTCTCATCTATATTCCTGTATGGTGTTGCACCAACTCTACACCAGGCGCCCGCTACAAATAAGTATATAACTATTTGGTATACATTACACCACCTCAATGACATCATATCAAACATCTGATTTTATTTTCCTAACTCTAGATTAACTGAATTACAGACGCGAGAATGAACAGCGACTGCTTGGTATTCGTTGAATGTTAGAACGTACCCCCTTTTCAGCGAGCAGTTTGCTAGATTGCTCCAAGTACTGGGCAGCTTCATACCAAATGTCAGGATGATGTCCCAAAACTAGCAAACATTGTTCATAAGCAAACATGACTGCAAAAAGAGTAGAGATATTTTTTATTATTAAATCAACTTGTTGTTCATGTACAAGACCAAAAAAAACAGTATTGCACACTCAACTACAACTCACATTTACAGCACCTTTCACACACTTGATCACAGCATTTTTTCCATTCTACTGCAGTCATAAGGAGCAATGCAATAATAATAATCCTTGCATTTGATATAGCACCTTATCGCGTCATTGAGATGTCTCAAAGCGCTTCATAGAATATGCTGTAAAGTCAATTGATTGTATACTTTGTGGGCGAAATGCGGCAGCAATTAATCAAGGGAAGCCCTTTATTTGCCAATAGCTAACTATAAGCAAAACAAACTTCACATTGAGACATTCCCCATCAGTTTCATTTTGCAATACAATCTTTTCGTATAACATTCCACATTAAGGATATTCTGCAAAACCATCCAGTACAAATGATGTTCAAATAACCTCACCTCTTTTAGTGATTAGCGTTTGGTCCTCTGTTCTTAGTGGGTTGCTTTTTTCCCACTGGATATATTTTTTCCACATTTCAACCTGTTGTGCTTCTTGTGGGCTGTTCTGTGGCGGCACTGATGGTGCGTTGCGATCTAGACCTTTCATGACTGTCTCATACTCCTGAAGAGAACACAAAATGATTTGGGAAGGTATCACTGATAGGTACATGTGCGAAGCCCTCGACTGCACTTTAGATTTAGAATCATCTGGACACTAATAATAATAATCCTTACATTTGATACAGCGCTTTTCACGTCTTCGAGACGTCTCAAAGCGCTTCACAAGATATATTGTAAAGTGAATTGACTGTATAATTTGTGGGCGAAACGCGGCAGCTAATTGCGCACAGCAGCATCCTATGGACAGTCATGGATTGAGTGACCAAATTATTATTGTTTTTCTTTTCTTGAGGGATTATTATCAGGCCTGTGGATTAAGGAAGCTTGCCCAAGGTTTCGACCTGACCTGCCGGGAATCGAACCCAGGTCTCTCGCTTGCCAGGCGAGTGCTCTAACCACTGAGCTACAGGACTCTACAAACTAGTGTTAAGAAGGGATAAAAAGATACCTTTGCCACCCGTCGAGCATTCATATAATCTCGGCTCCGATCCTCAATCATTTTCTTGGCCAGGTGAACATTAATACCCTGCAGAGAAACAGTAAAAAAAATTAAACTTGTGCCTCAAGGCATCTGGTCTTTTTACAAGCAAATCTTGAATTGAGTAACTCAGGAACAGAGAAAAATGGCCAAAAAAGAAGCAACTTGCAAATTTTGGGTCGGATCTATACATAAACCGCACTGCAGTCAATGTCATCTCAGTTAAAACAATAGAGAAAATGTATTCCACATCGAGGACAAAATAAGTTACTGATGTCAACCCCAAATCTGTCATCTGACAAAATATGTGATCTTAATGAGTATTTTCTGCACTAAAAACAAAAACGTCAGTCAGTCCAAATGAACATAAACTGTGGAATAGAACTTGGGTCTAAAGTGCTCACCTCTTCATATTTATTATAATCTCTCCATAACTGTTCAATATTTATCATCGGATTGACACAGCCTCGCTGATATACTCGCCGGACGGCTGTAATCCTTTGGTTCTCCGCGTAGGACCCCACTGCTTCTCTATAAAAGGACAAAGTTTGTGTGAATATAACAGAATTATCTTGTATAGTGTACAATTTTGAAGAAAATGAATAAATATCAAAATACTTACACTCCTTTCAAAAAGTTTATGTAATCAACCCAAATCTGTAAAACAATTATAATTTGTGTTGTAATATAGCTCTATAATAATAATAATCCTTGCATTTGATATAGCGCTTTATCAGGTCTTCGAGAAGTCTCAAAGTGCTTCACAGAATACACTGTAAAGTGAATTGACTATATTTTGTGGGCGAAACACGGCAGCCAATTGCGCACAGCAGTGTCCCATACAAACAGCCGTGGGATTGAGTGACCAAATTATTATTTTTATATTTTTATTTATTTTTTGGAAGGGATTATTACCCCTGGAAAAGCGATCCAAATTATAATGATTGAATTTTAATCTAAATGTTAAAAAATGAAAAGATAGTTACTTGGTAGGACATGATCTCCATGCCAATCTTATCCAACGCAAAGTCATACGCCTGAGCCATCTTCTCTCTGAAATACACAGTAAGGAAAAGGTCATCGAATGTGATGTCAGCTAACAGCTTCACACTCAAGTGAGAGAAAACATAAAATTAGTCAAATAAGTTAGGGGGGAGTAAATTAATGATACAGTCAAAACTGTAAGTCAAACAACCACCTCCATTCAGCATCCCACCCCTTGTTAACAACCTCCCTGGAACAGCCCACATAGATTACACACACACACACACACCCTTACTTGGAGGACACCCTTACATTAAGGCCACTTTGGAAAGTCCAGAGAGGTTGTTGAAGACAGGTTTGATTGTACTTCTTGTGTATTTTTAAATTATTGAATCCTTACTTGTAACTGGGAAGTTTGCCTTTAGTCTCCCGTACATAGGCCAGGTAACATTTCCATAGATCAATATGCAAAACCTTCATAAGACATCGCTGAAACAACTGCAAATACAGTAGGAACTTATTACTTAATCCATAACAAGCCTACAAAACAGCCATCTTTATACACAAATATGCATGAGTTTCAGGTTACCTGGCATTAAAAGAAACTAAGACTCGAAGGAAAGAAAGTCCTTTATTAAAGATGATGAAAATTACAAAAAGGCTAAAATTGTTGAGGTGACACATTAGTGCTTATTTACAGACTAAGCCAATATATTCCCTCATTTCTATAAGAGTAACTGAGATTAATTTGAAGCTGGCTTACCTTTTCTACCTTGTCATAGTTTTTTGCTTTTATCTGCAGCAATAAAATAGAAGTTGAGTCATTAAGATAAGTAGTTAAACTGATTCTGATTGACATAATGCAGAACCATCCATACAATACAATTTATGCCCATAGATATCACCAGAGTGCAGAAAGTACTTGTTTGGCTACAAATAGTCATTACACTTTACAGTAAAAATCCTATGAAACGCTTTGAGATGTCTAAGGTGCTATGTCAAATTATTATTATATCATTATAACAAATTATAACAACTGTATATGGAACATTTAACCCTTGGCCCTAAAACAGGTGTGGATGGCTCTTACTATCGGGTAAAATACAAGATCATGAAACATATTGTTGTAGCTATTGTTGTTATTAATATTTGACATTTAACAATATTGCCATATAGGTGGTCTTTACGAGAAGGTTTCATTGCACTTTAAGATTCAAGCAACATGTTTGCATTTGTTCTATTTAATGATCTATATACTAGGCTCTTCATATTGTATGTTAAACTACCACCATGCTCCAGTTAAGTGTCATGAAGTTCACACCAGATAAGTTAGATACAATACGTATACTATCCTGTCCTTTAATTTCTACAGCAACCACCATAGTAGAGAACTGAAACAATCAGTTCAATTTTACCAACAAAAAAAACTTAGAAGATATTAAAAGAATTGAACATTATTGAAAATGAGAAATAAAAATCATGTCTGTTTGTGCAATGCTGTGCAAGATTGGCTGCTGTGTTCACCTACATATGCACCGTCACTGTACTTTTATAGTGAATCATGTGAAGTGCTTTAAGGAGTTGACGGTATATCAAATGCACTGTAATAAATGCAAAGATTATTCTTATTATAGGGCAGGGCACTTCTCAACAGGAACAGAGCTGATTAGCAATAAATTCCAGTTTTACACACAAGCGTTGGAACCAAAAGATAAAATGTATCTTAACTATTTGACTAAAGTGTTATATTTGCCTACAAGTCAAATTTGCAGCTGATGCGACATAAAAGTCAACATTCAAAACTACCTGAAGTGCTTGCTGATCTGTCAGCTTAGCTTTCATCTTCCACTTCACAACCTACAATTCCCAATCTCTAATAATCTTTGTTTTGTAACTGATTAATCTATTCCTGCCTCTATGGAAGAGATGGAAAGGAGGTGGGGGGGGGGTGTTCAGAAGCAGAAAATTGTTTAGTACAGTGTACTTTAAAAAATAAGTTACCTTTGCAAACATTAGGGCTATAAAATCTTGCTCTCCAGCTAAGCGTTACATCAACAAGATATATGGCTCCCAGCTACTCATAGTCTTTTACTAGAATGTTCCTGTGTAGCTTTAAACCTGGAAACACGTGGACGTTAAATATCTAATAATCTATTGCTCTGTTAATGTGTACTGACTTGCGTTGGCTGATAGGGTAGGAGTGTTCACATGTGTGAATTTTTAGACTAGTTTTCCCATACACTCTGGACTTTCTGGTGACTATATGAAACTCTTAACACTATTTTGGAGTGTTTTGAAATTAAGATTTGGGTACAAATTGACTTTTACAATTCCTACAGGTAGAAAGTCTATCAACTCTTAGGAATAGAAATAATTGCAAATACTTGAATTGAGATTCCTCCACTTTTATACAGAATGAGAACTTGTGCATCGATAGGTACTAAACTGATCTTTTTTAACAAACTGGATTCATTGCGAAGTCCAACATGTCCCCTCGCTTTAAGAAACTTTATGCTGAACCGCAGTGTCAAACACTCCGTAAATAATTGTATCTCTCTGAGGTGGAATAATTTGGAAGATTTCCTTTTCATGTGGGTAAGGCTTTTGACCAGATGCTAGGTAGTTTAAGCTGACTCTCACTTCTCTACCTGACATGACAAATCTATAAATAATGCCTCTCCAGCCCACTATTGGACTGGGTGGATGCTGGATCCCAATTCGCATCAGAATATGTACATGGAAAAATTAGTACAATAAGTTTGGCTTTGGTGAGCATCGTATAACTTTCTTAATTTCACGAAACCCTTGCACTAACCACAATTGTATAACGGCACTGCACAATGAAAACCTGGCTCTGTATGCAACTTTTTCACACCTTTCATTCGTCAAAGACTCATCATTCATCACTCTGTGGAAATGTTGTAAACAGTGTCCCAAATGTCTCCTAACAGGAAGGGTTGCATTGATGGCGTTCTAATAAATATTGCACTCTGGGACCTCTTTAGAATTCCTACTTCACGGCAATTGAAAAGCAGCCAACTTGGAACTGTGCCTTCGTACAGTGTAATTTATCATTCGCTTTTGTCCCTTTCAAAGACAGGATCCAGAGCACCGCAATATTAATGTGAAGTTTGGTTTCATCTTGAAGTGTAAAATGTTTGTACCCTGATGCAATTGTACAAATGTTTAACAACCAACAATGATTTTGTGGATTTATCAAATAAGTAGCTGTCATATAGTTTGGGAAACCTGATCCTTGGTTTTAAAGTTTTCAAATACCAAAATATATTACACTGACTCTTCATTCAATGACTCTTTCCAGAAAGAGAAAGAACTTACTTTCTACTTTAGAGTCCTCTGAACTTCTCAGAACTAGCTTGATAAGTAGTCTGGTATAATGTGGCGAATCCTCTAAGTTTTAGACCTGCTGCAGTACAAGGCTTCTTGAATGAAATGTGTCTGCCATAAAGGTCACTCTGTGTTGTTAAGAAGGTATTTTTACCTCCTGTAAACCTGAGCATAAAATTTAACCATCTTCCCAATTTAGCTCTCAATTTATGAAGCAGTGTAATATTCTCTGTAACATTGCTAGATGTAGGCTAAGGGATTAGTATTTGCCACTTTTAAGTCATGAGGTCTCAGTCTATGTCCGTGAAACATTAGCAAAATTGCCCAACCACATAACAAAAGAGCTAAAGTGGAACTTAATTTCAGAACCAGTAATTCGGTAGTTAATCCAAACATATTAAGACTGTTACTCTAGTTTATTTGTTGAAACCTGCAATGTTCTCTCCTCACCCAAAAAAACAAATGAAGCTCTTCCACAAGGTAAGGGTTTCAAAACTGAAGTCGCTCATGCACTCCTAACTCATAAGTGACATTTCAATGTAGGAGCTATATCAGCCCATTTAATCTCATCCTTACTAAATACCAACACTATCATTTTCCCACTGCAGCATCAAGTGTTTCTTAAACGAACCATGTTCTGGCCTCAACTATCCTTCTTGTGCCAGCTATCAATCTATTTAAATAAATAGTTCCTCGTGTCTGTCCTAAAATTGCTACTTACAACTTTGCACTCTCCTATCCCGTGGCTATTTCCTATCTGAAAATATTGTTTACTTTCTCTCTATCTCATCCAACAACCATCCAAGGGCCTCTCGAACATCTCTTAAATGCCGATGACACTTAATCTTATTTTGTTCCTCATCGTGCTGACCCTGGGGAGAGCCTAGTTGCCCTCCTCTTTACTGCCTGTAGGGATTGCCAGTTCTATCACCTTGTGCAAATCAGCTTGTCCAGTTACAGTGGGGCTATTTAACCATATGTTCTGATGCAGACATTAATGAACCTATATTCAAAACGCTGGCTTTCTATGGTCAAGCATATAGGTAAGATATTGGGGAGCAGAGCACAATCTGTACTTGATGCTGTAAACCTTGGAGCACTTAATCTGGAATAGGATTACCAAATAGGAATAGGAAGTAGACAAATGTGATGTTGCAATTGACTTTTGTGATTGCTGAAAACATCACTTGCTTTCTCTGAAACCAGTGATGGAATTTGCTCAATAAGTCAAGTCAATGAGCCAATGGTGATGAAAGAACCATCTTCCCCACAAAGCAAGCTCTCAATGTTGACCACAAGCACTTTGGGAATCACAATGCAGTATGTGGTGAGGGAGATATTTCACGAAAGGTTGATGACATTGTTCAATGTTTTTAAATTGAAAATTTGGTTTGTTATTTTGTGCTACAATTGATTATGCCATTAGAAATAACTTTTGCTTAGGATGGTTACAAACTGCCAGGAGTTGCAACCCATCAATCTGTGCTGGGTTTGAACCCACATTGCAGAGAAAAGGCAATACTATAAACTACTCTTACAATCCAGTTCTCGAGTATTTCTAAATTTGTATTATATCCCAGGCCTACCCCCAGGAAGATGGTAAAAAAATTTTTTTTGTAATTTAACCCATGTTTTGGTGGAATGTTTTTGTTTGAAAATTGTAACCTTGATTTAGGAAATGCATTTTCTAAGCTATTTTCAGTTAATTAACAGCTTGTGTTTCTAGTTACAGAAGGGCACGTTTCGCCCACAAAACATAGTCTATTCACTTTGCAGTATATTCTATGAAGGGCTTTGAGACGTCTCTAAGGTGATAAGGTGCTATATCGAATGCAAGGACTATTATTTATTATTATTTACAAATAAGCCTATATATAGATTATCTAAACACTGCAACCTCCCTGTAAGTACAGTAGAACAAAAATGAGTCATACTTAAATCCAAAACCAAATGACTCGATATATTATAAAATTTCTAGTTAAAGATTTAAATGCATGCATTACTTGGCAAATGAGAAGCATGGAATGTGCCAGACTATATCCCCCAAACTCCTCATTACAAAAAACTGCGCTAGTTTATCAGTGTCAGAAACCTGAAAAAGTCCTTTTTATATAAATGATGAAAATATTTATTAACAAAAAGGGAAATATATTCACAGTAGTTACACACAAATACAGCACATTTATTTCAATAGGTTTGTATTGCATTGTGTTTTTATTAAAGCAGACAATCATCAGAACCAAATAGTTTGATGCCGAACATTTTGTGCATTACACTTAAATATTTTTAAAAAGGAAGCTGATACAATACTAAACATGTATAATGAATTGTCACTAAGGAATTAAAACGTTTAAAAATAAACTTTACAAATGTACTGAATACAAGGTGTGCAGTGTTTTTTTTAAACTGCAACTGTTATACAGAAAAAACACCATACCAAATAAAAGGAACAGGAAAATGACTGCTAGCTGAAAAATGGATAGCCTGTAACCAAACAATCCTGCCTTCAGACTATACTTTCAGGAGACTGATTTTCAATGTAGTTATTGGTGGTAAAGAGAAAGAAGTTTTTACATTATACAATTTCAGGATCCAGTGTGGGTTGATTTTTTTTTAGCACTACTCAGCTAATGTCTCACAATTCAATTAAGTAGAAAAAGAAAATTCACCCCCAACCCCCCAAAAAATTGTTAAAACAAGGAAATACTACGCTATTGACACTATAAATTATACATTGAGCTCCTGGATCATAATACTGGAAGTCAGGCTTTTATAAACAATGGTTTTATAATGATCACTTCCTGTTAACTATTCCTACAATGTATTGTAGTATAGTGCAATGCTTTGTACACTATATATACATATAATCCACTCTGAAAATCCTTTATGCACAAGTAGTGGTGCTTTGAGATGGCCTTCTGATACGAAAAGTACTATACCAAATGCAAAGATTATCATTGTTAACGAGGTTATAAAATATACTTTAAAGTAAACTTGTGCAAAACTTAAAAAAAAGATATACTACAAATCTGCACCAACTCACAACTTGTTCAGTGGGTAAATGATCCATGATCATGAGTGAACCAATATCAACTGAGCCTGCAATGATGACACAATTAGTTTGTGTCTCCGGGATTAGGAGAAAAACAGAGTTCCTGCTTATATTTATCCAGAAAATCCGGTGGAGAGTGCATGTGAACATCAAATGAGAAAAGGAATGACCTAAGTTATTCTTTTGACACTCAAGAATCCAAGAAAAATGTCTGCTTGGGGAAGAGACATATCCACATTTGTGAAATCAATCCCGCATTTCAGTATTGATTCAGGTAAGAGAAAAAGTTATGTTTAAAAGCAAAGTACAAACTCTACTGAAGTTTTGTGAAGGGTCATTTACTTCAGTTATAATGCAAGTACCTCCTATGTAGGCATGAAAGCCTGTTGTAAAATATTGCTGCATCAAATTATATAGAACTATTTTAGCGAAACTGTACCCAATGACTCAATGGATAAATATACTTAGCCATACAGATCAGTACTATCCGAGGTTTAATCCCTGGTGTGTGCTGAATTAACTGATCGCAGCAGTAGGGATGATAGTAGGGCGTTTTAACTTGCATTCCTGTACTGCGGGTGGGGGGGGGGCAGGGGTGTTGTGGGGAGAGAGGGTGAAAGAGAGCCATTTCAAAAGCATTTGGTGGAGTACACCCTGCTATTTGTCTTTTGGGGAGGCGGGTTCATGAACCCATCACCATGTTTAAATGTCCAAACTAAGAGTTCTATATATGTACGCCACCTATACATCAAAATTTCTGTGCCTGGAAATGAAATGTGCGCTCTCTCCCTTCCAGAGGTTTAGGTGCAGTTTGGAAAGAGAGGACCTCAGAGTGTGAGTTGGGGTAATGCTGGAATTTAACCAGCTAAAATGGCAAAGGTTGCTGTCTGGCAAGTTTCCTGCAGTTTGTCCAACTAGATTCACCCGTTAGGACTTTAGGTTGTAGGGTGAACAGTAACCGAGTAGGAAGTGTCCCTAGATTGGTCTTCCCCTCAATTTCCTGTCGACGAGCTAGGCTAGATGGGTCTGACATCAGTATTGGAAGTATTCTGGATCAACCTGGCTCAAGACTATCAAGACGGCCAGAGGGTTGACCTGATTCCGACATTCTACTGCCAAAACATTGTATAGGAGCTAGGCCACAAGGCCACATAATTCATCCTTTAGGTCTGCAAACTCTCTAAAACATTTGCTATTAAGAGCTGAAGGAGCAGAGAACCAGTATGTTGAGATGCCTGCACGTTTGTGCCTCATGCACCAAAAATTTGCACTAATGTTAGGATCAATCAAGAGTTCCAACATAGTTGCACCAGCAATTACAAGACTTGCCACATGAGAGTGAACCCGGGACTTCCATGTCTGATTGTACTTCATGTACTGAAACTGGCAATTTTCTTAGGTGTGGAGTTGAGCTTTGCCTTACCTGCGTGTCTGCTAACAGATACAGGAATTCATAAAGAGTTCAAAATGGAACAAATGCAAAACCTCTAGAGCTTTTTTTTAATAACTGTTTTGAGATTGTTGTCATGAAAGACTAGCACGGGAAGACGATTCAACACACACATTAGGATAGAGCTGAAAGTTGTGGATGCTGGGAAAAAAAGGATTTTTCAATCAGGTCATGACTGCTGCTGCTAAGGAAAGAATGGTTTTTTTTCCTGTTCCCCTAAGTCACCATGCAATCGATTTACTTCCCTGTAAAGAGGTTCTGCTCCCAGGTCTATGACAATGCTGTACAAAGGTTCTCAATATTTCAAATACACATTTCAATCAAAGTTCCTTTTGTGGTTAGATGGAAGGGAGGACAAGTCCTTGACAATTAATTTATGGCAGGGAAAACCTAGAAAGATTGTGTTTGGAAACACAAAATTCTGAGCATTCACTTAACATGGGAAGCATTTTTTACTTTTTACTAGCTTGGCTCAGTTGGAAGCACCCTCATCGTTGAGTCAGATGTTTGTGGGTTCAAGCCTCATGTCAGAACTTTGAACAGTCTGGGCTGACACTCCAATGGATGTTAAAGTGTTAAGGTGGACATTAAAGATCCCACTGCGTTACTGGAAAACAAAGGGAGTTTCTGCCTGTATTCTAGCCAACAAGCCCCCAGATAAAATTGGTCATTCATTATATGGGTTTGTGGGACATTGCTGTGTGTAAATTGTCTGTCTTGTTCACCTAAAAATGTACAGTAACTACACTTTATAGTAAAAATCCTGTGAAGCACTTTGAGACTTTTCAATTACATAATAAGGTGCTCATCGAATACAATGATTATTCTATATTACTTGCAAAAATATCAACAGCTCACTGGTTATGTGCAAGATTAAAATCCTAGTAATATTGGCTTAGAACATTTACAATTGTATGGTAGAAAGCAATTGTGTCCTAATATCTTTGTGCCTGCAATGATTCTTCTGTTTTTCAAACATCTATACCACTTATACAAAACACTCAGTTGAAAATTATCTTACAATTCAGTTGTTAAGATTCTAAATATTTTATGCAATAGTGAACTGGAAACATTTAGAATTGTTAAGTTTCTTTTGGGCCAGTTATTTTGTATAAATCTATAAAAGCAATGCTCCCCCAGTGGCCGATAGCACAGTACTATTGTCCAGTACAAAACTGGCCCATATGGTACAGAAAGGCCCCGGTCTTGATCCCTAATCTGGTATTTGTGCTGAACAGATCCCTAATCTGGTATTTGTGTTGAACAAGCATGTTCAGAGGTCAGATGAGAACAGAATCAGGCTGTGAAAAATGGCCATTACACAAGGTACCAGAGAGCATCTCGTTGGTACATTGAACCAAAAAGGGAAAAAAAAGTTTTAAAATTATAGTTCTTTGTTGAAGAATGCAGGGTCCCTTTCAGGGTGATAAATGCAATTTAAAAAATTGTATTGTGTAGCAATTTCAATCAGTCAATCAATAAATGTTTTAAAATCTCCTTGCCAGGTGTGTGGGATATCTTACCTTTGACTGTAAAACGGACTCCTCATGAGCAGGAGTACTATGTGGCCTGAGGTTGCAGTTCTATAATACACAAAGCCAGCAAGTGAATATTCAGGTGTGAGGAATGAATTAATTCCTCCAGGAACCTTAGAGATGCATCATATTAGTCTATAATATTTACTCTGGGATAGGCTTCAAGTGCTGAAGTCATCAATATACTGCAAGACTATCACTGGATAATTGTAGACAGAAATAGTGTATAATATAGGTGCACAAAGCATGAGGTCTACCTTCATAAAAGGCATTGATGATATAGGAAGCTAATTTCCCTAGAAGAATGTTAAAAAAAAGTCACAAGGAAGAGGATTGGGAAACAGATCATCCTTGCATCTTCTTAAGAGATTTTTTTTTTAAAAAATGAATTAGTTTTCAAGCAGACTGAAATGACTGAAAGTATTTCAAAATGTGGTTGCAAGCTGGTAAAGGTCTTAACCAACTGACTTCGTACTAGGAATCAAACAAATTATAATCAATAGTTTCCAATGAACAGCAGTTACATTTTTGAAAGTCTGATCTCATATAGGATGCTCATACTCAAACAAAAACTCTGGAAACTTTGGTGCACCTTGCACAGCAATTATCAAATCATTGCACTTTTTTTTTCTTTTTTCTTTAAAGTTTCCAGACATAGAAAACATTTGCTGGATTTTTACTGAAAACATTCTTGAAGAACATTTGACTCTGTGTGTGAACAGTGGTTACTTCTGAATATTTGTTATGCAAGAATTAGTGAGGTTTTTGTCATGTATTCAATGAAAAGGCTGTGAATATGGTGCATGTGAAGCAAGATTAAGGTTGTTTCATTCATGTTTTAAATTTACTGAATAAATAACTTGATATTTGGAGATTAAACCACTAATAAAAAAAAGCATAATACTATGTGGATTCAGTGCCTCAATTCCAATTGAACTTGTAAGGTCAATTTTTAAAACTTTATCTGTAAATTAATCCTGCACAAACATAGAAAATAAATTTGAATTAATATTTATATTAGATATTTTTTAAAAGTTATTATATGCCAGAAAGTGAACTGGTTGTCAAGCATTTTTCACCAAAGCATCGAAAAGTAATGGTTAAAAACTAAATATCACTGTTCATTTTATATTGATCTGAACTGGCAAATTAAATTTGTGCAAGTGACTTCTCAATATTCATGTTAGCTTGATTTCAATTATACTCCGCATATCCTCAGTCAAGATCAAAAATACACACAAATGATTCAAACACTACATACCTCGATTTCATAATAGAAGTAGCAACACACTTTGAATTTACTTTCTTGAACATATGCACCATTCAAACAAAAATCACACCATAGCAGTAAGCTTGCATGCAGTTTTGAGTCTTGCTTAAGGAAGACTCAAGGAAATATACATTTTCAAATTTGAGTTTGGTTTTAATAAAGAGCAAATTATTTGCAATGCAATGTACTTCAAATTTTAAGTTATATACAATTCAAATATGCATCTACAAGGAGCGATATTGAAGGTCCATTTCATATAATTCTCGTATTTACGTCATATTCACAAAAAAACTGCTCAGCTTGACTTAACTTTCAATTATTTTCAATAGTTTTGACGTTTTAAATAAGGAGAGAACATGTACATACATGAATGAGGTGAAGTATTTCGGGTGAATTATTAAATCACAGACCCGTCTGTTTTCAGATGCATGGTAAAGAACCGAATAAAGGAAGAAACTTATAGAATATATTTTTATGTGATTTTTTTAATAAGATCACATTCCTGACCCAAAGAATCCTTAAAAATACCATTTATACACTGTAATCTGAAATCATACGGTGAACAACTTAACTAGTCTACAACTGAAGCAATCAATAACTCTAAAACACCTCAATAGGAAGTACATATGGCAAGTAGATTTACCCCCAATAAAGTATTTTGATACAACATTTGTAATATAAAATTACGTAATCTCAATGCAATGATTTACCACTGTAATATCTGACAAGATACTCAGCAGGAAAAACCTATACAACACTTGCATTCTAATTTGTTTCAGTTCGGTAGGAAACTGTGCAGTATATTCAGAACATTTTAATTTCTACAATATAAATCTGAATCCAGCAAAGATTGATGGGATATATTTGACTTTTCTATTTAGAATAATCTTACCATCTCAACTGACTTTCAAGTAGATATTGGCCAATGTAAAAACAAAAACTGCAATTCTTACTTAAGAGATAAGGTGATTGGTGTGAGATAAGGTGATTTTTGCACTTCGATATCAGGGTGCAAAAATATTGTGCTATGTGTATTGTATAGTTAAGAACAATTGTACACACTATATATACAATTTATTTCGGGGCAAAAACCCTGAGCTAAATTAATATTGGTCGTATTTTGGCATTAAAATTTATGAATGAGAATAAATTTGCAGAATATCAGAGACTATATCTACTTTGTTCAAAAACATTCTAGATATGTTGAAACAGGAAATTACATTGATCAAATTACAGTTTAGGCAACTAAATATATAAATTGCAGAATCGTTTCCACTCTTTTGGATTATGTAGTAAAATAGATTCTTATAAGGGACTCAAATAAGTTTGAGTGGACTCACTAGAACTGGACTACATCTCTGGATTTATAAATGCATAATACTTTGTTGGTCAGCTTCTTTGCAGACAATCAAAATCAAGATATCAATGACAAGAAAAGGAAAGCACCAACATGTCAGATTCTAACTACAGTTATGAAGAAACAAATAGAAAATGAGCAAGATTTTGAGCTAATAAAGTACAAGTATAACAATTTAAACAATCAAATTTTAGTTATCTGTAGCAGAAAATATATTTTTGCACTTCGATCTGAGGATGAAATAACAAAAGCATGCAATAATATAAAAATAAAACTATTACCCTACAGGTTAGACGCAATCTGGAATTTATAACAATGCCCTAAGAAATCTTGGCTACATCCATGATTAGCACTAATCAAGAAAAACAACTAACGTAATAGGAAATAATGGAATTATGACAAGACCACAATGGATAAGATCAAATACACTAAAATAGGAAAGTCCATTAGTGCTCTGAAAAGATTATTTAAAATTGTTTACGGTAATCATATTCACCCTTTTCTCTTACGTAATGTACACACAGCAGAGTTTTGAGTATTCAATTATGCAGGGGAAGGAGTTACAATTTTATCTGTAATGGAAATCTGTTCAATCGCTTGTCAATTTACGTTTGATATTTGGTGTAGAGCTATATTATTGGTTTGTTAATATAGTAATAGTAATGTGTTCATAAAATCATTGCCAACTTGCTTCCTTAAAAATTAATAACTTCCAAATTGTCACTCAACATTAAAATGTCACTAATCAAATCTCCGATTTCACAATCCTAATGATTGCTTAATTGGTATCAAGTTACTTCAGTACAGCACTTTAAATGTTGGAAGCTTTCCTTTATTAACAAAAGTAAAACCTGATGACTGTCTCAAGACTGTCAAATCGAGGCTGAGTGAGGTCCTTTAATGGGGAAATTGAAGAAATTGTCATGTCAAATAATTTTACCCAAGTGAAAAAGCTCCACACTTGTGCATCTGTTCCAAGGCACCACTATCCTATTCAACATCCATGAGGTGCTTGAAAGGATAATGCAATTTTGTTGACACTAATGCTACATTTGAATGTTACAGTAAAACGAGTTGGAGCAGTGTTGTTCATATGTAGTATTTGATCTACTAATCAGATTTTGAGCCCAATTATACTTCAAGGCATTTATGACTGCGTTCGGATCTCTTTAGGCGAGGGCAGGTCCTATATCCTAAAGAAAATATCACCTACCAGTTGGCATTTGAGAAAATTTGCTATCTTTGGATTGTTATTGACTTCCTTTTGTTCCAGAGCATTCGGCAAGTTATTGTTCTAAGTGCTTTTAAAGATGTATCCAGTACTATGAATAATGCCAGTTGAAGGGAGATCTATCAGTGACGATCATATTACACAGCGATGTTCAGATGAAGAGGCCTATAAGTTGTGCAATACCTAGAGCGGCTCAATTGAAAATTCATCTGAAATCTACAAAGCGCCCAACCCACTGAGGATCAGGATCTCAAGGACCAGGGTCTTTCTCGTGCAATGAGAGGGAAGCAACAAGGCAATCAACCAGATAAGAGACGTTTCAGTATAAGGAAGTCTTGTAGTCTCGTACTAAGTGCTATCATGAGGCTAAATCGAGTCACTTTACACTGATAGATTTATTATGCATAAGTACTGTCTATTGTGCTGCATAATTCTCTTTCTTCAAGTTTTACCAATAATGTCATTCTGAATACCACCAGAATGATAAATTCAAGGCTCTCAAGTCCATGAGTTTTAAAGTTTATTCTTAAACTCCCATCTTCTCTTGGCATAAAGATACATTGTTTACTAAATAATCTGAGAAAACAGATGTTTCTGTATAATTACGAACAAAATCTGTTGAATAGGAGCGTTCCATCAATCCTGGAAAGATCCATCAATCATTCACGGTGTGACACGGGAAAAGTTATCATCACTTATTTGTGGTATTCTCTGGATAAATTAGACCCAATTGAACAATAACTGAATTATTTGAAATATGCCTTGCCTAGTTATATTCCTAAATCCTGCTTGTTTTGAACTATTTTATTGGGGGTATGTATTCATGCTCTATCTTACTGGAGATTTACTGTTTTGGTTTTAAATGGAATACTACTGCAAAGCCTATTGGAATAATAATAAATTGGAGTTGAGGTACAGATCAGCCATGATCTAATAGAACGGTGGAACAGGCTGAATGGTCAACTCCTGTTTCCAGTTTCCTACAATTGTTGATGGTAAAGCACCCTCTCTATTGGAGACTTGATATATACTTTGAGCTGAGTAGGAAGTGAGGTATCAGGGACACATCCTCATTGGTAAGAATGAAGGAAAACAAAGAAGTTCCAGTAAATCCAGTTGGAATTCTTGATAGATAATAGAGTATGACCTATTGGAAAGGTGAACAGGACGTCAGCTGTCCAACTAAAATA